GCAATAATGGCTTTGAATGGAATTTATTGTAAAAATGATTAAACTATTTGTAGTTGGCCAAATGTTTACAAACTTGATAGGATTTAGTGTAGCTTTTCTAAAACAGAACTTTGTGAATCAAGGACCCATCAAATTCAATTTGTTTAGTATAATTGACATTGAGTAAAACGCTTTCAAATTGATGGTTATTCTAGCAGCCTTTCTTAATTTGTTATTTACATTAATAATGGCAGTCAGAAATCATTATGTCATATCAAAGTCCATAGCCAAACTACTGACAATTTTTTATTGTGTTTTTTTTACCCTTTCATCCTCCTCAGCCTTCTATCATGCCTGGACCAAGAAATGAATGTAATTTTTATGATTTACAATATTATTATGACCATCACTAATAAATTAATAACAAAGGAATCAATTATATAACAATATTTATCAAAATCTTAAGTTTTAACTTTCTTTACTTAAAATTTCTCATTCTCATATATAATCGATCCTTCAAACTATTTTCATTGTAGTCTTTCTCTAACAATTCTGAATAGTGTATCCATAGTAGGCATCTAACCACTGTTGATTTTTGAATGTACTAACTAGTCATTTACAAATATTTCAAATGCTCCTGAAGATGAAAGTTGAGTGATAATAAAATTAATAGCAATATAACCCAAAAACCCGTATTTTAATCTGCTTGGACTTATATTCGTTCTCCAAAAGTTATTCATCTCGCTAATTTATTTGTCGAAGAAAATCAAACCAGCAATAAATCCATATTGGATTATTGTTAGAAGCTGCACTAATTTCTCCTTGCCTTCTCCCAAAGGATATGGCATTCCCATCACTTCCACTCTTTCGTCAAACTGATTAAATATTGCCTATTGCATTTATTGAAAAGCCCCTTTGTAAGATCAACTTGTGCAATATTGGATGAGAATTTCAACTTTACCATTATTAACATGTTTCCTTGTAGGAGGATTTACAACTTACTCTTAATTCTCCTACCATTATTCCTCCTTCTATTGAGGTTTGAAAAAATCAATAGCTAGAAGAACCAAAAATATAATGGTAATTGTTTTTTCCATTAAATATTAATTAAAACTCAATTAATTCCAATTAGTTTATATTTTGACCAAATTCATAAATTCTCATATAAATCCCAAAAATGCTTTATTTGAAAATACATACCAAACCTGAAGTTGAAATACTATAAATCTCATTATTAGTTGTTATATGATAATGGAGAATTTTTAATTACTCATAAGGTGAAACCATTATTATGATTCTTTGGTCATTTTTAATAATATTATGAAACCAAAAATATTATTAATCCTATAAGAAGTTATTGCAGAAGTAAAGTAGTGCAAGATTAATAAAAACACAGATCACACTTCTAAATTTAAATAATAGATGAATGTTTAAGTATTAAATTAATTAAAATTTCAGAATGAATTGAACTATTTTTAGTTTTTATTAGGTTTAAAAAATCTATTTATTAAAATATTATTTATGAATAGAGTGGCCTTTGTTGCAATAGCCTCTATTTTAACCTAGCGAAAAGTCTAATTATAAAGTGCTGGAGATTCAAGACACATCCATTATAAATTGAAGAGTAGAGAGGAACATTTGGCTGACGCACTATTAAATGAATACGACGTCATTATTGTAGGAGGAGGAGCTACTGGGGCAGGTGTTTCCCTTGCTTGTGCTAACAGAGGATTAAAATCGATAGTTTTGGAGTCTCAAGATTATGCAAGTGGTGCATCAAGCAAATCGACAAAATTAGTTCATGGAGGTGTAAGGTACATGTAACAAGTATTCCAACTGTCAGAAAAAAACAGATTGGAAAAATTGTAATTGGTTGCAGAAGCATTAAGAGAAAGATCCAACTTTTTATCAATGTGTTCCTATTTAACATAAGATTTCCCTACTTTGATACCTTGTACAAATTTATTTGATTTGGGTTACTATTATTTTGGGTCATTAATTTATCATTGTGTCTACTTATACTACTAAACAGGAGGACATACTTTTAAACCTCCAAGAATAGTTGGCAAAGAAGAAATTTAATAACATTTTAAATTTGCTAAATGTAATTATGGGGTCATTTATTATGATGGGTAATTCAATGATGCCAGGATGGTTTAAGAATTACTAGTTACATCAAGTCTAAAAGGTATTATTGTAAGTTATCTGATAAGGGCAGAACATGGCAAATTATGTTGAAGTTAAAGGTTTATTAAAAAATGAATAAAATAAAATCACAGGGGTCTAAGCATTTGACAAGATTGGATAGAAACAATTTCAAATCAAAGGCAAATGTGTTGTTAATGCAACTGGTGGATGGGCTGACAATTTACGTTTAATGGATGATCCAACTGTTAGCAAGAGGATAGTCTCAGTGGCAGGTAGTCACTTAACCATGCCTCAAAAATATGGTTCTCATTCGTGGGGATATTTGATACCAAAAACTAATGATGGCAGAGTTCTCTATCTGCTACCATGGTTAGGAAATATAGTAATGGGAACTACTGAACGAAAATTAGATAATACAATAAGTGATCCTACTGTAAGCAAAGAGGAATATAGGTGGTTATTGTAATCCTTTTGTGATGAATTTGCAATTGATGAAAGTGAAGTAGCTAAAGATGGAAAATCCAAATGGTGTGGAGTGAGACCTTTAGTTTATTAAAGCAATGCTCTCAGTACAAAAGAAGTTTCACGAACTCATGAAATAGAAGTATCAAAAAGTGGTTTAATATCAGTTATGGGAGGTAAATGGACTATCTTTAGATTGATGGGTGAATAAACAGTTGATAAGGTTCAAGAATTAATTGGAAACAATAAAAAAAGGTTAGAGAATCTACCCAAATTAGTTGGTGATTGGACATAGTTTGATAATAAGAAGGAAATCTAAGATATGATGAAAATGTTCAATTTACCTCAATCTTATGCAGCCTATTTCTTAACAACATATGGGGATAGAGCATATGATGTATTAAAGTTGGTCCATGAAAAACCAGAAAATAAGGAAAGTTTACATCCACAATTCCCCCATACTATTGGAGAAATATTGTACCAGATTAGGTATGAGCAAGCTAGAAAACCTGAGGACATTTTGTTTAGAAGAACAAGATTAGGTTTTTTAGACTAGAATGCTATTTTTAATGTGTATGAGAAAGTGTTCTAAATCATGGCTAAAGAATTGAAGTGGCCTGAAAAATTTTAAAAGGAATTTTTAAAGGAGAATTTCGAGTATATCAGAAAGTTAGAGTTTTGATTAATTTTGTTTGTTATCTTTTTTATCATAAAAACAATTTGACTACATCTGATGCGATTTACGGATACTTTTCTAATAGTTCATCCTTTGCTTATTGCATTTCTATATATATAAATAAATCTAAGTTTACGTGCATTTTCAAAGGTAGCCTTTTTGAATTAACTTAAGCAGAAGTATCCAACCACTGCCATTAATGCTGGGAAGAATATGGATAACATTAAGAATTCATTTTTTGTATTTCTAAAAGGTGTGTCATCCCAAGTATTATATGAAAACCAGAGTATAAACGATGCTATCAAGTCATAAATGTATGAACCAATCAATAATACTATTAAATATGACAAGCATCATACTTGAATACGATTTATTAATCTTTCTTGACTTCTAATCGATTCCAAAATATCCTATAGTTGCTGATAGCATCTAAATCAAATGAGCAACAATCAAGGCCACTAAAGTCTTATATAAACCGATTGGGCATTGTAAATCATGATTCAGGAGTGCAGTATCAACACATAAGGCAGGATTCTCTCCACCTTCAATCACTACATCTGAATAAATTTAAAAGAAAGCTATGCCCAAATATGAAGTATTGAATGCCCAAAATATATATTTTCTTCTTTCATAATGAAATTGTGAATCCACTACTTTTTTAAGATCTCCCTTTGGAATTCGATTTTAATTAATCATTAATTATATAATAACAAAATAACAATTATTAATCATTCATTAATTATACAATTACTCTAATTACTCAACTTAAATGGCATCGTTGGCCTATTTTGGCAATTCAAACTTGAACAACGTGACTGTCTTCTCCATTGGGAAACCCTTATTGTTGATTAAGAGACTTCTGATTTCTTCTGTATATGGCTTTGATTTCATCAAGGTGACTGTTGTCAATTATTGTAAAATAGAAATATTAATGGGCGATCCTCCAGGTTTGTGGACATGACAGATATCATTGTAGATGTTGACACTATATGTGATTCTTCCATTCTGAACGGCTTCTTCTTCCAACTAAAAATTTGATGTAAGATCTTACACATGGGTCTTATAAGAGAATGGTTTATTCATTCAATTCCAATATTGCATAAGTAAGACTCAAAGGAATGTGGTGGATACTTAATGGTACCAATCGCTTCTCAACTTCAACTTTTACTCCTTAAAGGGAGACGCTTACTTATGGTCTTCGAAAATGTTGAAGAGAGAAAATGCAACATAAATACATGGCATCTAAGAGATTCCCATCATTATTAATTAAGGCTACATTCACATCTATCGACCACACATTTTTGCCAGACAATATACATAATGACTCAGTATCGAGGGCTCTGTATGTAATAAATTTAATACTTGGATCCCTTGATTACTTTTTCAATATATTTTTCAATTTCCATGCCTAATTTAATTGGGTTGTGCATATAACCAGTATCTCTTAACACTTATAAATCCAAATGAAATTTAAGGAACCCTTCTGATGGTCTTATTGGATTTGGTGTTGTTATTGAGGCACTAGTTGTTGCAAATACCTTAATTAAAATTAATGATATTTGATACTCTAGTTTCACCCAGACTTAATTCAACAGCCCCTGTACTCTATGGTCCGAAATGACATTAGATCATTCTTTATTGTAATGGATCGCGACCATCTATTCGTTTGCCAAGGGCGAGTTACTCTAAAACAAATTCAGAATTCATTAATAAATTTGATGAATAAATATATTTTGTATGCTTAACTTTATTTTACTCATCTCTTTTTATTTTGAGTCTTCTTTTTTCTTGAATTGCTTCTTGATCTGGATCTCCTCTTATAATATTTGGAATCATGTTTTTAGTCATATTTTTGATCATGTTTTCCATCAAACCTTTTCTTCTAATTCCTTTTATCCGATTCAGAGCTAGCACTGCTTCTTTTATTGATACGATCTATGGAGACTATAGAAATAAACAAAACTACTATGATGTCTCTATCTTTCTCTCTCTCTTTCTCGTTCCCTCTCCTTCTCCCTATCTCTCTCCCATTGTCTTTCTTTTTCCCTCTCTTTTTCTCTTTCCCTCTCTCTCTGTTCCTATTGCTATTTCAGTAGTAATTGTTTCTCCCTCTCCTTTTTCAATTGATCAGCCTTGAGCAATTAGGCCCTTTTTGATTTAGCGAATTCCTCTATTTTGAAAGGATCATATAAGCCACTTTGAAAGAGAATATCTCTATATTATTAGACTTCAATCTAAGAAATAGATGGCAGTGTTACTTCAATGGGATCGGTTGGAACAGGAGGCAAAGGAGGTTTAGGTTGTAGATAGGTGAGTTCATAGTTGGTTACAACTTGAACCTTTTTATCTTCAATCGTTCTGATATCTTCTTCAGTAAGATCTCTGCCATCTATATTTAAATAGAGATTTCGCTCAGCTCTTTAGATTTCAATATGTTTATTGAACTCATAAATTCTTTCATCAACTGCGTCTATCTCCTCTCCTTCTTTGTTAATGATGTTCTTGTATCTAAGGATTGTATAATATTAACCTCTTTTATATCAGTTTAAGAAACTCTTGCATCATTTGAATTTATGTGGTAAATGATTACTTCTAGGATGAAATTATAGTTTATTGATCCTTTGATTAGATGATAGTATAGATCACAAATACCTTGTCAACAATGTAGCGATAAACTTGAACAAATTTGGACACCTGTTCAAGTGAGACATCGGGGTTGGCTCGGTTGTAGAACTTATGCTGAACTAAACGTTGGATTAGGGTATCACGAGGACCCTAAGAACACAGTCCCTTGATTCGGCAGATACGATCAAGTGTCTCATCATCAACATGAGCGAGTTTTTCCTTCAATAAAATAACCATCGACTTTATAAAGCTATGAGGAGATGCTCTCAATTTGGATTGACTGTTCTTTCATCAAAAAGGATAGCTCTAATCCCTTCAAGTACTTTTGGTCAAACAAATTCTACTCTCTCCAACATTACAACAATTTCAAAATCTTTTATTTATCAAACACAACACATTACTTTCTCTTTATAAGGCAGCAACTGATCTAAATTACTGTAAATCTTTGGCAAACACCACTAGATGTAGCTCTTGAAATTCTGATTGCAGTTATTCAAAATATCTGAAATCAAATACAAACGAGCAAGCTGATATTAATCAATACTAAATACTTTCATTGACCATGTCGAATCATTTAAGAGTGACTCCTCTAAAATCAACATCAGATCTGCTGGACAGTCCTAATGGTCAATACAAAAAACCATCGCCTTCCCTATAGTGTGTCTAATTTCGAACTTTATTTCATTACTTCTGTGTATTCAATTCCCTCAGCATTTGACTAAATGCGAATCTATCCTAATCCTCCAACACTTAATATTGTATTTTCTTGTTTTTTGTTGTGACTGTAATCATAACATTGCATTTACTTTAAGCTTTTTCCAATTCCTTCTTGGCAAATGAAGGCGGCTCCTCTACTTCTATTGAAGGTGGAATGTAAATGCATTCATTTAAATTGAAATAATAAGGCTCTTACTTCCACTATTTCTCATCATCACCATTCTGAAATGAATAGACCCTCCATTTATAGTATTCATTCTCTTCAGATTACTAACATAATCATTAAATACATACCAAAAATAAAAATGCATATTTATTATTATTTATCTCTCTCTACTTGACCGTCTACTCAAATTGCACTCCTTCCTTAACTACCTATCTAGCCAATTTATCAATTATCCCTCTTATCTATGGATTTGGTAACTTTATTTTCACTATTTTAGAAGTGTTTTGATAACATGGACCTCCATAGCTATACTAAATTCAAAAGTTTACTAAAGTTGAAAATGAAATCCATTTTCCACCTTCTTCTGTAGTTCCATATAAGCATTCTATGCTGACTATACATTTTCGTATGTAACATTAGCTACTATCTAAGCCTAAGCTTCCTTATAGTATGCTCGTAATGAGATTCTCACAACATTTCCGTATTCCGCACATACTATTCTTAGAGATTACTCTGTAATCTTTGGAGTTAATCCACCTCAAATTTATTCATTTATCTTACAAATAGTGATATGAGGACTGTTTTTATCAACAAATTGATAAGGGATTATGTTCTAGATGTTATTCAAATGCTCATTTAGATTTTGTTGCATTCCAGCCAATGGTTTAAGAGGTTTCTAACATACTAAATTTACATTTACCTAAGGTTACAATTAGATTGGCTTCAAAATACAATTACTTTGCATTTATTATAATATAAATTTTCTTATTAATATTTTCATTTCAGTGACTTATACTATGATTAATCCTCTACAGAATTGAAACCTGTAAGTACTCAATTTATCTTATTAAAACACACAATTGTAAATAAACTGAATAGAATAAAAAATAAAGGAGATGTAGTGTCATCATAATAAGAAAACTTATTGAAGAATCAATTAATTTAGTGGATATTGTCAAAACGATTAAAAATTACTAAAATATAAAATCTAATAACTAAAACAGATTTTAAAGATTATTAGTTCGATGAAACAAACTCAACAAACTAAAAGTAAGTGAAGTTAAATACTATTGATTGAAGTGTAAAAAACCATGATACCATTTTAATTTACAATTTCATCAAGAAAAGTGGATTTGAATTAGATGTTTATTAGCTGATAGAAATCTAAAATATATTAATTATTAGAATTTAAGAGAATAAATTTATAGAATAGAGAATTGAAAATTGGAAATGTAAAAATAGAGAGATGGATGATGACATTGATAGATTAAGGTAGGATTTCCAGTTAGAGTTATGAGATTGAGATATATTTTATTATATTAATAAATTAATTCATGGATTCAAATTATAATTACGATCAATATGCATAGAAAGCATATTCTGCCAATGTTTTCAAAGTTGATGAATCAGAATTTATTATTGAGAAGAGATATAAGCCAACATAATAATGTAATTTAATTATTAATTTTGTAGTGGGAAGCGGAGCATACGGGATTGTTATTGGTTGTGAAGATACAAAGGCTACAATACCAGAATAAAAAATGGTAGCAATCAAAAAAATAGAGAGAACTTTTGAACATCGATTTTATGCTAAAAGAACCCTGCGAGAGTTAAAAATCTTAAGAAATTTAAAACATGAAAATGTAAGCATCAAAACAATCGTTTTAGATAGTTAATCTTATTACAATATAGCTTCCGAAATCCAGGAAGAATTTTTATGATATGTAAGAATATAGATCTTAAATCATATAGATATTGTGTTACCGAATTATTAGACACTGATTTGAAGCGTGTTATTGATAAAGAACACGCTAAATTGAATTAGGATCATTTTAAACTCTTTTTATACCAGATTCTTAGAGCACTTAAATATATGCATTCTGCAAATATTTTACATCGAGATTTGGTATAATAATGAGACTTAAAAATTAGAAACCAACAAATCTATTGTTAAACAAATAAGATTGTATGTTGAAAGTATGCGATTTTGGATTGTCCAGAGCATTGCTATAGACGACAAAAACATAATAATAAAATCCTAATATCATGACAGATTATGTTGAAACAAGGTATTATAGAGCACCGGAATTATTGTTGGGTCTTAAAACCTACACTTAAGCAGTTGATATTTGGAGTGTTGGATGTATTTTTGCAGAAATTGTTAGAGGAAAGACACTATGGAGAGGCTAGAATTGTAAACTCTTTTGATTCATATCACTAGCAAAGCAATAAATTAAAATGATATTTGAAACCATTGGAACACCCTCTAAGACTAAAATAATGTAAGTTCAAGATACATTTGTATCACAAAAATTAGTTGAACTTATTTAAGAATTGGGTACTTTAGAGAAAGTACCATGGGATAGAGTGGTGAAAGGATTACCACCTGAAGGATATGATTTATTAGAGAAACTTTTAGAAATTGATTATAAAAAGAGAATCACAGCAGCTGAAGCTCTTAAACACCCCTATTTGAAGGAACTCCACAACCCAAGTGATGAGGTATACTGTTAATGTAACTGATCTAGCCCACCAGAGTTCCTGTTTCCAATATGGAATTCGAATTTGAAATGTATGAATTTACAAATGAGTAACTTAAAGGTAGATTTCGATAATATACAAATAGATATGATATATGAGGAGATACTATTATATCATTATCCAGATTTTAAGAAATCTTATGAAGAAAAAATAGCCAACAATTAAAGTGTCATCAGCCACATTATGAAAGGAGAGAGTGCCAAAATAATTGATCCTGAAGCTGATGATGATTATCCAGTATGATGTTAAATAAAGATATATATAATATACAAAATTTTAAGGTTTTAATCATCTTCAATCATTTACTAATTAGTTAAGTATAATTATACTATCAGCAAGAATGAACTCTATGAGGATTTCAAGTAAAACATTAAACTGATCTTCCTTTTGTGACTAACTTTTATCTTTAACATAAATCCTACAATATTATGGCAGATACTTGTTTTATTTACATTTTCGCTTTGAGATCTTATGGCTTTTGTAATGAACCTGAATTAATTTCAAAATATACTCTGTTCCACTTGGATTCAATTTAAGTGAATTTCTATTTGCATAGGGGACATGTGTTTTCAATCTAAACTTAATAAGGTTACATACATTTGACCATTTTTTTATGCAATCTGAACAAAATGAGTGATTGCAGCTATCCAGGACTCCCTAAACCTTCAAACATCTTTTACTTAATTCTCTATTGCATTATAGCATATTCCACATTATTCAGCCTTGGATTAAAATCTAGTTTGCCTTTAAGCCTGTTCTTTCATATTGATTTTGCTTTGTTAAAAAAAATTATAAGAATTAATGAAATTAAATCACACTCATCATACTTTTTTAAATAATTAATGTCGGTTTTTCTGCTCTAAAGGCTAAAAATCTATAGTAACTTTACACTTTTTGAGGTAGAAAACATAATATTCTGAGATTTACCTGAACATCATGTTTTAATTACTTTAGAAAATAAAAATAGTATAGAAAATTTCAGATGATAAATTCAGTCTAAAAATTAAATTTAATTAAAGAAAATATAATTATACATTATTAAGATTAAGAATATTTTACTTAAAAGTATTGTCATAGTGATCGCATTTATTTCAATCATTATATGAAAACATTAAATAACAATTCTTATCAAAAGAACTCTTTCTATTTTGTTTAGAAAGTATTAATTTATGTTTTTAATCATATAATAGGATAAACTTGAAAAAAAATTGTTCTAGATTGTTTGAATTGAAGATGTATGACATAACAAGAAACCTTGCAAAATACATTCAAAATAGTATTAGTTAAATTTTGTAGAACATTATTTTATAAGTAATTCAAGGTAAAAGAAATTATCTAAAAGATTAGTTAAGATAAAGCATATTTATTATCAATCTTTTATAAGACAAATATCAGTATTGATTATAAACCTCACTATGTTTTCTCTTATTAGAATCTTACAGAATTCTATGATGTAATAATAGTCTTACCTTAATTATTACAAATTAGGTAGGAGATGCCGAGTATTTTATAGGAAAGTAGCTGAACTAAGAGATTTGGCTGTAAACGTTAAAAGAATGATAAAAATTGGAGAATCTTATGAATTATTTAATTAAAGTTAAGGAAATAGACTAAGAATATAGTATAATTGTTAAATATAGTGGAATTGATTATCTGAAAATAAAAGATAAGTATATTATTATTTTTGAAAGTGGCTAGCTTAAAAAATCAGTTGATAACAATTAGTATTTAATAAATTTTATTATTTCTTTGATAGAAATCAATAGGTCTTTAAATGAAGCCTTAATTTTGTTAGCTTTATCCTATAAAGATTTAAGAAGGACCTTATATTGTTTATGACAAGTAGGTTGGTGATGCATCAGGAATTTTCTTGGCATACAATTATGATGTAAAATAGGATTGTTGCGCTAAAATTATTGATATTGAAAATGATGAAGAAAGATAGAATCAAATTAAAAACCATGAATAAATGTCTACAATATTTCATGAGAATATAATAAGAGTCTATAAAGTTTTATAAGAGGGGACTAAAATTTATGTTATTTAAGAATTATGTAATATGGATTTTTAATGCTACTTAAATAGCAAATCATATGAACTTAAAAACAAAGAAATACTGGACTTTATTTAATAAGTCTCCAATGGGTACTTAGCTTTAGAGAACAAAGGAATTATTCATAGAGATTTAAAACCTAAAAATATTCTAGTTAACCTAGATTTGAGTAAAAATAAAATGATATACAAAGTAATATTTTTACCCTAATTATTTAAGATTTGTGACTTTGGGTTGGTTAAAATAAAATAAATTTGTAGAGTTTAAACATATGATTAGCAAGGAACGGAATGTTATAAAGCGCCAGAAATTAGAGATTCGAATTATAGCTATGAAGCTGATGCTTTTTCTGTAATAAAAATATATATTTAAAGTTTGGTATAGTACTCTTAGAAATCATAATAAAAAAAAGTTTAAATTAGGGATTAAGAAAGGAGTTAATTGGAGCTATAGAAAATAATGGTTTTCAATAATGGTTTAATGTCTAAAAGTTAAAAAATTAAAATCCTGGCTACGGGCTTAGTTTAGATTAGACTTACCAATTTCTAGTCAAAAAATTGAATGAGCTACTTGCCTATGATCCGAAAAATAGAATATCATGGCAATCATTAAAATAAGAAATTGATGGAAAAATTAATTATCTTGTTGAGTTACCACTTGTTAAATTTGATGGAAAATTTAATTAGAATTTATAATCGCACTAAAGTCAATAGTCTTTTTCTTTAGTTGTCAATTTTAAACCATAATAAGAACCATAATAATCAAACACCCAGAGGTTCGCAAGAACTGTAGGGTAACAAAATACTAATGATAACAATTAGGTAATTGGAACTTAGTAGAATCAGTTTTAACCAATTATCCCTGTTCAAAAAAGTTAACCTTCATTTTAAAACATAAATATACAATAAATTCCTGGAAGCTCCTAAGCTCAAAAATTTTTTAATTGCAAAAAGGATTAATGATTATATAATTTTATTATTTATTAATCCCAAATTATTAGGATTAACTCTCATACATTCTTACTTGAAAAGAAGCATAATTAATCCTATTCAAAGGATCTGAATTTGTTATGCATTAATCTAATACATGAAGACGTAAATTGGAGAATTCCAAATGCATCGCTTCTATTAATAACAAGTGAAAACTTTGAAAGTCAAATTTATTTAATTGAAATTAACTACACCAAAAATTGTGGATATTAATAAAGAATTAAATTTACTCAATTGAAATGATTTATTACAAACTAATTAAATAATAAGATAATAATAATTGTGATTCTACATTTAATCAAGTCTTTCATATATTCTCATTCCCACAAAACAGAAGGAATGTTTAATCTTAATTGTCTAAGAAACTATTATTAACTTCTGGCATCAGAGATAAAATCCAAAGATTATATAAACTCCTCCCCGCTTCTGTAAATATTGAAAGTTTTCGTTTCTGGACAATAGTAAAAATGTTATTTTGGATCCCCATAAAAATTACACTTTTTACAATTAATAAGTCCATCAGATGAAATATAAAGGTTGTTTTAACATAAGTGGTATTATTATCTACTCTAATTATGATTGCATTTGCATTAAGCTGGACAGAATCCAATAAAATTGATTTGATTTTGGTTGTCGGAATGAGAAAAAGGATTAATCTAAAACATCTATTAGCAACTTAATTATAAATTATTCCAAAAATCGACAATCTATTGATTCATTGTTAATGTCTTTATGTGTTACCAAAAGGCCTCTAAGAAATCCTTACTACTTTTGAATTTATTTTTTGTTCTTGTATAAGGACAATAGAAATTATAATCCTAGATGTTTTGAGTGAAAAAACATTATTAGCATAGAAGCTAACCTATTGAGTTGATATAAAGTTGTTTATTACATGAATGAACCTAAATAATTAATAAAGCTTGACATGAACATTAGGGAGGACATTGGCATTTAATTGGGATGGCAGTCTTTTTATCCACATTAGTTGGATATTTTGAAGTCCATTGTCTATCAGAATTTTTCTGTGTTTTCAATTTGTTGAGACTCTATCCAGAAGTAAAGAGAGATACATCGGATATTGTAGGTTGAGTGACTAATGAAGGTTGAATTATTAGGGGAGATTGATAAAGAATTTACGATTCAAGATTGGTCTCTTTCATTGAAGTTCGAGATGATAAATCAAAATGAACTTCCTTTTTTGCTTCTGAGTAAATTCTTGATCTTTGATAAGATATGGGTTTAATTATTTTAATAGTACTTTTTCTCTATAGTGGTTGAAGAGATGGTGCTTTATCATTTTAAATGTAATACAATTCCATCAATTATGAGACATCTTCATAATTCTGTTTTTGTTATAATTTAAGTTTGTAATTAATTTCTGAGAGTCGATTGATTATTTTAATGAGATTTTCATTTGATTTTTTGAAATTTTCATATTCAGCCATTTTTTTATCCTAGTGACTCTTCAATATTTAACTGATGAGACTGAGATTAGCTTGAATTCTTGCATCTTATTCTTTTTGAGCTCCATTGCATTCTTGCATTTCTTGTAAAAGCATATCCAATTTGCTTTAACCATATTTTAGGTTTTCAATGAATGAATTCAATCTTTCATTAAGGGAATGTAAATATTATTCTTTTTTGCTATTGTTTTTTGAAAATTTAAAGTTTTCTTCTATTTTTTGTAATTAAGAAATTGTCAATTTGAGAGAAGCATGAAGAGATTGTATTTTATTCACTTTATTTTGACTTATATACTCGGTTAATAGTGTTTAATTCAATCTTTGATCGTCACGAAATACTTAACTATCTGTTAATATTTCATAGATGATCAAAATATAATTATTATTTTCAGCCTGTTCATCATGATCAAAAAATGATATAAACTGTGAATATTCGTAATACAAAGACTCTAGAATCTATAAATATTCTGATTTCCTTTGACATATCTATTAAATTAAGCTATCTTAAGAAATCAGATATTCCTATTGAATTATTTATATTCTTTCATCATGCTCCTATGTAAGTTGTCGATCTTCTTTATGTTTTTTTTTCATCACTTTTTCAAATTAATTCTAACTCACATTTATAATTTTCTAGATGCTCTCCTCAACTTAATTGTGAAGGTCTGCAAATTTGGACTGTCTGTCTGTTATTTTATATATTAATGATGTAATTTCTTCAAGTTATGATGGATGGTAGTTTTTATCTTGAATAAATTTATTCATTTCTTTTTGTAAAGAAGAGATTTTCAAAGTAAATAAATTAATGATCAAAAAACCAAGATATTTTTAAATAATTAAGTTTTTCTTATACCTTGTTTCTAATCATTACATCCAATCAATATAACAATATAAAAGTGCTATTATTGTAGTAAAAAGAGAATGTTATATCTTTTTAATATTAAAGAAACAGAAATTATTTATATAATCAATGTCCACAGACTTACTTAGATGGGAAATTAATTTATTAATTAATATCTATAAGTATGAATTATGTATTTGAAATTAAACAAAGAAATTCTTGAATTCTCCCAGTTTTGTTAATGAGGGTATACTTTTTCAATAAAGTATGTTTTTCTAAAAGATACTGACATTATATATTAGATAAAAGGGAATATCATTCAATTGGTTGAAATACCACTAAATTATTTAGATAAAAAATATTAAAAATTGGTATTTCAATCCTACAGTTTTGCCAAAATGAATCCTACCATTACATCATTAATTTAGGGCAATTAATTTACAGTTTTCTACTTTTAAGGTAGCAATAAAATATCATCCATAATAAATTTCTTAATTTATTTGATTTCAATTATAAGAATTCCAAAAATATAAATGTGATTCATATAAAAAAAGCACTTCAGATCAAAAGCAATCAAATTATTTTTAATAGCACTTACTTAAATTAAAAAATATGTATGCTAAATTACATGAAGAATTCTATTTATTAAATTTATTATTAAATAATATGTCTAATACAAAATTTCCTTCGGTTTCAATTAATGAAAAGTACAGTTCAATCACATTATAAGGTTATAGAAACGTATATTGAGGTCAAAGATCGTAAAGATATTGAATAGTTAGTTTTAGAATTATTGCCACAAATTCTTAAAAATAGAGAGATTATAATCAGAAATTGAAACAAGGAAGACTGAATTTGATTTAGAAGATCAAAATTTCATATAACTATTGCCCATACATCCTCCGATGAAATTTACATAAGAAGAAAAACATCATTGCTAAAGAATGAATATCAACATTCCAACTCCTTTGGAAATGCAATAAAAACTTAAGGCACAATTAACCCATTAGGAATTATTGGAAGTAACTCATTAATCTAATTTATTAGATTGGAGAAGATCCAGCCTATTTTATTTAGGATGAAGAAATGAGAAGATTGAATTGGAATGAAGAAGATTGGTTATCGAAATCTCAGACACATTTCAAAAAGGAAATGAAGGATATTCCTAAAATAAAATCTACTAGCAATTTATTAAAAATAAAACAACCAACCTTCAGATCAAATACTGAAGACAGAACTGAGAGGAAGAAAAAAGTATCAAATACGATATTTATAAATAAAAGATGATTGATGACTAGGTTAAAAGACTGCATGAGATTAATGAAAACAATTTTTAGAAGGTCAAATATAATCAAGAGACTAAAGAAATGGAGAAACAAAAAGAGTAAGCTAAGATGAATGAAAAATTTAAGTCCAAAATAGATGTGTAGATAAAAAAATAAGATGCAAAGCACGAAAGTCATCAAAGAATAGCTGAGTATAAATAACAATAACAACTGTTGATCAAGGAAAAAATAGATTAACATAAGTATCAATGATGAATTTATTTAGAAAACGAATTTCGGAGGAGGAAGAGATGATTAGATTGAATCAAAGATTGAAATAGATATGCTAAAATAAATAGGTGAATAGTCTAATCGATTTAAATCTGAAAGATAGAATTGAAAAAGCAATTAAATGCTAAACAAATAAATGATTATATTTATATTCAATTTCCGATGTCTTTATTTTTTTGATTTACCTAATTTAGAATTGATATTGGAAAATGTAAGATAATCGAAATGGTATAATTAAGTTATGATTAGAGCGTTGAACGAAATGCAGAAAAAAACTGTTAATTTTTAATAAATGTATATAATATAATACTATATTCTGCTCAAAATTTTACTATATTATCTTTCTTTACTCCAAACTATTCATATAAATATATGACTAACTTGTTCATGGGCTTAGGTCCACATAACACACCTAAAGTAGTTTCAGTTGGTTTTGGAAATTTTGAGGTCATCATTTCAAAATTAACATGCCCTTTCAGACCTTTCCAATTCTCATCAAACTTAAAGTGTATTGTATGTAATTACTTTATCTATCGTGAAATGGACTGTAAATTGATCTTTGTGTTTAGCTTAGAATTCGTTTAACTCTTTTTATAACCAGATATCTTATTCAGTTTTATTTGCATACAAAAGGACCATTTTAGTGTTATCATTGGGATTATTGCATATAGATTGTATTAATTAATATGCTGGAGTGATACCACTACCTCCACAAATAAATAGCACAGTATCAAATTATGACCAAGTATTATTCAATTTTGGCCTAACAATAAATTGATTGTTATGATAACATAGCTTTCCTAAGCATCTTTTAATAGTCAATTCTGAATTTAGCTATCAATAAATCTCATAAATTACATCTAACTTCTCTAGCCATGGAGTCAATTCCCCTCCATTTGGAAATTGAGGATGTACATTTGGCCTATATATTTTGATAGGTATCTAAAAATATCCATCATCTTCAAACACATGTGTGTAAGCTCTTTCAACTACTTCCCCTTTCAAATTAAAGCCACTCAATATAAAATGATAGTTTACGAGATTTTGATGTGCTGGACAGCTTGCAATCCTAATCTCTCTTTTGGATTTTTGAAATCGAATCTGAACAAATAAGAATCATGATTGATTGGTTCCCTTTATGTAAGAGTCACTTGAAATTTCTTTGTGAAGTATTCACCTAAAGACTCGATCTTGAAATCCTTCTAATCCATCGACCAAATTAATTATAATAATAAATTCTAAATTCCTAGTTCTAAATTTAGTTAGATTCAAATAATAATTGTCAAGATATTCCAATGATATTATAAACAATTAAAGAGTTATTATTTATTCAATTAATTAAACTACGTTTTGTTAACTGTAACACTAAGATCCTAAACTCCTTAGAAACTTTAAATATCTTGTGGAATTTCATTGAAATACATCATATATACTATTTTTAAAAACTAATCATATCAATCTAGCCATTTTATCAGCATTTCCAATATAATCCTTTGGTTCTAAGCTCAAAAGTTTCTTTTTGACATCCTCTGGCAATGCCAATTTTGAAATAAACTCTCTTAAAGAATCTTTTGTTATTTTCTATCCTCTGGTTAATTCCTTGAGTTATTCATATGGATTTGGAACCCCATATTACCTCATAATCTATTAGATAGGTTCGGCCAAGACTTCCCAATGCTATGTGATAAAATACAGATAAATACATTTTCCAAGTCATTGAAGATTGTTTCGTAATTAGGTGATATCTTATCAAGTCCTTTTATTAAACTTCGATATCCTACTACTGCATATCCTAAGCATACTCCATGATTCCTCATTACTGTGGAATCAGATAGATCTCTTTAATATCTAGAAATAACCAGTTTATTCATAAAATGTTAAGCTAAGGAATTTGATAAGCCTAAGTTGCCTTCACAATTTTCGAAATCTATAGGGTTGACTTTGTGTGGCATAGTGGATGAGCCAACTTCGGATTTGATGCTTTTTTATTCGAAATAATTAATTGAGATATAGCTCCAAACATCTCTTGATAATCCAACTAAGATATTATTGATTAAATTGAGATATGAGTAATAAAGTGCTACGCTATCGTGAGGCTCTATTTGAGTGGTGAAAGGATTGTGTTTTAGTTTGAGTTCCTCTATGAATTATTTGCTTAGATTTGGCCAGTCATAATTTGGATATGCTAATAAATGAGCATTGTAATTTCCAACAGCACCATTCAATTTGGCCTCAAATTTTAGATTCCTCAATAATTCTGAATGATTTCTGATTCTATAAGCAAAGTTTGCAAACTCCTTACCAACCGTAGTTGGAGATGCAACTTGACCGTGTGTTCGACTCAACATGGGAACATTGTGATGATCGTGTGATAATTGTACTAATTTATTAATGACTCCTTCTAATGATTTCATTAATAGGTTATTTTTGGCATCAGTCATCATTAAACTATAAGCAATGTTGTTAATGTCTTCACTTGTACAACAGAAGTGGACATATTCTTTCATTGAATGCAATATTGGATCTAAATATGTCATAACAGTTAAATACTCTTGTCCAATTCTTCTTTGATGTAATATTCGATTGATTTAACATCATGATTGGTTGTACTTTCTATTTATTTAACTCTGAATGATTTGGTTACATCGAATTTATCATAAATCAAATCCAAATAAGTCAAATCCAAAGCTGTCAAATTCAAAACCGAATTCCCTTGTTTTATCATACTCTTGGAATGTAAAAACTTTAACCATTCAATTTCCACTTTGATTCGATATCTACAATGAAAACAATTATATTACTTCATTAATGCATACTCACTAAAATAGTCCTTAATTGGGGCTGTTTGAGTGGCATATCTTCCATCAAGAGGTGAAATTGCAGTCAGAGTGGATTCTTTAAATTCTAGGGTTTAATCGTCATTTATTTACATGATGAGAATTTATACAATCTTCTAAAAATTAACATTATTATAATTTCTAGTACTCATTATTCACAATTTTAAACAACTCTATCCCAACAGATCTATATACTTCTCTCACCCTCTTATTATATTGTTGATTCAAAGATATCCTCTTGTCTCATAAAACTACATATCTATTTGATTTCCTACTTTTAACTCATATTTTAAATTGTATATGGAAGATAAATTAGAATAACTAAGTCCAACTTATATGTCTACTCCAAAATTAGTAACTCTAAAATACTTTTAATTATTTTGAATACAATTACAAAATTCAAGTTAAACATCTAGATATCAAAGATTCTAAGTCACAATTATGATCTTATTCATTATAATAGTTATGATCATCTAAGTAATATGGTTCAAGTAGTTCATCTCTTAATTCTATCTTAAATTCGATATTTACTTATAATCTTTAAGAAAAATACAATATTAATTTACTGTCTTAAATAGATTTAACCCTTTTGGCTATCTTAATTTGTTAAGTATATTACAAAGAACGTCTGTATGTTTGATTAAGGAAATAATTCTGTTATAATCTTATAAGTTATATTGATATATCTTGTAATTCAAATAATTAAATCTCTATTTCTTGATGGTCTTTGTGTCACGAAAGAATTTTGCGTTGGCGTATCTCTTATTTGTGTGATTAGCCTGTGGGAATAATAAATTATGATTTGATCGATTCATAAAATAAGTAAAAGTACAAAATAGTTAAATAATTTATTTATTGATTATTTCCATATGTAACAATTCGATACCGAATTTGGAAGATTATTTTATTGCATCTATACTTTGCATAAACGATAACTTATTAGTTAGGAAAGAAAAGGAAGATTAAAAGGTTTCTACTTTTATGACTGTAGATATGCTCATATCAACTGATGATCGTATGAGTCCCTTATTAACAAATTTGAAATAATATAATGAATAATAAGTGCATGAACACTTGTTAATGATTGTAGATTCCCCACAGGATACTGTTCTAAAATAGGAATCAGAACCATCTGAAGAAAATCAATCAATCAAATCCACACGAACATTGAGGATAGGTAAACCGAATCAGATTGTAATTGAAAAGAGTACATTTAAATTGGCTGAAAAAAGTCCCGGTCCTTTAAGTACTCGATCGAATCAAAAAAGGACTTCATTATCGATTCAACATTCTTGAAAATATATGATTTTAATAAATATAAAAATTATATTATGAAATTAATTAAGAAGAAAGACATATTTCAAAACATAAACACAGAATATGAAATCTCTGCTTAAGTCTAAAGAAAATTACTAAATGGAAATGCCTAATTCATTATTGATCTGGCCATCAATTTAGAACTGAACTCCTATTCAACAGTGTCTTTAGCAATTCATTTATGTAATTATTTCTTTCATCACAAATGTTATCTACAATATGATAGATTTGTAAACAATTCCATAATTAACTTAGATTGTTGCAGCTGCATCTCTCTTATTGGCATAAAAAATCAAAGACGGTGATCCAAGAATGAGAAAATTATTAATCAGCTTTCACAGGATCATGCAATCAATTGAGCAAACTAGAATGGCAAACGAAGCTTTAATGTAATCATTGTAAAACAAACTCTGCATAGCTGAAAGCAGAATCTTGAAGGTAATTGAATATGAATTCGATATCAAATTACCCAATGATTACATAGAAGTCATATGCAAGAAGTGCGTCCCAAAGAAATTTGAAGAAGCCACTTTCCACACTCTCAAAATTTTGATCCTGGATTCCTACCGAACATATGCACCCTTAGTGTTTCATTCCTGGGTGATTTTGGTGGGCACATTTTTAGTAGCATCTTCCTAATTTTCATACACACCTTACATGTAACCACCTCCTTAGTTGAATATGGCACAGATCACCAACGAAGAAGAAGCATACAAAGTGTGGTTGGAACATGTTGAAAATGAATTGCGGGAATTTGATGTCAATAAAATGAATAATACAAATTCAAAATAGCCAGAAAAGACGACTATTTTAAAACAAGAAGATTTGAAAGACTTTCTCCTTGCCTTTAATGAGATGTTATTTTTAAATTAGGGCCCAGAATAACAGCAGTCATAACTTTAACCCTAATAAACATAACATCAATCATGAGTTTAATTTTTTTTGTGATCAAAAAGTATATATCAGACCTATCTATTTATCAATCAAGTTTACATCAATTTCTATTTGTTTTATTTAATTATTATCAATGGATCTGCAATTTTCTTTGGTAATTCAAGTAATTATTAATATAAATGAATTTGTACTTACTTTTATTTCTCCTTCACTTTGATTGCTATCTAATTATCTTGAATTCCACTAGATAAGTGATTAATGAGTTTTGTGTCAATCACGAAAGCAAGAAAGATTTAATAATTGTCGTTGAAGATGTGGTAGAGGAAGAAATGGAAATCTAATGGGAATTATTGTACATCAACACAGATCCTGCCATGACTGTCAACGGATGCTTAACTTAACAATACCAAAAGCGTGCGTATACTGATTGGGCTGTTAGATTGGGTAATCAAATTTTGTTGGCAGAAAGACAAGAGTTTAATTTTACTCTTTAGGAACCTCGCAGATTCTATAACTTAATAGATCTGCCTATTTTCAATGATAGCAATAAACTTGTAATGAGTGGGGCGATATTTAAAATTAATAATACTAAACTCCAGATTAATTCAGATTATTTCATTAGAGTCACAGCGACTAAAAATAAAATTTAGATCTTCTCTCAACTGTTATAAATTCGAATTATGATTTTAAAAGGAGATCTAATTCCTAGGCAGATTATTTCCTTATAAAAATTAGTCGATCTAGATCAAACTTAAATTATTCTAACTACGGCAGCCACCTATGATTGGAAGATCTTCATCAAAGATCCCACTAGATTTGGGCCTATTTTGTCAACAATTTCTGAATAGAAAACCTCCTTTATAAACATTTCATTAACTCCAACATGGACTGATAAATTATATATTATAACAATCATTGTTATTGATTCAGATGGTGTTCAATATTACTAAACGGATTGGTTTCATCAGAAGGGACAACAATGGACCTCCTAATCTATAATTGATTGCAATATCACCGTTCTATCAGACAATAACCTATCGAATTGGACATAGAGATATTCTTGCTTAGAATGGTCGACTGGAGAATTAAAAGTACTCCTCCCCCAATATGATTATGTGCACTTCCTCTAATACTCGGAATGCAATAACGATGGATAATTGCAATCTTCTTACCAACCTTTATAATATTGCCTTTGCAAAGATAACTATACGGGAGATCAATGTTAAACTTATATAGACGAGGGTTATTATAATTAGACTCAATCCTATTTTCAAATTCTAATCAATAATTTTCAAGCTCAAACATTGGATAAGTAATATTATCTCCATAACCATAGCTCCACTTTTCAAAGAATTCTCTACTTATTGGTCAAAGAAACACAAGGATACGATTAAATGCTGTTTGATTTAGTAAACTCTAAGTCTTTCTATTTTAGCCAGCAATTGCTTTTAATTTATGATACTCTAGCCATTAAATCCATTATTAACAATAAAACCAATATAACCATAGATATATTCAAATCTGTTTCAAATATCAAAAATTTATTCGAAATGACTGGAATAATTTCATACACTAATTTTATCTTTTATATATCAACCATTAATTAATTAAAACAAATTGAAAATAACACATTCTTATTGGAGTACACCTCAAATACATTTGTTGACTATTCATCAAAATGTATATTTTTGAGCTCCAGCTTTATCTTTGCCTAAATGACACTTTATTCACCTTAACTTAGCTATTTTATTGGATCAAACATTTATTCATAATACATGAACTGTTAAGTCTTCTCAATCAATACAAACCTTATTTTAAACATCAATACTAACATAACCATTGTGACAAACTTTTTGCTTAGTCAGATTCAAAGGCCTACACAATTAAGATGCAAATCCAATTCTACTATTAATATATGCAGGATACATAAATTATATGACAATTATGCAGAAGCAAGTTTTGATGCCTACTTTGGACCTTACGTAATTGAAAGATCCCCTATTCAAAAAACATTCGATTATTAAACAATTGTAGAATCAATTTAAAATCCCTCATTTGACATATTGTTTAATTTCATGATTATACATGTTTTATTTAATTTTTGAATTTATTCATATCTTAAAACATTCTAAAATTTTTCATTAAATTTATACATTGCTTAAAAAAGTATATANATTTCTGAATAGAAAACCTCCTTTATAAACATTTCATTAACTCCAACATGGACTGATAAATTATATATTATAACAATCATTGTTATTGATTCAGATGGTGTTCAATATTACTAAACGGATTGGTTTCATCAGAAGGGACAACAATGGACCTCCTAATCTATAATTGATTGCAATATCACCGTTCTATCAGACAATAACCTATCGAATTGGACATAGAGATATTCTTGCTTAGAATGGTCGACTGGAGAATTAAAAGTACTCCTCCCCCAATATGATTATGTGCACTTCCTCTAATACTCGGAATGCAATAACGATGGATAATTGCAATCTTCTTACCAACCTTTATAATATTGCCTTTGCAAAGATAACTATACGGGAGATCAATGTTAAACTTATATAGACGAGGGTTATTATAATTAGACTCAATCCTATTTTCAAATTCTAATCAATAATTTTCAAGCTCAAACATTGGATAAGTAATATTATCTCCATAACCATAGCTCCACTTTTCAAAGAATTCTCTACTTATTGGTCAAAGAAACACAAGGATACGATTAAATGCTGTTTGATTTAGTAAACTCTAAGTCTTTCTATTTTAGCCAGCAATTGCTTTTAATTTATGATACTCTAGCCATTAAATCCATTATTAACAATAAAACCAATATAACCATAGATATATTCAAATCTGTTTCAAATATCAAAAATTTATTCGAAATGACTGGAATAATTTCATACACTAATTTTATCTTTTATATATCAACCATTAATTAATTAAAACAAATTGAAAATAACACATTCTTATTGGAGTACACCTCAAATACATTTGTTGACTATTCATCAAAATGTATATTTTTGAGCTCCAGCTTTATCTTTGCCTAAATGACACTTTATTCACCTTAACTTAGCTATTTTATTGGATCAAACATTTATTCATAATACATGAACTGTTAAGTCTTCTCAATCAATACAAACCTTATTTTAAACATCAATACTAACATAACCATTGTGACAAACTTTTTGCTTAGTCAGATTCAAAGGCCTACACAATTAAGATGCAAATCCAATTCTACTATTAATATATGCAGGATACATAAATTATATGACAATTATGCAGAAGCAAGTTTTGATGCCTACTTTGGACCTTACGTAATTGAAAGATCCCCTATTCAAAAAACATTCGATTATTAAACAATTGTAGAATCAATTTAAAATCCCTCATTTGACATATTGTTTAATTTCATGATTATACATGTTTTATTTAATTTTTGAATTTATTCATATCTTAAAACATTCTAAAATTTTTCATTAAATTTATACATTGCTTAAAAAAGTATATACAACATTATATTTTAATTTTAATTATAATTTTTTAATTTATTATTCGACCAAATCCATGCATTTCATTTCCAAATCACAAAATATTAAACCAAAAAATAAGAAACAATATTATATTATTTACTTAATCATTCAACGGATCTTTAGCTTTCCAATCCAAAACCTCAAATGATAATAACAAAATAATAATTTTGATAATTATTTCCTTTTGCAATAATTAAAAAATTATCCCCATAAATAGATCTGATCATTAGATCCAATTAATAGCCTTATCCCCTCATTATCACTATGTTTAAATAATTTAATTTATTTAATAGTATTATCCAAATTGAAATTTTTTAGATTTGAAACTCAAGAAAAACGAAGATTTATTCTTTCTACCACTGGACTGATTACCTCATTAATAACATTTGATTGGCGATTTTTACTTGCGAACAAAATTTCAATTATAAAATTTTCTAGTATAACTTGCATATTTTTAAAACACCAACCTTCCAACATTTAATAAAAAGTTAATAATATTTCGCTACTATTTGAATTCTTAAATGCATACAAGCAAATATGTGAATCAATTGAAATATTTCATTTATCTAAAGATTAATTTTCATCTATAATAATTTAATCATTCTTTTTATAGCCCAGTTATTCTAAATTTTATTAAATGAATTCAAATAAAATAATTTAATGATTCTTGTTATTTATTTTAAGATGTTTAATTTATTTAGAAAATGGACTTTAAGCTTTTATGACCCTTCTCTTGAATTTCAATTTCAAGAAAAATTTAATGTTTAAAGGCTATATTTCTTCAGATCTTCACTTGCACTTGGCTTTTTCGTGCTCTTTATTTCTATGCTGGTATTCATTATTTAAGATGCCTAAATACATATCATAATCCTAATTGCTATTTTCACGATAGCTTAGATAGTCTTGCTCTTTTTTAGCAGATAATTGTAACCCTATTTGAAGAATATATTTACTTTGATGTTTGTTTCATATGTAGCTGGTGGAGTGTTAGTCACTTATGCCAAAGATAATGTGTAAATAATATTGTAATTTAGGCCCTTATATAATTACGGATATTCATGTTCTCTCTTATTTTCGACGCTCCTCTAATACTGCGATTTTAAACATAAGGCTTTATTCATCTTCTCAAGTTCTTACATAGGTTTGGGGTTATTTGTTGAATTTTCAGTTGATTAACTACCATATATTGTATTTAGCATATTGATGACCTTTATTTAAGGAATAATGACATATTTATTTGAATATACATTAAGATAAGAATTCACATAATAAATTACAATAAAATCTTAATAGTATTATAATTTATTACTATTAGATCAATCATTTATGAGTTCGTTTAAGATCCATTATTTGCAATAAGTTTCAACAAGAAAATAAATAGTTTTGTACTGGAATTTATAAATAAAACTTTTGAGTCTTCATTTTAAAAGGAATATCATGGAAACTAATTTAAGGAGTTTTTGAGAACTTATACGATCGGAACAAATACATGTGATAATTCAAATAGCATAGGTTTGAATAAACAGAGTCATAAGTAATTAAATTTAGAAGAATACTTATTTGATTTAATAAATAACTAAAAATTAGGATAAGATCAGAATAACATATGTATCTAAGCTATTGGGGATGAAGGGACGCTGAATATTGAAATTGCAAGAGTTTAGTACCAAAGATCTATATTAATATTAATTATACGAAAAAACTAAGTCAAGTTGTAGATAGAAAAATATGAAAATAATATAAAAGCCTTAAAGTAAAAGTTTTAATAGGCACTTATATTGATTGGAAGTACATTAGAAGCTAATTATCTATAATTAAATAAACTAGAAAAGAATTTAGACATTCATAATAAAGCATTGAGAAAATAATATTGCAATATTGAATTTTTGTTAAATTTCATAAAGAATCATCTAGTGTATTTGTAAAAAGGAAGGATGTCTTTTTTAAAATAGTAAATTGAATAATTGACAATTAATAAATTGAATAGGGCATTGTCTAATTACTTTATTCATTATTGTTAATAGAATTCAAAAAAGTTTGACTTAGATTGTCCAGTTGATGTAGAAAAGCAAATAATTTATTTAAATGCTAAATTATTAACTTAACTATTAATTAATTGTTTTAATAAGATTATAAGGATCTCTGAATCTCATAGTGTTATATAAATGAAAATAAAACAAAAAGTAGAAAAACATTTAAATTTTATTAGAGACTTAAACCTCATATAATTTTCTTATATTTTTGAGCACAAAAATCAAATTGACAAGATGGATTCTTAATTTTATCAATAAATTGATCCAAATTCTTTGGATCCACCTGAAATAGAATGCATTGTAAACTAAATCATTTTGAATATTCTCAGCCCCTTAAATATTATCTAAGTCCAATCAATTTTTTAAGAGAATTAATAAAATTATAAAACAACATTGTAATTTTTGATCTATACTGATTAAACTCAATTGGACCCATCTTATACTAAATATATTTAAAACTCAAATTGAGATTATTGAACTATTATAAAATTGTATTCTATAAAATAAAATCTTGGTAATACATTTAAATCATAATTATATAATCAAATAAATAATTAAATGAGCATTCATTCAATTTAAGAAAAATAAAGTAAGTAGGCAATATATATTACCTACAAATTAGATAAGGTAGACTGCTTGGTGAAGTTCGAATTAAGGTCTAAGCAAGTCAATTTTCTTAATTTTTCATAATCCTATTTAAGATTGGAAGCTCCTTTTAAATACTTTGGAATTGAATATTAGGAGAGTGGTTACATAACAACTACAATTTTTGTTTAGATATTGAATCAGGCTCAGAAGAACCCAATATAAGGAGCATCTGATGATGTGATTAATTAACTAATTGATGATTTTGAGTCTATTGAAGAGGATCTGGATTTACGGTTAGTGCATCTATCTAAACTTTCAAACAACCCTGAATTTTCTGATGAGAAGGTCATCAAAGAAAATGATAGATTATTAATGAAAAAGATTAGAGACATTGATTAATCAGTTTCTGACAATTATAAATATAGAAATGAAAATTGGTAATTACTTTATGTGGTTGAAACGACAGCAAAAATAATTTGGAATGGAGAGGAGAAGAAACTAATAAAATTAGGGAAAACTAATAAGTCTATTGAATAATATGTTAAAAAATTAAAACAATAATATTAAGGGAAAATAGAATTTAGACCTTTATTTGCTTAAAGATTATATACACCAGCAAATCATTTAGTTGATAAAAAGTTTTTCCATGTTAAGTTGTTGAATTCTATTCCTGAATCAAAAGTATATCTGAAAGCAGATGAAAGTTAAAATTCATAAATTCATTATGAGTTTTACTTTTTAACAGATGAATTTGTTGAAAATTTTGAGAAGTGTTTAAGAAAGTTTATTGATAAAAATAAAGAATAATATCAAATCCATAAAGTAATTAATACTGATAATAAGAAAATTGATGTAAGTAATAATTAAGATATATCTTAAAATGAACTTTAAGATTTACCAACCTCAGCTTAAGAGTCCTTTATCAAATAAGAATAAGTATAAAATTAAGAATAAGAATAAGAAGCAGAGAAAATAAATTAGAAAGAGATTGCTTAAGATACAAGTTAAGAATAAATATCAAAAGAAAAATAGTAAAAAGAATCATTAGAATAATAATAATAATAATCACTAGAATAATAATAATAATCACTAGAATAATCAAAAGAAGAATAAGAATCACTAGAATAATAATAAGAATAATAAAAAGAAGATTAAGAATCATCTAAATAATTTATAGAATAATAATATTAGGAATATTAAGAATAATCATCAATATAGTAACAATAAGAATAATTAAATATAATCTTATAACAAATTAATTAAAGAGAGTAATTGAATGAATAAACTATAAGTGAGTAGTTTGAGATGAGCAAAACGCTAGATGATACTTCTTTTGAATTTTTTGATCATGATCCAAAAACGAATCCTAGCATTTTGGGTGTCCCAATAAATTACTAGTTGTCTGAGGAGAGTTAAGAAATAGTTTATCAGGCGTCAAAAGTGATAAATTTGTAAAATAATTACTTGAAGGCTTTGCTATACACGGCAGCAGCAAAACGAGAATTGAAATAAAATGATAAGTGATATATAATTAATAAATATATTCTATTTATTTGAATAAAAATTAATTATTATGCTGCTTTGATCAAATCTTTACAGTGGTTACTCAAATTGATGATGCACAAAATAGGGAACGATTAACAGGTTGATGTTAAAACAATTAGAATTGATTTTGACAATAGTATTATAAATTTTATGATGGAATAGGAAATTTTTAAATTAATTCAAATTCCTATCCCAATATCCAAACAAACAGTTTTGGTTGATACGAATTACATTCTGGATCAATAGCAGAAGGTGATTTTGATGAACATAAAATCAGGATAGAAGTGGGAAATCGATTACTAGATCAGATTAGAATAGATAACTGGAATATCGAAATACAGGGAGAACACTTATTATTTGGTTGAGCAGTTTTAGAATGCAGTTCAAATTTACCGAATGATTATAACGAGTAAAGAAGTTGTGGTGAAGTTGATGTACAAGACTGAGATGCAGCGATTTTGTTATCAATTGAATGATCTGAAAGATAGGAGAATGCAATAGCATAAGGCCAGAATTAAATCAGGGTACTTTAAGTATTCGGAAGTGTATGTTTCGTTGTATAATTGTGGATTGCTGTCGGCAATGCAAAATTTGACAATATGTAAGATTCAAGATTGTGGTTTTGTGAAGGATTATTTTGTTAAAGCGACTAAGGATCTAATCGAGATATCGAAGGAGAATTCTTTATTGAGTCTTGATGAGTTGGTTGAATAGGAGGAAGAAAAGGTGTTATAAAGGATACAGTTGCCTAATTAATGCACTTAAGTGAGAAATGGGTTGTTGAAGGTTGGGGAACAACTGTTTCAATTATAATGATGAGTCAAATGTTGTATTAAGAGTTGGAGTAATTGCATTTGATAGTATAAATAATTAATTTTAATTAAAACAACAACAATGCCAATTACGAGTACATCTCGATTCCATATTAAATAGATGATCTGTTCTAAGAATTACTTGTCTTCGAAGATCGATACTAATAGGGCTCAGACAAATATGATGTGATTCAAAAATTAGTTGATTTATATGCTGTTTTAATAGAGCATTATGACAGCATTCAAGTAAGGAATAACAGCTAAATGTAGGACCCTGTGGGATATTATTTTAATGAGAAATTGCAATCTTTGTTCGCATGTTAACGAGCTTTGAAGACCATTCGTAAAATAAATCAGGATCAGGGTACATTTGTGCCATCACATACTCAAAGTTTGATTGTTTAAGAAGCAAGAAGTATTGAGAATAGTTAAGAGAGTGCAAAAGCCAAGGTAATTATCCCAAAATAATAGAAAGTAAGTAGTTGGAGTGGAGTAGAAGAAGAGGGAACGACAAACGAAGGCGAAGATTGCAATGGAAATCTAAGATTAGATTGATTACAGTTAAAATAGTTTAGAGCATTTGATAACAGGATATCAATAGACTTCTGATTAAAATTAGAAGGTTATTGAGGAGGACTTGAAAAGACAGGATGACAACTTTTTACAAAGGAGATAAAAAAGAGAGAGTAAATTTTCCATATTGATAACAAGAAACAAATTTAATGAGAAGATCCAGTAGGATGTGTTCAACGAAATGCAGCACAGAAAGATTGGATGTTTTTGATAGTTGTATAGAATTTTCAAATGGAGCACAAGAGTAGGTGCGAGAATCTAATAATAATAATAGACTCATGTAGTTTTTAAAAGAATAATCAGATAAAGTGAGTTCGGATAAAAATTAATCTCAAGAGTCAGCATAAGTGGAGGAAGTGTAACCGTTTGAAGATTTGAAGGTGGAAGAAACAGATGACATCTCAAACATCATACCTCCCAGGAGACAAATAAGAGAGTCATCTTCCGAAGACATTATGGACACTCCTCCATAGCAATACAGAAAGCCTAAGTAATTCGGGATGATTGATAATGATGGAGATTTGTTGGTTTTGGAAGATGAACAGAACTTGATCAGTGATTTAAATATTGAACTAAACTATAAATAGATTGGAAACTGAATCAAATATAAATACATAATTCATATTTATAATTATATGCTTCCATCACATCACTCACTATATAATAACAAAATTATTTATATTTCCATTAATGTCATTATCCTTGAGATCATCATCTGTGCATATTCACTCTCCATCCACGTAGAATTTGTAACTAAGAATATATTGAATTTTCATCTTAAAGGTTCCATCATTTTATCTTAAACTTCTATGAAAATATATATCGATTATCAATTGATCAGAAATAAACAATTTAGATTTAAAGAAATTATATGAACCATATAAAATTATGAATCAACACTTAATTATCAATTAACATTATAAAATAAATTTCATAAAATTATCATAGATGCAATCATCTAATTATGTTTCTCGTACCAATTAGGCTCAATTATGCCAATAAAGTAAGGTTTCGATATTGTTTTAAAATCTTAAGTCTCAATCGTAATGCGCTTCTCCGTATTTAAATTGATCTCCATTGAGTAATTGCTACCTGCTTTGCTGTATTGAATGAATTCAACACCTAAGCTTTCTTATTTCTCATTTTCATCACTTGTAGACTAATCATATAGGAAGTACTTACTTATTAAATCAAATTGGCTATTTGTTCAGTATTAAGTTCCTTCTCCAATTGATAGAAACAGAGGACAATGTCAAAGAGTTAAACAAAGTAGATTGTTCCCAATTCTGGATGCTTATTACTTGTAATAACTTAGCTCTTAATGTTAATAATTACACTTACATTAAAAATTATGTAATCAATTTTGTTTTTGGTTCCATACTTGCAATTTTATAAAATTTATGAAATTTTGGTTTCTAGCATTTAATCAGCCTATAATTCAGGGGGAATGTCCTTATTATAGTACTTTGAAAAAGGAATTAAATTGTTCTTTAAATTATAGATGAATATGATACCCTCTTTACAACTAATTGAGATTGAGTCAAGGTTTGATAAAATATCGAAAACTATTAAATTAGAGGCTAAACATTGACGTCTGCAAAGTCTTGAGTACAAAAATATTGAATCACTACGTTATCAACTACCTATGTTTCTCTCTGTAATTTCAATGAATATTTAGTAAATCTTGTGTGTTCAATTGCATCGTTAACTTAGCTCTTCCACTTGAACCCAAGAGATGTAAGTTATTTCTATATGTTTTTATTAACTGTATATTCTCCATTCACCATTTCATGATAAAAGCTAAAATTATTCATAAAAATTACTCAATACCAACTTCTTGAATATTCGGATCTATTAAAGTCAATTAAGTTATTAACTATTCAAGCACGTCCTTCAATTAATTCTCTTGGCAACCAACAATCGTATAAATAATCCACTTTCTGATGTTCTCATAATTATCTAAAGCACAAATGCATTCATGATTCTTGATCATGATTTTTAAAGGCTCAGGTTCTAGGTTTTTTTGGATTAGGGGGAAACTTGGTAAAACAAACTTAGATTTATCAACCTTGATGTCATCACTGATGGTGATCTATGACTTCAATGGCTTAAATTTAATTAAATGATGTTGTTTAATTTTGAAGGAGTTTATCATATAACCTTCATACAAAATGGAGAAACAAAAAGTATCTGGTGCTATTTCAATGGATTATTTCTCTTTATCCGCATTTCTTTTGACTGCCATTAGATGCTCAAATTACAAATTGACATGATGATTAAAAACATCAGCAATTTCATCTTTGTAATAAAACATTGGTATTGAGAGATCCTATTCCGTTGGTTAAAACTATGATATTTAAATCGTTTCGTGATTGATTTGATCCTTAGAAATAAGGATATAATAATCATTGTCCAATAAGGATAAAGCATAAATTATTTGTCCATCGATTTCCGTAAAATATATATTAGTTATTTCAGGATCTTAAATCTAATTATGAATAATTTAAATACAATTCTGTAATATTTATACTCATTTCTCACTTCTGTTTTAAATGATGGTAATTTAAATTTTATATCTAATAAAATTACTCTATCGTCTTAAATGTTGGGTTTCAATTTAATTTGAGGGGGATTATGTTCAGTTTTTCTTGAATCAACATAACGTTTAAATTTTTAAGCTACATCAGTGTTGTCAACAATATTATTATAAACTAATTGCATCAATTAATTTAGTTTTGTGCTATGAACATGAAAATTAAATGTAAATTGATTCATTTATTACTTTTGATAATCCTTCTTTTTGTAATAAATTGTATATCTAATATTTTTTTCACTATCATTTGTCTACTGCTTCCATCTAAATCCTTCTTGTTTTAGTGCAACTTTTAAATATTCACAATCAATCAATTTTTCATTTTACATATAATGAACCAATTTAATAGTAATTTCATTTCCAGGTATATAATTACTTATTTATTAGATGAATTGAGGAAACAGTTACATATTTTCTAATTTAATTTATTCAATGATGACTTTTCTATATTATTCAGTCTGTTCACTCTAACTAATGCAAATACCTTTTATTTTTTAATGCTGCATGAAGGCTAGGATTTGTGAATCCTAATAGTCAATCAATTCAAATAAATTTTCTCTTATTGGGAATGAGCTCTCAATGTCGCCATCATTTTTTATTTAATTCAACAATTTAGTGAATTGCTCTTTATTTCTTACAACTTATGGCACCAGAGTCAGATTGTCCTATATTTAAACTGTCTTAGTCTGTTTAATAGTTGGACTTAAGATCTTTAATTCCAAACTCTTTTGGTCTTCTATTTGTAGTGTTGATTCTCTGAGATATTTATTTATCAATTGAGCCTCCTTTCTCGATAAAATGTTGGTTTACATGTCAAAGTAATCATTCTCTATGAGTAAAATTTCGCTGAAAATATTATTGTATATGATTACCAATCACGGATTCTTTTCATCATGTCTTTCTGCAATTAATGATAATTTGAATGGATTGTGTCATTCTTTCCTAATTTGTAGAGCCATAGCAAAAATGGGTCTCTTTGGTAATCTTAATAAAATTCTTTTAGAAAAGCAATATCTCCTCTTAATTTAACGAGATAATCTACTTCATCTATTCTCCAGCGAACACATCTATTGAGGGAATCTCTCCATTTTTTAAATTGCTCAATAACATTGACTGTTAAAATTCTGAGATGAAATAAAAGTTCTGAGAATTTGTGTTCTTCAAATGTTTCAGTTTTCAAATAATTCAAACATCTCTCCCTGCCTTTTACCAAGCTCATTAGCTTTTGTACTATGGATTACTTCAACTTGATTTCAGCAGTTTCTCTTAAAATAGCTTCAAGATCTTTTTCATTATATTGAAGAAAGTAAGCCCTATGAAATTGAGGAATACGGAATTATTCCCACAATAATTGTAACTCATAAAGTCGTATTGCTAATGATTTTTCATCAACCACAATTTTATTCGTAGATGTAGGTCTTTTTACTGATTTCTTCTTAATCATAAACTATTTCTTAATTTCGTGATCACTCAGCTTTCCCAAATAAAAACGATTGTCCCATTATTTTTCTCTAACCTAGAGGGGCGGTTTCACTAATTTCATAAATTATTATTATTTATTCAAGGAGAAATTTAATTCTAATAATATAAAATATGTTTCAAACTTGTATTTCAGAGATCCCACTTTTTACTCTACAAAGAAGATTACCTAATTATTATTATTTATTAAATAGTTTCGAAACTTTATTTTAGACTAGTTCTATCAAAGTTGTGAATTACTTTCTACAATAATTCTCATGCAATTGGAAGAAGAAAATGATAATAAATGTGCAATCAAACTAAAAACAATGATTTCGAGTCCTATATTGAAAGTTTTTATCTCAGAATTGTGATAATATAATGCAATTTTTATTTTGTGCGCATATACAAAATTCTCATAACAATTTTGACTTATAAATATGAGAAAATAAAGTAGAGGACATGAAGAAAAATAGATTGTAATAAGATATTTTTTGGAAATTTTGATTTTAGAAATTTCACAAAAGAATATGAGAATTTAATTTTATTCAAAACCTATTCCTATCAATAATACGAAACAACTATTTTACATGAGTATAATTATATTCTTAGGTAGTCCTTCCTAAGTTTAATTGAATATATATATATTGGAGTATCAATAAGATTAAGATAGGTTCGTCAGATGTAATTTAATTGTACAATCTATTTATTTTAACTTTTATAAATCAAGCAAATTGTAATGCTCCTAAAGCTCCTACAAACAGGATGGAATCTTTATATGATTATGTAAACATTGGATTATGTACAACAAATATTGCTGAAAGTAAATAGATGGATCCAATTACTTTTACATAATTCCATTTAAGTAGTACTCCAAGGCCGACTAAAAATTTCAATACTGCACAGCTAAATACAACTAGAGGTATTGATTCCAATGAAAATTACTAAAAATGATAAATAAAGTTTACTATCGATGGGCTTTTTGTTAATTGTGCAATGAGCTAAAGAAACTGATTGGTTTTTTCATGTGTTTATGTAATTGCTGTTTTTGGGTTCTGTAATTAATGAATGGCAAATCCGACAAAGAAAATGAATATACCTAATCTTCCAATTCTTGATGATAATCCCATAATTTTTATGAAAATTATTTTTATTAATATTTAGGGGATATAAATTTCTTTATTTTATCTGTTATTTATCTCAATTCATCATTTGATTCGAAGTAGTATGGAAGGGTAATTTTGAGAATTTCTAAAATTTGGATATTTATGTTGGTATTTCAAAACTCATGTGTTAATATGGGGAGAGCACGATAGAAACAGTCTAATTTTGGTGGGTAGAGGGGAGATTGTGAATAGGGGTGTGAATAAAGTGTGTGAAAATGGGAAAATGGAGGTATTTTTAATTTGATGTGAATTAAATTTTATAAGTCAACCACTTGTGTATTTGGTGACGGCCTTTGTTCCTTCAGAGATGGCATGTCTGGCCAATTCTCCTGGGAGGAGCAACTTGACTGCTGTTTGGATTTCCCTTGAACTGAGGGTTCTTCTCTTGTTAAATCTAACCAATTTGCTAGCTTCAAGGGCAATTCTATCGAAGATATCATTGATGAATGAGTTCATAATGTTCATAGCTTTTCTTGAAACACCAATTTCTGGGTGGACTTATCTCAAGACCTTGTAAATGTAGAGAGCGAAAGTCTCTTATCGTCTTCTTGCCTTCTTCTTGTCATCTGAGCCCTTCTTGGTCTTGACTGTCTTGACTGTCTTGACTGTCTTTTTTGCGGCGTCTGCCTTTGGTGATTTTGATGGTGCCATTTTTATTAATTTGAAAATAAACTTGAATACTCAATACTTAATGTGTCTATTCTGCAATTTGATTGGCTGATTAGGAATATAAGCGAGAGTGAACTAAAATATACTACAGGAGTATTGTAACTAGTTAGGTATAATATAAAATCACGATATTAAATGTTATTTAGATAGAAGGAGAAGATATAAGATGTTGGAAGGAACAATTTTCGCGATTTTTATAGAATGGAACATGAAGCCCAAACTAAAACGGTGAAGATGATGCCCAGTGTTCAACCTGGATTATCTAGATCAATGAAGTTTCATATTACGTGAATGTTATTAGTTAGCCTCTGATTGACGAGAATCAGAGTTCACTGTCTGGAAGCAGTTGGGATGCTAAACACCTAGACACCTTCCTCAAATAGAGCAAATACTCAAGTATGAGATAAACCTAAGATCTCGACAACTAAGCAGTTTTTGTTGGGAGTGGTTAGAATCAGAGTTTCTTTTTTCGTAGACAACAACCTCGAATAATCCCAGAATATATCGATTACTTGAACATGAGCAAAATTAATCACATTGTTTCTGATCATCCAGTCAATCATTCACAAGAAGTTATAAAAAAGAGATTGGAAGTCCCTGAAAAAAACTATGTTGAACAAAATCTCGCCTTGTCTTAAGTGATCACACTCAAAAAGCCATCAGGATATCTGGCTGAACTCAGAGAAACACAAGAATAGCAAAAAAAGTAAATTAGATCAATCATATAGATTTCATTAATGGCGAGAAGAATTTAGTGAAGCTAACAAAGCCTACAGGAAAATCAGATAAGCCTACAAGTAGAAGAATTTTTAATATTAGATCAGGAATAATTGGAATTGACAATCCTACCATTGAAAATTCTGAATTGTACAAAGATGAGCATCAAAAATATAAACAGAAATAAGAAAATAGAATGATCCATTCAATCAATAGATATTAATGTATAATTACTAGATTAAGTTTAGCATTGGACAAATATGCTAGTGCCAATCCTAATATCGAATTTGATAATAGAAAATATGATGATACTCTAACTCAAATCAATCATACCAGAGTGTTAGGATAATACCCTGTGTAGACCTTTGAGATGGATTCTAAATGGATGCATAAACGAACTATCAATCCTGGTCAAAATACACAATAAAGATTGTTCGGGGCAGTTGATAAAATTAGTAGAGCTGCTTCACTAAGAGCAGAGAACATCAAAAACCAGGAACTCAGGGGAAGAGATTATAATTGCATTTGCTTAACAAAAGTGTGATCATAAATAACATAATCTCACATAGACATTTTTCTAAATTATTCATTTAATTTAAATATAATTATAAGATTGAATGAATCAATACTTAGATTAATTAATCATAAAAATTATTTACAATTTTGTGATTATTATTATTATTATCACTTTTAAGTAATTCTTGATAATCTGATATATCGTTCATAAAATAGAATTAATTAATTTATATATCAATACGGAAATAGAACTTTCCTTTTAAAAATTAACTTTAATAATTAGTACTAGAAAGCTTTAGTTTAACTGAATAATTAATTCAAAACACACAGAAATATACATAAATCATAAATCGGAATCGTAGTCGTCATCTGATGCTTATTATTATTTTCCAGATTATTAGTAAACTCTACTAATGATTGGATTGCAGATTCTAAAGAATATATTAAATTTATATACTTTTCTAATTCTTTGAGTTCCTCTTCATAGTCTTCTTTTTCACCATTTTGATTTTTATCTAACCAATCTTAGCTGTCCTTCAAAGCATCCTTAATAGTATCCTTGTCATCATCAGACAATTTGTTAGCCAACTTCTCTGGATCCTAAATTGATAAATATAAGATATTACTTCAATTTGGTTCTTCATTGAGTAGATGTAACTTTCCAAAGAGTTCTTGGCGTCAATTCTTTCCTTAGCAGCCTTATCTTAATCAGCAAACTCTTCAGCCTCTCTCAACATCTTGTCGATTTCTTCCTTTGATAATCTTCCTGAATCGTTGGTGATAACAATTTGATTCTTGTTTCCAGTTCCCTTATCTTGGGCACCAACTTGGAGGATACCATTGGCATCAATTTCGAAAGTAACTTCAATTTAAGGAGTTCCTCTTGGAGCTGGTGGGATACCTGTCAAATCGAATGTTCCTAACTTGTGATTGTCTTTAACAAGTGGTCTTTCTCCTTCAAAAACTGAGATGGTGACAGTTTATTGTTGATCTTGATAGGTAGTGAAGGTTTGAGATTTCTTGGTTGGAATGTATGATCCCTTTGGAATGATCTTAGTCATGACTCCACCAACAGTTTCAATACCCAAACTCAAAGGAGTAGCATCGATAACGATCAAACCTTTGGTTTCATTAGATTCTTCACCACAGATGATACCTCCTTAGATGGCAGCACCATAGCAAACAGCTTCATCTGGATTGATACCAGTGTTAGCTTCCTTTCCATTGAAGAAATCCTTAACAATTTATCTAATCTTTGGAATTCTGCTTGATCCTCCAACCAAAACGATTTCGTGAATTTCAGTCTTTTTGAATTTAGAGTCTTCCAAAGCAGTTTACATGGGTCCAGTAGTCTTCTTGAAGAGATCATTGTTCAATTCTTCGAACTTAGCTCTGGTGAGTACTTCATTGAAGTCCAAACCATCGACTAAATCTTCAATTTCGATCTTGGTTTCATGGGTTGCTGAGAGTGCTCTCTTTGATTTTTCGATTTCTCTCTTTAATTTTTGGATGGCTCTCTTATCAGCGCTGATGTCTTTGTTGTGCTTCTTCTTAATGACCTTGATGAAATGATCAATGACTCTTTGATCGAAATCTTCACCTCCCAAATGAGTATCTCCTGAAGTGGCAACGACTTCAAAGACACCATTATCAATAGTCAAGATGGAAACATCGAAAGTACCACCTCCTAAATCAAAGACCAAGATGTTCTTTTCTCCATCCTTCTTATCAAGACCATAGGCTATAGCTGCTGCTGTTGGTTCATTGAGAATTCTCACTACATTCAAACCTGAGATGGTTCCTGCANGGATTGCAGATTCTAAAGAATATATTAAATTGATATACTTTTCTAATTCTTTGAGTTCCTCTTCATAGTCTTCCTTCTCTGCATTTTGATTTTTATCTAACCAATCTTAGCTGTCCTTCAAAGCATCCTTAATAGTATCCTTGTCATCATCAGACAATTTGTTAGCCAACTTCTCTGGATCCTAAATTGATAAATATAAGATATTACTTCAATTTGGTTCTTCATTGAGTAGATGTAACTTTCCAAAGAGTTCTTGGCGTCAATTCTTTCCTTAGCAGCCTTATCTTAATCAGCAAACTCTTCAGCCTCTCTCAACATCTTGTCGATTTCTTCCTTTGATAATCTTCCTGAATCGTTGGTGATAACAATTTGATTCTTGTTTCCAGTTCCCTTATCTTGGGCACCAACTTGGAGGATACCATTGGCATCAATTTCGAAAGTAACTTCAATTTAAGGAGTTCCTCTTGGAGCTGGTGGGATACCTGTCAAATCGAATGTTCCTAACTTGTGATTGTCTTTAACAAGTGGTCTTTCTCCTTCAAAAACTGAGATGGTGACAGTTTATTGTTGATCTTGATAGGTAGTGAAGGTTTGAGATTTCTTGGTTGGAATGTATGATCCCTTTGGAATGATCTTAGTCATGACTCCACCAACAGTTTCAATACCCAAACTCAAAGGAGTAGCATCGATAACGATCAAACCTTTGGTTTCATTAGATTCTTCACCACAGATGATACCTCCTTAGATGGCAGCACCATAGCAAACAGCTTCATCTGGATTGATACCAGTGTTAGCTTCCTTTCCATTGAAGAAATCCTTAACAATTTATCTAATCTTTGGAATTCTGCTTGATCCTCCAACCAAAACGATTTCGTGAATTTCAGTCTTTTTGAATTTAGAGTCTTCCAAAGCAGTTTACATGGGTCCAGTAGTCTTCTTGAAGAGATCATTGTTCAATTCTTCGAACTTAGCTCTGGTGAGTACTTCATTGAAGTCCAAACCATCGACTAAATCTTCAATTTCGATCTTGGTTTCATGGGTTGCTGAGAGAGCTCTCTTTGATTTTTCGATTTCTCTCTTTAATTTTTGGATGGCTCTCTTATCAGCACTGATGTCTTTGTTGTGCTTCTTTTTAATGACCTTGATGAAATGATCAATGACTCTTTGATCGAAATCTTCACCTCCCAAATGAGTATCTCCTGAAGTGGCAACGACTTCAAAGACACCATTATCAATAGTCAAGATGGAAACATCAAAAGTACCACCTCCTAAATCAAAGACCAAGATGTTCTTTTCTCCATCCTTCTTATCAAGTCCATAGGCTATAGCTGCTGCTGTTGGTTCATTGAGAATTCTCACCACATTCAAACCTGAGATGGTTCCTGCATCTTTGGTAGCTTGTCTTTAAGCATCATTGAAATAGGCTGGCACTGTGACAACTGCATTAATAACTTTCTTTCCCAAATAGGTTTCTGAGATTTCCTTCATTTTGGTCAAAACCATAGCTGAAATTTCTTCAGGGGCAAAGATCTTGGATTGATGACCCTTGATATTGGTGACTTTAATGTATGGTTTGGTGTCCTTATCGACGATTTCATATGGCATAAACTTTTTATCATATTGGACTGTGGAATCTGTGAATCTATAATACTATGAGATTAAGATTCTTACTTTCTTCCGATCAATCTTTTGACATCGTAGAGTGTTCTGGTAGGGTTGATTGCTGCTTAGTTTTTGGCAGCTTCTCCAATGAGACGTTCTTCATCTGTAAATGCGACAACTGAGGGTGTAATTCTGTTTCCTTATTCGTTTGGAATGATTTCGACATTTCCATTTTTGTAAATTCCAACACATGAATATGTTGTTCCTAAATCAATACCAATGACAGGGCATTCGACTTTGTTTGTCTTTTCCTATGCCCATGCTCCGAGTAGAAGTACGACGAGGATAATTGTTTTCATAATTTGTGACGTGTGAAAAATAAATAATATTAATTTTCTTTTAACTTTTCTTAAAAATATATATGTTGAATATTCTAGAACATGTGGAAAAACACAATTTAATTTAATTTTTAATTATATAAAACCAATATCAAATTAATAGTTTAATCTTGAATGCTCTCTCAATCAAAATGACCTAATTCACAACTCCAATTGCATGATATGACTACCTTATCTCTTATCGCTCTGTAATCAATACCTACGATTGTTTTCATTTGACTTCATACATTACTTCATCCATAGGAAAAACAATTAAACTATCAAAGTAGAAAAGTAATTCTTAAAATGGTATTTGATACGATTAAGTGAATGTCATTTGTTGTTAACTTGAAGTTCAAATTACTCTATTTTACATTATTGAAAGAGTTAGAAATATTCTTCATTCAAGACAATAATTTTATTTTTTCTTCGAAGTTCTACACTTTAAATCGAATTTCTAATAAACAAGCTACATCTCTAATTCCACGCAAAAGGTTTCAAAGATAAGTATTATACTCTCTATATTCCTAAAACAATATAAGTCAGAACATCGAAAATTGTAAAATAGATCAATGATTAATTTTAACATCAAATTAAAACCGCAGGGATACTCTTAAGCAAGTATATGAGAACCTTAAGGAAATACTCCTATTAATGGTAGTAGATATTGGGTAAATTAAATAATCTATTTCTTAGCATTTAACAAAACCTATTTTTCATCTAAACTTTCATTACTCTAAATGACAAGCGATGAAATTATTGATTTTCTTTTGCAAATAAATGAATAGTGAATAAAAATTGGTTTTGGTTTATAAATAACTATTAATTAATTTTGCTTATGTAAGTAACTGCAGAAAAAATTTGCTCTTTTTCAAATCCTCTTTCCTCACCACATGAAGTCAATGGATCCATCTATATGGTATCTGAGAATGGAGACATTTTAATAATGAATAACGAACTTAAAATTGACACTAGAATGGGAGGATAACCATCATCAATTACAATAGAACGAGATCATACAGTAATCTATATTGCTGACATGGCACATCAAGCAATTACATACAAGCAATTAAATTAATTATCATCAACTAATCAGCTTTAAGAAGGAGTCAAGGATTTCGTCACTGAATATGATGGAATGCCATTCTTGGGTCCCAATTAAGTTATCATCTCGTATGTCACTCTAAGTAATCGAGAATATGATTTAAATCCTAGACGCAGTATTTTTTACAGATTCAGGTCCTTTTGGAGAAACTAGTGTTGAAAACCCAATTGGCTCAGTCTTCATGGTTGATGTAGACGGTCCAGAAATCAAGCCAACTGCCTTAGCATACAGATGTTTAGCCCATCCAAGCGGGTTGGCTTTGAGTCACGATGAGAAGAACCTATTTGTAAGTGAGACATGTGAGAATCGTATAATAAGGTTTGTGCTTACGAATTCTGGGATCTACGCATTTAGGTATGATATATATGGTATTATAAAAGCGTGTATCATCAATTTTCAGGCAGATTTGGACCCACAGCCCTTGTAATTTCTTAATCGGATTTCCTTTATGTTGCTCGTTTTGAATTTTCAGTGGGTAATGAACACGATGTGGGGTTGATATCTGTTTTAAATCCCTAAGGCTAACTTTTAGAGAATATTCTAATTCCAGGAAGTCCAGAAATAACAGGGATGTGTTTTTCCGTCATAAAACCAACAAATCTATATTTGACTGACAATTCAAATGGATCCAATCGCTTAATTAAATGTGTCATTCCTTTGGAGGATAAGGACGAAGAAAAGAAGAAGAAGGACAAGGACTCTTATAAAGTTAAATGAATTATTTAATTAATTAAATATTTTATTAATATGCACGAGAAAGCATAACCTTCTCTTCCTTCGTTACACGTAACTACTAATCCAAATATGAATTCGACCAAAAGAATACACGCAAGAATGATTATAGAACCGAATGTTAAGGACATTATATCATTGCCAAGAGCACAGCAAATGGGGTCGTATAATCAATAGTTTCGAAGAGTTCCTTTAAAGCTGAATCCAAAAGTTGTGCAAGCCTTTTCGCCGTATTAAAGCTATTCAATTATTGTATTTATTGTTGAGATGATTTAAAGAGTTTTAGCGATTTCCTTTATGAGAAACATAAAAAAGAGAAACAGCTCTAAAAATTAAAGGAAAAGAAACAATTGGAAAAATTAAAGGACATTTAGCACAAAGAAAAAATTAAGTACTTTCAATAAGAGGATGAAAACAATGAGGATATAATTGACTCGATAATGGAGAAGGTTAGGGTGGAATTGGGACAACAACAAATGTAATCTAATTTTATAACAAATTGATTTTTAAAAATATTTATTTTTACAATCAATTATGGATTAGTCAATTATTATGATAAGTTTGCAAATTCGTCCCTCTAAATTACTCAATCAAATTTATACACTTGAAATTTTAGTGTTTCTTATGACATTCATTTTGGATTGAGAATGAGGAAACATGAGAAAATATAATGATTAATATAATAAAATATGAGCGTTCGTAAAATTCAAAGGGATCCAGGACCTCAGACTGAAGGGTACAAAGGAGTATTCAAGGGAATTTCAGAGAACCTGAATGTGGGAGTAGGCAAGTACGCTCCTCCAATAGCCATGGAATAGAGAGAACATCACTACAACATTGGATGGAAACCATGGCAATAATCAAATGAAACCGTTTATGAAGTAGACTACAAACCAAACAAAGATATAGTGAAGAGAGACAATGTACAGATGTTGTAATCGTTATTTAGTGTGCCAATATGCATCCATCAACCATACATATTGATCACATTAATGTGCCTTACAAAAAGGATACTCACTTCAACTCCGAATATAAGAATTACAAGGACTATCAGAATCCCCCCAGAGCCAAACCTATTAGAGACAAGCTTACCTTGATGGCCACTCAAATAGTGATGGGTGATGACCATCCAAATTACAAGACTGCCTAACTGATTGCCCAAGAACCCAAACCCCCGCAAAGACAATTGGTTTATCATCCGAAACCAGAGAAATACGACATCATTACTAATCATGAGGTATGTGCTGTGGAAGTATGACCATTAGGCAAATTAAGAGAGAATAAAAAAGGCATCTGCTTTCGACTATTGGAATCCGACTACAGAGAAGAAACATCAGTCATTCAACACTTCCGAGATCCCTCAATATAGAATGGGTAGTAGAGATCCTATTACGGGGAGATTTATTTCCTGATATTATTATTTATTAAAAATGATTAAACCAACTCTAATTCACGTGATGAATCATAAAAATGATGAGATTGACAAGTTAAGTGAATAGATACTAAAAATTGGTATGGTTTCTATCGCATTTTTGATAGGCCTTTCGAAAGTGTTCCAAGAACTATCAAAACCATTTGATTGTTCTTTGTCGCCTGAATAAATAATACGACTCCTAAGTGTATTTCATTATATGATTCAATAATGTTCTCTCCCGAAGGAAGTATTTGCCGACTGCAATATAAGCATGATAACCAACACACTCAACACAAGTTTTGTATTGGATAGACTGCCTACTGAATTGAACTTGACCATCTCTAAAAGTGTGAACCTGGCACCTAGTTGGGATAACACTCCTAAGCAAACTCTGGAGTAAAATTACTTCAAAGATGAACAGAATTACAGGTAGAGGAAGAATGACAAGAAAATCTATTTTTAAGAAGTCAGAGAACCTCTAACTTACCAATAGATTCTACAAGTCTATTACATCTATTTGAAAAGAGTGTGCATGCAACAACTTTGTGAAATTCCCGTTATAGATTGTTTCGTCATCTAAAATATCTAGTGTTTGGGATTAAGAATAATTGAAGGACAGAAAAATTCTAAACTTCGTTTTTGTTTTGATCTGATTCTCAAAGATCTAGTCTCATATCAGAATCAAACCATTGATTTATTGTCTCAATTAATGAGCACCCATGATATGAATTAGACCTAAGAAATTTATTTGTAAATGTATTTGGTTAGCAAACAATTAAAATATTACTGCAACTTAAACAGATGCAATTTCGATTAATCCAAGTTTAAAGAGTTTAAGAAAAATCACAATTTTTGCACTTACAAATACAAGATATGCGAATCCTAGGAGAGAATGGAAAGAGACGATTTGAAAGACAATCACAATTTCTATAAGTATGAAAGAACACAATTATACAACTAATTTTGATTATCAATTCTCTATAAATTTAATAATGATTAATTAATCAACGGAAATCGAATTCTCTCAAGAAAAAGAACTCGCTGTTTCCAAATGGCAACTAGAAGATGAAGACAAAGAAAATTAAACTAAGAATCTTCTCTTGCCTGCACCACCTAAAACCTCTCTTTATAAGATCAAGATAGAATATCCAGATTATAGTTCTCAAACTCCATCAAGCAATAAATCAAAAGAGCTAAAAAGAATGATCGAAACCAATTTCAGAAGAAGACCCAAACAGTCAAGTGACGCCTGGGAAGAAATTCTACTTAAATGCAAAAATATAAAAAAGGGATGACTAATTGATTCTAATTATTTCTCACCCTCTATATTAAATATAAGCAATACGATTGAATTGATTTTTATTTTAATTTGAATTAGAAAAGATTTTCTATGAGAATTTAAATTTCGAGAAGAATTTGATTATTCCATTGGGCTGTTTACTTAGTTTTATAAAAACTATGAACCCATGCAGAATTTTTCTTAAATTTTTTCAATTTTTTAATAGTCTTTTTGAAATATATTTATATAAAGAGCAATTATAATTTATGATATAACAGTTATTTCTTGGAATCTTATGAAATTAAAATATACTACAACATTTTCTTATTTAGATTGGAAATATATCCAAAGGTGTTGAATTGCAAAGGAATATTGTCTGAGTATAGCTTAGTTGGTTCATTTAAAAATTATATCACTTTACTTTATATTCAGATCTATAATATTAAGATTTTATAAAGGTATTTAAATTGTAATATAAGTAGAATGACTTAAAAGATGTATAGTTAACAAAATCTGCGAATTTATTCAAAGATGAAAACCGTATTTTTAAGCCAAAATTTATCATCATCGTTACTCTAAATGGATATAATGAATAATTATCTTTATATATTGTAGGTCGAGTTTCTTTTGATTAGAAATCACGTTTAAAGGATTTCATGATATTTGATTATAAATGAAAATCAATTATATTGTAAACGGTTTACTCAACCAAAATATTTGATAATGTTGAACATATTACTTTTATTTATATTAAAAGGATATTACATTTATTATATGTTTCAAAGGGTGTTTCTTTTTAATGGAGAAGTGTTTCATGGGATGAAATAAGAAAAACAAAATTTATCTTATATTAGAGAAAATATTTGATATTATAGTATTTTAAAATTTGTATGTTTAGTTGCGGTGTCATTCTTGAATTAATCAGAATATTTGATTTTAATTAATAAATAATCAAAAAAGAATGTCAAAACGGACGCCCATTCCCAAATTTACAGAAGGAGAATAAACTCCCACAAAATAAATTTCATTATATGAGGAAATTAGCCATTAAATTAGCAAAATGGATCTAAACATGGAGATTGAGAAGCAATGTGTTTAAATTTTGTCTTCGATTTAAATACCCAACTCATCCTAGTATGCCTAAGCGCTAATCCATATCGCAATGAAGCAACTGAATCTTGAGCCTGCATTTGCTAACTCTAAGATTTAGTTTTTATCTTCTTTGATTGAGACCCAACTGAACAATAATCTACCTAACTTATGCAAGAAACTTAAAATGGACAATAAGGCCACGAAGGCTTGTCAAATAATGCTGAATACAATTAGATAGTTGGTGAACAAACTGCCAAAGTAAATTTAGAATGCGTTGGCAATAAAGTTGGCTTCTGATATCATTTATTCACAATATGGTGGTATCAATTTAACCGTCATATCGAAACATGCATAAATACCAGATGCACAATTGAGGAGTTGTCTCAACCGAGTCAAGCCCTTCGCCAGAACCATTCTCCAAAATTACTTAAGCCACTTTAGCACAAAAAAACAACAATGAACTAATTCGCTCTTATATTTCTCAAATTTGTATTATATTAATTTAATATCACTTCGTCTTGTGAATGCAGAGGGGCAAAATCAGAAAAGCCCGTTGTATTCGCTCGGCATTAGTTTATTTTGGTATAATGATAATTATAAAGAAAATATAATAATTTATATGATAAATACCAATAATGTTACAATACAAATATATAATAATGCGAATCCACGTAAATCAATGAAGGTGCATTATCTAAGGAAAGAAACTGATCGAAGGAAATTCATGCAAATGTGCTCAGCAGTTTTAGGTTCTGGACATCATCATTATTAGAAATAAGAGCGTCTAGGATATTTGATCAATCAGGCAAGGAGATAATGGACATTGCCAGAATCTAAATGGGAGGGAATTATTTCATATCTAGCGTATACCCAAAATGTATTATCAATATAGGGAGAGGAGTTCAATAATTATAATTCTAATTTTTAAAATTCTTCAGCAGAATCAAAATAATTAGTTTAATACAGGATTTCATTGTTGGGAATGGGTTCTGTTGGAAAATCCAATTTGACCACTCGATGGGTTAACAATGAATTTTTTGAAGAATACAGTCTCACTCTTTTGGATAAATACACAAAAAGAGTAATCGTAGGTGAGTAACAATGTCAAATCGAAGTAAATTGTATATCCATTTACAAAGATATCGGACACCTGTGGTTAAGAAGCATACACATCCTTGAGAACCCAATGGATGAAGGATAAGGAAGGGTTGATATTCACATATGCAATCAACTCTTTAGAAAGTTTTGAAGATATCAAAAATACTTTGTTGTTATTTTAATAGTTATTTAAGATGCAAGATTATGTTCCATCCATTGTTATTGTTGGAAATAAAACTGATTTAGCTTCTGAAAGAGTTATTGCCTACGATGAAGGGAAGTAGTTGGCTGCTTAATTCAAAGCACTCTTTTATGAGACATCAGCCAAGAATGGATCCAATGTCAATTAAATGTTTACTGGCCTTATTAATGATATCATTCAATAAAAACAGTTCAAAAAAGTGGAGGAAGACGTCTAGAATTAAAAACCAGGATGGTGCTCATTAATATGAGTTTCTGATTGTTATTATGAAATAAAATATTATTTATAAAGACAGAAATGCTGATTTATATATGCTTATTCAAGTTTCAGTTTAAACAGAACTATAATTTCCTATTTCTTTAAAATTATTTATATATTTTAACAAACAAATAATAAAAGATGTCTTAAGGCACCAATAAACAAATTGATTTGTTGAAGTAAGAGATAGACAAAACCAACATCAAAATTAAGAAACTACAACTTAAGTTATAAAATGAAAAAAAAGAATTAAAAGAAAAAAGGATCCTATTCAATGGAGTTAGAAGTCAATATGAAAAATACTCAAAGTTGGAGGAAAAATAAACAACTAACTTTTATGAAATCTAGGAGACATTGAGCAAATGTTAGGAAGAGGAATACTAAAAAAACATTGAACTATAAAAGGGAAAATATCAAATATCCCTTATTGATTACGAAGTTGACTCAAAGGCATATTAGAAAGCCCCTTTTACTTAGAAACAGCAATTCATAGAGTTCAGAGAGCAGGATGAGATTGCTTTAAATGAATTGGATGAAATAGAGAAGGAGAAGAAGAAGATGAAGAGTAAGTAAAAGGAGAAAGCGCAATTAACAAAGAAAATAGAAGTAACAGCACCGAAGTTGTAATAAACAGAAAAGCAATTAAGACACAATCAATATTAGAAAGTATATTATGAATAGATGTTGGATGATGTGAAGTATTATATCGAATAGAAATACACTTATATTTCTGATTTGGAATAGTCAATCAGCCAATATTAACAAATTTTAGATGAGTTGAATTCGGATTTACAGATTGGGATGATGAACAATCTAAATTTTCATAATTGTTCTCAAAAACATTGACTATCTATTAAATTGTAGTATTATATTAAAATAATTAAGTGATGTCTTAAAAGTTCATTTCACAAAAACCTAATTTAGAAAACAAAGCTAAATCCTAGAATTAAAAAGCTAGGTTTCTAAATGACAAGGAGGAAAGTGAACATCCCCCTTAAATGAGAAATGCATAACGGTTTTTGTAATTCCATTTCATAATCAAGAAAGTCGAAAACCAAAAGCAACTCAGGAGATGATTGTTATTCCTCAACCATCTATTCAGTATGCTTAGCCAGTAATTAACACTTAACAATACTTAGTATGTTCCAAAGCCTATTCCCATACCTGAGGCAATCAAATAGATAGACAAGAAAATTCAGGCTTATCGCAGAGTGATGGAGAGAGAGAGACGGGAGAAATTGCAACGAGAAAAATAAGAATAATAGAGATTATATGAAAATGAGGAGGATCAGAAAAGAGCCTTAGATTTTATGACAAATCCTCAGATAGTGGATTAAAAGGAAGAGGAACCTTCTTAGTAGGAGTAAGATGATGAAGAGCTGTTGTCTGAGGAACCGAGAGTTCAGGATCAATAGCGATTAGCAGTCAGTGAGAAGACTTCGTATTCTGAGGCGGTGAAGAAGAGAGAATAGATCTACGATCACACACTTTAAAGGATGTATGAGAAGAGATAAAACCCAGTACTATTTGCAGTAATATCATATATTTATTATGAGAAATTCAAAAAGAAGCCTCCCATTTTAAATATTACAACAAAAAACAAGATTACAAAGGGGAATGGAAGGATGGATCCTGAGGAACACAGATTACGAGTATACAATAGAGAGAATGTTCCAACAATACCAGATTTGATAATACCATCGTTTACTATTAAGAAGGATTAAATGGCCAAAAATATTCTGGCATATTTAGTAAAAATTAATTAATTAATTTTATTTAGAAAGAATATACTCCATTATTTCGGGGGTATAAGAATTATGAATATCCAAAATGTGTCTAAAACATTCTGTAAGAAGAGATTGACTCACTTCCTTAATAATGATATTTTGCTTTATTTGTTTCTTATATTAAGAATATTGGTAATTTAATGAGATAAAGATTAAAATAATCAAGAATATGTTTTAATGAGCGGGACATTATTGAATTGAAAGCGCGCGTTTAAATTTAATAATTATTATTAATATAATTAAAATGGCTACTGCAAGAATTCCATTCTCTAATGTTAGTTAAGTGAATAAAGGGGAGAAATAGGCTGCCGCACTAGGGGAGAAAGTCGAAAAGATTGGTAATACAGAAAAGTAAGTTCCACCTACAAATACAGAAATTAACAATGTGAAAGGTTCTTTAGATGAGTAGTAATTTGAGAACATGGACAAGCAGACACTTATACAGCAACTAAAATTGCACAAGTTGATCTTGAAGCATTGTTTTGATGAAAATGACATTGTACAATTATTAGAAGGATTATTTTTAGTTGAGAGAACGAATAGCTGCAATCGAAGCATAATTCAGTAACTTATAGGATGAAATTGAACTAAGAGACAATGTCATACTAGAACTAAGTGAGAAGATCGAATAGAAGGAAAAAGAATGATTTATTTTTTGTTATTATTTTTTTGTAAACCTTTTAATGAATTATAAAAAAGAAGAGAATTAATTGAAAAAAGTAGGGTATTTTTTAAATAAATTTTGATTTATTATCATAATGATAATTATTAGCATTCATAAAATCAACCGATTAGATGGGAATAGTATAATAAGCGATATAAGGAATAATGAAAACTGTAGATAATTATGGTTTATAATATTCAAATTATATCTAAGGTATATTTTTTAAGGATTGGTGGGACTGATTTGGGACCTCCTTCGTTTACATTCTACTCGAAATCAACAATCAAACAGAACAATATAGTATCAACTCCATATCCATATAAACTCAGGAAAGTATGAGCAGTAAAACCGGAGGTAAATGCAAAGAGCTACAATACAAATGATTATTAGAATTACCGCCACAAGGGTAAAGTATTCAGAAAAATCATAGAAGTCACTAAGCATCATAAAGATACAAATTATTGAGGAAATTATTGTAATAAAGGCAACACCTAAAAGTTGAAAAATTTCACCCACTAATATTAGAATTTATAGAGTTCTTACATCCTTGAGTGATGGCCACACGAGTAGAATTTCGATAAACTAGAAAGAAGGCATCATATGCAGCAAGGCAAAAGTCCTGTCCTGTCAATGACATTAATGTATAAGCATTTCTATCCAAGACCTTAATTACTTTATCAAAACAACGTAAGTAGCATTTACAGTATAAAAATTAAAGGCAGTACAACGGATTCTATTAAGTAACGTTCGTTATAAATTTATAACATGACTATATCATTAAAAACATATAAATACAGAGTATTATGATAAGACTTGTTTGATTACCCAAACAAGAGGAAAAACTGCTGCGCCATATAAAATACTACCAAAATTTTTTGTGAGTCCACGCTGATATCCTTTGAGAATGCTTCCTTTCCTTGGACAACCCTAATGGCTGTAATACCAATAGGAACAGCAAGTACCAACAACAAAATGAGTAAGTCCGTTTATAAAACTCACAGTCCAAATCAGCCCAAAATAAAATGTGCATAAGGAAAAAGCGGTTTTTTAATCCGGATCTAATCTAACATAAGGATCTTTAGGATCCTTTAGTATTTAAGTGGTAGTTGATAAGATGATATTTTAGAATACCAAACAGTATGCAATTACTCCAATCATTAAGATTGACATAAGAAAAGGAACAAAAATGATTGGCAGTTCCTAACTTATAAAATCGCCAGCTGCTTTCAATATGTAAATCGCTTATCTGATCTTTTTAGCCAAAATGAAAACTGCAATAAGTGCAATCACTCCACCACCACAAAACATACAACCCTCTATAATTAGAGAATAAGGGTTTTCGTCTTCGTATAAAGGTATATAGTCAAATCTATAGCCACGATATTTAAAAAATGAAAGTACTCCCAACCCTTCTAAGAGCAAGAAAATTAGAACAACCATTCCCCAAACTACACATCCTGCTGCAAATCTAATCATAAGCAGTATTGAAGTAGAGAAAATAATTGAGAAAACAGCAGAACACAAAATTAAAGTCCATCCTTCCTAAATGTCTGCATATTACTCTTGAGCGAACCCAAACATATTTGCAGAATATCCCAGTTTTCGATATTTCTCATCTGCTTCTTTAGTCGGGAAACACATAGTAAAATGTACTATTGTGGGATAAGGTATTGGTTAAGCAGGACAATGATAACAAGGAAGTATTTAACCAACATCACTTTTTTCAGGACAACTAGAAACGCAATAATACTCTAATTCGCTTAACAAATAGATATATGGATAGTCTTTAGTCGCCTTCCTTCCGCATTATCTTTCTTTCTAAAAATTATTGTTTTTTATTATACACTATCATAAGGCTTATAGACGTCCCATGGATTTCCTTTCCCCCATATCAATATTGAAGTAATGATCATCATGGCCCACATTATCAAAAAAGTTATTAGACAATTTACATTTTTGAATACTCGTTATTCAATTGGTCCCTTTTTCAATTCATGAGTCAATTTTCGGCCTAAAATAATTGATAATTTATGTACCTGTATAATTAACATCTGCTTCCGGATACTCGTATTCTTCCTGCGCCTGTATCTGTCCACGCAGAGGTGCAAGTACAGGTGCATTCACAGGCGCATTCACAGGTACAAGCACGGGCGCATTCACGGGCGCATTCACAGGTACAAGCACAGGTACAAGAGCAGGTACAAGCACAGGCACAAGCTTTTTATCCTTCCTGAGGAACCTCTCGGTAGACATGTAATTATCAATACAATGAATATAATAATTTGATAGAATGATATCACTCACAGGTTATATGGAGATTTTATGAATTATAAATTAATAGAAAATGTTTGATTAATTGTTTTGGTTTTAAGCAAATAGGATGATTAAGTTAAGATACAATTACAAAAGAGCAGTCCACATCATAATTTCCTGGAATAAATTTATTTTTTAATCTCATCAGCTTATGTATACAATTTGCACTTTTTTATGTCATTTCCTTAATGAATTCATGATCTTGGAAATAAAATCTATAAAGATTCCTGACTTCCTAACCAGCAAGGGTGTTTTACAAAGCCAATTTGCGTAGTTTGTATTCAATCTCAATTGGTTGGATTAGATAGAAGTTGAAATAAGCACAACTAAGGAGGAAAACAACTTTGCTGACTTTTCGAGTGAACATAAATTGAGTGAGGACAACAGACGAAAAATATATGGCATTGAGTCCCATAAGTGTATTGTCAGTCATCTCTTTGAACTCATTATCAAGATTTCTAACATAATAGCTTATGATCAATACGCCTATTGTAGTTCTTATAAAATGGATATCTATTATTTGTTATTGAGCAATGAATTGACTTTCTATGATTAGATACAATAGTACATTTCTAATAGATTGCATGACAGATCCTTCAGAAGGCACGTCTGCAGTGAGAAGAGTCTTTAATAATTGCATGCCATCGGAATTATTGGAATTATTATCACCCATAATTAATAAAATTAATGATTTCATAGAAGGATAAATTAATCATTTCCTACTTACTCATTAGCAGATTATTACACTATGTATTGATTCATTTAAATACTTTATAAAAGAGATAGTAAAGTCTCTTTTGAATTAGATAATTCCTTATGAAAGTTAGGCATATTTTCCTATTAGATTAATTTCATTAACATCTGGATATTTATCATTAAGTGTAAGATAGTCCTGCAGCTACAAGCAGTTATGATGAATTCACATAGGTTGGTAGTAAAATCCTCAAGTGTCAAAAAACTCATCCCTATATAGTTTTCTGAACAATACTGATGATTATTGAATTGATTAGAACTGAAAAAGTATAAAGGAGAAATATGCTCTTGAGTCATAATAAGACACCAGGTGAAAAAGTAAAAACTCAATTAGACACATTATTATATATTCTTCAATAGCAGTTAGTTCCATTGTTAGTTAATCATCTTATCTAGTATAATCTGCTATCCGATATGGCTCATGTCAAATGAAAACTATATTTCTATCCTAACCCAAAATTAAGTGAATGATTTGGATTTACATCGACATCTTAATGAAAGTTCAGTAGCACTTTGTTTAATGAATTTTTGATTTACAAAAAGCAGACTTAGTATTTATTTTTGCAATATTTAACATTTTTAGACTTACAAAATAGTAATGTCATATTAAATATTTAAAATACGCACTAAATAACTATTTTAGGTATCATTATCTGCGAATATCTAAAATTATATCCACATTTATGTTACATATTTTTATATATATTATATTAAAGAAATGCATAAAATGTCTATATAAGAGATGAAACAAATTTTAGAACAAAAGATTGATTTTGATAGTTAGGTTACTTAAAGTGTGATGAGCAAATTGGGTTTGAATTAAGGGGCATTATAAAAGGTTAGCTACTTGGAGTATATGACTGCGAATAATAGTTAGTAAGATTATTTTTCATATTTACATTCGATTGTAATGAACATAAAAAAATTGCAGTAAGAAATAGCGAAAATGAATTTAAAGGATAAATCAATTGATTGCACGGAGCCAGGAAATATAGATGAGATTATAGCAATATTGGATCAAAGGATGCAGAAGAAAATGGTTAGCAACAGTTAACCTCGCATTATATCGTACAGGGAGAAAACTCAAGAGAGAGACGAGAGGAAATCAAGAATAATAAAATTGAATCATCATTAGATTAAATCAATAACAGAGAGGACATTGATATAGCAACAATCGCCACCTAAAGATCAAACCACTTTAATTTCTCAAAGTCCAGAAAGAATCATACACAAGAGTAAAGTTGTGCATTATGGATAGAGTTTACAATTTCCAACAATTAAAGTGTGGCTGATTTGTATTCTAAACAACAGGCTTCAATTGAAGCGAGTACTATGGAACAATTAAACGAATCATTGCGTAAGAATATACCAGACAAAAACCAAACAATAATAACGGGTATTCGTTAGAGGTTGAAGGACAACAATTGCAGTAAACAAGCTATCGATGAATTTATGAGTAAAATCTCAAAATTAAGATGTGTATCATAATAATCTATTGAAAGCAATAGGAAGATCTCAACTCCAGCAATCAAATTGGTAAAAAAGAAGAATTCCAATATAATAACCTCAAAGTTGGAAATGATGCTAAGAAAGGAGAAATTGATTATTCCTGATGAGCCATTGAAAATTCATCCCCTTAAAATCGGAAGCATCATGGGTGTGATCCAGAAGATTAAGAATCAAAAATCAAAATAAAAAATGTTTCAACAACTCAATAAAGAACAGTGAAATTCTAATGCATAGATTTTGTAATAATGATTTTTTTTTGTTTCGATTTGAATTAATGTTTATTTTTTATTTGCTTGCAATAGCCAGATTTCAGAGGATTACACAACCTACCTTAACAAGAATAAATGAGAATATCTTGCACACAGAATACAGTCCAAATGTGGGATAAACATTGTTATTACAATACAATAGGTGAGCATTGTGTCTTAATCTATCGTCTAGTTATCCCGGGGTTTATGATATGAAGCTCGATAAAATCATAGATGATGAATCCATTGAGATGATGCCCAATACAACACTTGATCCATTCACATTGCCTGATTGCTATCCATATGCAAGAAGGTTAGTGTATCAAGACCTCTTCATGGAAACATTCGAATCAAATTCTACTAATGCATTCTTTACAGCTCTTTATATTGAGAATAACTAAGTCTTTGCAACTCGAAGTGATAATCATCTAATTGTTATGGACATTCATTTTGATGGAGAGAATATTAAAAATTTCAAAAGAGTAAAAATTATATAGATACCTTCAATTAAACCAACTAGTGATACACATTAGATAGTATGCAATACAAATAGTTGTGTAATCTTTACATTGCAAGATGCATTCATAGTGAATACCATAACTGATTAATTTACTCAGTTGAATTTGAATAAAAAATAAACACCCCAACATATCCATTATTGTGAAAAGTTGCAGACACTCTATGCCGCTTATGGTAGAGAAGGCATTGATGTGTACCTGTTTGATAATAAAAACAATTTCGAATATCTCACAAGCTTGAATCTTAATGGTAACTTTTTGGAAGTCTTGACAAATGAAGAAAGTACTCAACTCTATTTGTTAAATGCTGATGTGGGATTGTTAATCTATGAAATATTTTCAGTCAGTCAATATGAGGATACTGGTATCATCATCTACCTAAAAAATGTTGTTTCCTTTGATTTCTATAAAAAGACTTTCATTCTAGTTGCCAACACTGATTCTGGCGATCCCTATGCCATCGAAGTATTCCTACAAAACAATGATTATTACTTCAATAGAATCTATTCCAAGGACATGGACATCTTCGATGTTTATATGGGTGAGCATTATGCCATTCTGATTGGGTAAGAAATTCATCGAGTAATCTACCATTCAATCTACAACAAGTATTTGAATAAAATTGACGTTCCATTATACTTTGAAGATTTTGATCTAGAAAACGTGGAGGAATTCAGAGTTAAGACTTAAAAATTATACAATCAAAATGCATTAGATTTTGAACCCTTCTAAAAAGCTACCATCTATTACAAATAAGCGTTCATGGTTGGCATATCTGATAATGATATCAATATCTTTGCCATCAAGAGTGTTTTTCCTTGGTTGCAATGCAGACCCCAATCGACTGAAGTCACAGTAATTTAATCATCTCAATATTAGCATTATTCCTTAGCTATGAACTCCACTTAATGTAGCACCAAAGAATCTGAAAACGATTACTCTCCATTTTCATAATGTGTCATCTATCATAATTTTACAGTTTCTGGTAAGGAAATTCTCTTTTTCGAAGAAGATGAAAATTTAGTCATTGCACTTGGTAGTATTTTAGGGTATAACTATTTAAAATTATGTTTTATAGTGGCCTAATAATACTGTTACTCGCAGTTTTATTGTTGTGTAGAAGAATACTACATCAAAAATTGAAGAACTACACCATAATGAACGAAGTACCTGTAAAAGTGGAAGATATCCCGTTAGAACCAATGGCTGGTGAAGATGTACTCGTGTCATGAATTATATGTTATTAATATCATTTTATGTTTAAAGGGAAAAGAGCTCCTTCTGAATTTCTTTGTATGGTACTCTCTTCAAATTTTAAAATTATTGTAGAAAAAAAAGGGAATGAAAATATAGACTTAGTAAATGAAATATTTCAAGAAGATCTACCAAAAATCACGTAATTATCAGAAAATTTTTATATTTATTTTTGTTCACAAATATCAACTCTATGTTTGTAAAAAATCTGAGAAATTATTAAAATAGTTGTATCATATATATAAATTTTTATCCAAATAATAATATACATATAGATAACCTTGAAATACTATCAACCAAAAATAAGTAAGATTGGTTGACTTAACTAAGATCTAATAATGATGCATTATAGATTATAGGGAATAAATTTATATAATGAGAATGTAGTGGGTATCTGACATAAAGGTTAAATAATGTATGATCATATTCAAGAAAATCAATTATTCACAGGAGCTTCAAATGCAAAGGCAATCTAGTCTTCATTCCCAGAAATTTTAAAAATATATCAATATTGAATCGTAAGCACTGTGCTTTTGCTTGCCATTACATGAGATTAAAATCAAAATTCTTCACATTATCGGACCTCTTATAGCCACTATTCTGAAATTTATATCTTTTTGCCATTCTTCTATTTACAATAGGCATTTTACATCATTAGAATTCAAAGACCAACCCTAATTTTATACTCAATCTATTATAGAATTAAAAATGCAGAAATAACAAAGATTGTAGATAGGGATATTTTAATTATAGATTACTCTTAAAATACAATAGTTATTAGATGGAAATTTTTTATTTATGAATGATTATTTATTATTTCATATTAGATTTAAGCATTGTAAAATTCTGATAGTAAAGAATATTTTTCAAAAACATTGGTTTTTCTTTGCAGTAGGTCGATTATTTTAATTATATTTTAAAGATACTTAGTTTTTTTATTTAATAAATATCTCTTTATTATGTATTATCATCTAATTTTAATACCGTTTTTCTATCATTTCTTCCACAAGCTCCTAAAATATCTAATCTACCTTGTCATTAAATTTAACACTTATTTAATAACATCTAGCAAAATTGTATTTTTGTGCACATTTCTTTAAATATTCTTCAGTTTAGAATTCTTCTTTTTACTCTGATAATAGGTCAGTTTTATTTTGAATCAAGAAAATAGGGAAACCATCTTTGATGCCTTTTACAACATTAGACAAAGGGAAAGCAGTCCAAAGATTACTTATTTGTAATGTCACACATTATTAAATAACTCTTTGCTTATCGTATAACTATATTTTATAAATACAAGAAACCTTCATGACCTTCAAATTTAANTATTGTTGTGTAGAAGAATACTACATCAAAAATTGAAGAACTACACCATAATGAACGAAGTACCTGTAAAAGTGGAAGATATCCCGTTAGAACCAATGGCTGGTGAAGATGTACTCGTGTCATGAATTATATGTTATTAATATCATTTTATGTTTAAAGGGAAAAGAGCTCCTTCTGAATTTCTTTGTATGGTACTCTCTTCAAATTTTAAAATTATTGTAGAAAAAAAAGGGAATGAAAATATAGACTTAGTAAATGAAATATTTCAAGAAGATCTACCAAAAATCACGTAATTATCAGAAAATTTTTATATTTATTTTTGTTCACAAATATCAACTCTATGTTTGTAAAAAATCTGAGAAATTATTAAAATAGTTGTATCATATATATAAATTTTTATCCAAATAATAATATACATATAGATAACCTTGAAATACTATCAACCAAAAATAAGTAAGATTGGTTGACTTAACTAAGATCTAATAATGATGCATTATAGATTATAGGGAATAAATTTATATAATGAGAATGTAGTGGGTATCTGACATAAAGGTTAAATAATGTATGATCATATTCAAGAAAATCAATTATTCACAGGAGCTTCAAATGCAAAGGCAATCTAGTCTTCATTCCCAGAAATTTTAAAAATATATCAATATTGAATCGTAAGCACTGTGCTTTTGCTTGCCATTACATGAGATTAAAATCAAAATTCTTCACATTATCGGACCTCTTATAGCCACTATTCTGAAATTTATATCTTTTTGCCATTCTTCTATTTACAATAGGCATTTTACATCATTAGAATTCAAAGACCAACCCTAATTTTATACTCAATCTATTATAGAATTAAAAATGCAGAAATAACAAAGATTGTAGATAGGGATATTTTAATTATAGATTACTCTTAAAATACAATAGTTATTAGATGGAAATTTTTTATTTATGAATGATTATTTATTATTTCATATTAGATTTAAGCATTGTAAAATTCTGATAGTAAAGAATATTTTTCAAAAACATTGGTTTTTCTTTGCAGTAGGTCGATTATTTTAATTATATTTTAAAGATACTTAGTTTTTTTATTTAATAAATATCTCTTTATTATGTATTATCATCTAATTTTAATACCGTTTTTCTATCATTTCTTCCACAAGCTCCTAAAATATCTAATCTACCTTGTCATTAAATTTAACACTTATTTAATAACATCTAGCAAAATTGTATTTTTGTGCACATTTCTTTAAATATTCTTCAGTTTAGAATTCTTCTTTTTACTCTGATAATAGGTCAGTTTTATTTTGAATCAAGAAAATAGGGAAACCATCTTTGATGCCTTTTACAACATTAGACAAAGGGAAAGCAGTCCAAAGATTACTTATTTGTAATGTCACACATTATTAAATAACTCTTTGCTTATCGTATAACTATATTTTATAAATACAAGAAACCTTCATGACCTTCAAATTTAATTATATTTTAAACCAGCCACATCCCAAAACTAAAGTATCAAATTCACACAATTTTTCATTATCATCTTTAAGGCAAATTATACACTTTTGTTGCTTGATGATTATGACTGAACTCATTAAAACAATATTATTATAATAATGATGTTTTTCCTGTTTATGATTCGCCAACAATAATTATTTTTATAGCCATTTGTTATCCAATTTTTTTTAAATTGAATAAATAATATAACGTATTATTGCAGTATTATTATAAAAATGATAGAATTAGCTTAAAATGGAATAATATAAGAAGATGACTTTAATCAACCAGAATTACAAGACCTAGAAAACGAGGAGTATACATCCATATAAACAATATTCCAAGGATTGAAGGAGATTAGATAATTCCAACTAAACAATAATTATGAGTCTGAAATTATCAAGGAGTAATGCTTGTTTTATTTTAACTTTACAAAGGACCAAAGCTTTTACAATGAATCTTAGTAAGCGATAAATCCAAAGATAATTAAAAGTTGGAATGATGGATTTCTAAAAAACGATAATGATTAGTAAATTATAGCATACTTTTAAAATATTCTTTAAACGAATGGAAATTCTGAAGTAGTAAATTATCGTTAATTATCAAAAATAAAACTCTTTGTGAAATTATTTTTGCAAAAAAAATAAATTTTAAAGATTGAATTTTGTAGTTTAATTCAATTAAGAGTAGGATGAAGAAAACATAAACTTAAAAATGAAACATAGAATATATTAATTATTTGAAGGATTTTTTGAAGAACCTTAAGAGGATATCATGATATTTTGTGTATTAAGTAAGGCGGAAAATATAAACGGTGATTAGGAAGTTAATTAATGTGATAAGTTTGGATAAATATATTGTTTTAACGAAGAATAATTTAGAAATGAACTGATACATATAGATATCTCTTAAATCACTATAAATTATTTTAACTAAATTAGCAATCATAATATTAACGTAATGCAGTAGGTTAACTATTTTAAATCCATTGGATACATTTGCAGTTAATACATTTAAACTAAAGTATATAGTTTGTTTGATTAACTCATGAAAACACTTTCCCTATTAAAATTTTAACTTAAAACTTTATTAGAGTTGCCAACAAACTTAAATGAGTAAGTAAATTTAAATCATAACATAAAAAAATATTAAGATGATTTAAAAGAATTAATCGAAAAAATAAATGAAAAAATAACTAATTAAATATAAGGATTATAATTATATTAATTAGTTAACAATATCTTAACTACAGTAAGGGAGTCTTCAGAAACAATTAAACAAGATATAAAAAATATGTCCGAAGTTCCAAATATTTCTTGGATAATTAAAGAATATCTAACTAAATAAGAAAATAACATTCTGAATTTTCATAATAATTTTTAACCATAATATAATGATATTTTGGAATATTTCAAGGAATATTATACATATGATTATGTAAAGGAAACAATATAAACATTTTAAAATTATCTATTGTTTTGGCTTAATCATTATGATTCTTACATACCTCAAAGACTCTCATAATTCAGTCGTTTATTCAATAACCCAAATATCTCTTAAAGTACATACGATAGTGAGAACGTTGTTGTGCTAGGATTGAGTAAAGTAGGAAAGAGTACTCTTTTGAATATTGTAAATAGTCCAAATAATATGATATTAGAAGAACCATACCCAGATAGTTACCGTTTTAATGTAATTGATGCTGATAAAGCTATAGAAATTTCACATGGGAACAATAGTTAAACTTCCTAAATATTCGACTTAAAGATAGCAACTAATAATTCTCATTTGATATTTATTGATACTCCTGGATTCGAAGATACACTTGAAGAAAGAAGATTGGCTAATCAAATCAACATCTTTTATATATTAATAAAATCAAAATAATTTGTCATTTTATTCATGATAGATGGAGAGGGACTTATTTAATCAAAACGAGGTTTATAGGAATAAATAAAACTTACAAATAGTTTTTTTAATGAATAACTAAATTCATAATATTTAGAGTAGATTCTTATTCCTGTATTTACAAAGGTGAGTGAAGCTACGATGGAAAAAATTTAAAGAGAATGGGAAACAGAGACCATGAAGGATTGCGATAACCTGGTAAAGGAATTTTTAAGGATTATAAAAAAAAAAATTGATAGCAATTAATACATTTTAATACTTAACGCAAGGAGTTATTTCACAAGTAATTTGGATGAGCTTAAAGAAGAGTATGCAAAGAAACTAAATGAAATATAAGTGTTAAGGTATTCAAGCACAGAGTAAGACAAAAACCTTCTTAATTAAAAGAGGAATGAGAAGGAGGATATTGAATTATAAATAAAACATCTGGAGGCTAATAAGTAAAAAATTCAATATAACATCACTGGTTCAAGTATTAGTGATTTAAGAGAAAAGATTTTAAATTAATGTTAATTATTAATTATAAATTAATAAAGGGAAGAATAAGTTTAATTAAAATTATAATTATCTTTAACTATGAAGCCTAGNAAAGTATATAGTTTGTTTGATTAACTCATGAAAACACTTTCCCTATTAAAATTTTAACTTAAAACTTTATTAGAGTTGCCAACAAACTTAAATGAGTAAGTAAATTTAAATCATAACATAAAAAAATATTAAGATGATTTAAAAGAATTAATCGAAAAAATAAATGAAAAAATAACTAATTAAATATAAGGATTATAATTATATTAATTAGTTAACAATATCTTAACTACAGTAAGGGAGTCTTCAGAAACAATTAAACAAGATATAAAAAATATGTCCGAAGTTCCAAATATTTCTTGGATAATTAAAGAATATCTAACTAAATAAGAAAATAACATTCTGAATTTTCATAATAATTTTTAACCATAATATAATGATATTTTGGAATATTTCAAGGAATATTATACATATGATTATGTAAAGGAAACAATATAAACATTTTAAAATTATCTATTGTTTTGGCTTAATCATTATGATTCTTACATACCTCAAAGACTCTCATAATTCAGTCGTTTATTCAATAACCCAAATATCTCTTAAAGTACATACGATAGTGAGAACGTTGTTGTGCTAGGATTGAGTAAAGTAGGAAAGAGTACTCTTTTGAATATTGTAAATAGTCCAAATAATATGATATTAGAAGAACCATACCCAGATAGTTACCGTTTTAATGTAATTGATGCTGATAAAGCTATAGAAATTTCACATGGGAACAATAGTTAAACTTCCTAAATATTCGACTTAAAGATAGCAACTAATAATTCTCATTTGATATTTATTGATACTCCTGGATTCGAAGATACACTTGAAGAAAGAAGATTGGCTAATCAAATCAACATCTTTTATATATTAATAAAATCAAAATAATTTGTCATTTTATTCATGATAGATGGAGAGGGACTTATTTAATCAAAACGAGGTTTATAGGAATAAATAAAACTTACAAATAGTTTTTTTAATGAATAACTAAATTCATAATATTTAGAGTAGATTCTTATTCCTGTATTTACAAAGGTGAGTGAAGCTACGATGGAAAAAATTTAAAGAGAATGGGAAACAGAGACCATGAAGGATTGCGATAACCTGGTAAAGGAATTTTTAAGGATTATAAAAAAAAAAATTGATAGCAATTAATACATTTTAATACTTAACGCAAGGAGTTATTTCACAAGTAATTTGGATGAGCTTAAAGAAGAGTATGCAAAGAAACTAAATGAAATATAAGTGTTAAGGTATTCAAGCACAGAGTAAGACAAAAACCTTCTTAATTAAAAGAGGAATGAGAAGGAGGATATTGAATTATAAATAAAACATCTGGAGGCTAATAAGTAAAAAATTCAATATAACATCACTGGTTCAAGTATTAGTGATTTAAGAGAAAAGATTTTAAATTAATGTTAATTATTAATTATAAATTAATAAAGGGAAGAATAAGTTTAATTAAAATTATAATTATCTTTAACTATGAAGCCTAGTTTAGAGACTGTTTTAAACTAATTCAACAAAATTAATAGCCTTATTGATCAATAGATATCAAATGAAATTGTTAAAAACATTTTCTACAAATCAAGATCATTCAATGAAATTCAGAGTTTACTCCCAAGTATCTAAGAAATTATCTCATAATTTAATGAAAAACATATAAATTCTGAAGAATTATGGATAGGCTTATGTGAAAAATTGAATATGCCCAAAAATACATGCTTTCTAGACGAATACTTATTTTAGATATAAAGATTTCATTATTTATACTCAACTTAGGTCTAATAATAAACTGAAGAAATAACTTTGAAACTTGAAAAATTAGATCGCAATATAAATTTAGTATAAACAATTTGTAAACAAATAAATGATATAATAATAAGAAACCACTAAAACAAAAGTAGGTTGAAATTTCCTTACTTCATTTAAATTAGTCGTAGGAGAGAAATTGCTAGATTATCAGATATTAGTCAAATGCAATCTTAGGACGAAATTTTGCAACTTATTAGATTAGAATATCATAATAGAAATCGAGATATTAACATTTGATAATTTCAGTTTTTTTTAAATCAAAATTATAAAAATATTAACCAATCATTATATTCGAAAAAATATTTATAAAACTTTATAGTAAAATGATGATGAGAGATAGATATAATGATAGAAATACTTTATATATTTCAATAATAGAAGGTATTCTTCATCTTAGAACTGATCTCTTCTTCTTCTTTCAAATGTGTTCTATGATATACAACTATATATTACTTAAAAACTAAAAGCTTTTTATTCAACAAATTGTAAATTTTTAGTTTTTTTTTAATGAAAGCCTCTAGATTGCCAACATAAGTATCTACATCATAATCTACTATTCCAACTCCTTAAATTGACTAAATTAATTCACTTTCTTATTGTAATAATTTAGCATCCTCCTAAAAATGTTAAATAGATAGCATACTTTTATAGCAGCCATATGAATATTGAGAATTTCATCTTGTTCTTCCAAGATGGTATTAACTTTTTCGTGAAAATCAAAGAATTCATTTCCATTTCCATTTGCATTATTTTATTCATTCTTCATCATCGTTTCTTTCATGCATCTGACATCTTCTTTGACTTATCCATTCTTTTTATTAACTAATTCTTCAGCTGCTACATCATCATCTGAGTCTTCCTGAATTGAACTGGCTCTTTTCTATTATTTTGGAGGTACAGGTTAAGATTTTGGTTTTTCTTTCTCTGGTAATTATGATTAATTCTTTTTAAGATTGGCTGCATTCTAATTGTTTTAATTTCTTGGATCATTGATTTTTGGTAATTATAAGGGAGGATTCTATTTATCCAATTATTTATTGTTATTATCTAAGTTCTTATCCGATTATCTATCTTATCCTTATTGTTATCTGTACAATAGTTCTTCATTTGTAACTTCTCTTTCTTCTAATTACACTTTGGCTTAATTTGATTTATCTTTTAATCTATCAGCATATCTCAAAGTATTCAATGAATGATCAGCAGAGGAACTTCCAGGACTAATGCAAGCAATCATAATGATTCTCGACTTGTTCGATTTTGCAGTGAATGAATCTCTCAAAACCAAAGTAAGCTTAGAGGCTCTGAATGGAACATGTCCTTATCCTGAATCCATAGCTCTTATGCATTCTTTCAATGCCAATAGACTTTTATTAATTTCAGCCCCTTCCAATCTCCTTTATCTATTGTTAGATTAGGTATCTTATGCTCTCTCTGAACCTGCTAAATCAACCAAGATCAATTTTCCAATGTCTGAATATCCTTATCTTATAGCAATTTAACAGATTGAATGAGATCTCGATGATGTATCATTTGCTACAGTTGCATGAGTTGTTCTGACTGAGTTAGCCAATTCCATCAATTAAAATAATTCCTGTTCTGATTCACTCGGCTTTTCAACTAATCCTTATATTTATATGTTATTATTCTTATCTTCCATTATCTACAGAGGTGCCTTGCCATTCAACAAATCATAGCATTTTCCACCATAAATCTCAAAGAATGATACAAATATCTTAAAAGAAGGAGTAGTACTGATTAACTTATATAAATCAGTGGCTAATAATTCCTAAATGCTTTTCATTGTGTATGTCTTGCCAGAACCTGTTTGTCCATAAGCAAAACAAGTTACAACACCTTAATTTATCAATAAATCCATCAATGGAGCCAGACTTACATCATAAATGTCCTTGCCCTATTCTACCTCACTAAAAGTGTTATCAAATTAGAAATCATGATTTTCTACATATTTAGTAATGCCATCTACTTTTAATTTAGGTTCATGGACTCTTATCATAGGGTTTGCACAACTGATAGCATCGATTTCCCCTCCAACTTCCTCCTTTTTAAAGATTGGTCTCTTTCTAACACACACACATAATTTGATATTTTATGTAGTCTAATGTTCTTGTATTAATCCTCCTTTGAGTCTTGTTTTGTCAATCATGATTTCAAATTCTACATCAACATTTTTACCCAATATTTAATTTTACTCTTCTCTCTCTGCTTTCTCTCTTTTCATTTCTTACATATTTTTACGACGTTCCTCTCTTTGTTATTCCATCTTTTTGATATTGTCAACAACTGATCCCTTTTGCTATTATGCTTATTATTAAGCAACTATTTATTATGCTTATTGTTATTATTAGGGTGCTTGTTCTTGCTTATTATTAATTTCAATCCCTTTCTATATATTGATAATTATACCATTAGCCTTCTTTAATCTATCCAATTTCTCTTATTTTGTTCCATATACTCCTAATCCTTTTGCCTTTAATTAAGCAATTACATCTTCATCGCTTAATTTATTTATAGCCTATTCTTTTTTATTTAATTATCCTTCTCGTTAAGCTTTTAAACGATCTAACAATCATCTCATCTATTACCTCTTTCTTTTTATGCTTAAACTGATAATTATTACTGTTATTTAGATGGCTGCATTACTTTGAAATTTGAATTATTTTATAATTATATAATTATTAAAAATTAATCAAAATACTTTTTATTCATAATAATAGAATTCATCGTAAACAAATTATTAGTCAAATATCAATTACCTTACAATACTTTTGTTTATTGATTATCTTTATCAATAGATAATTTGATGCATCTAAACAAAAATTAATTATTTTACAAAAATAGATAAATTTTTAATGGATTTAATGATTTTTTAAAGCAAGGATGAATCTTATTCTAGTTAAAAATTAAATATAAAAATAATATTCATCATTAATTTAATATTGGCGCTTAAGATTTTTTTAATTATTCATACTCATCTTTTAAGATTATCATCCGGAGTCTTTCATAGCGTAATTTAGTAGATTGCTCAAGGGTTTATGCCTTCTCAACCAATCTTATAAATTTAAAAAAAGAAATCCTTAATTTTTTCCATTTATTTCTAAATTTGGAATTTTTAATTTGCTAATTATTTTACACCTAACTAGAGCTTTTCTTTACTAGTTCTAATTCATCTTCTAAGTATTAAACTGAGATATTCTAAATTTTTTACCCATTATTAATGAATTAAGAGAGGTTATTAACAGACTTCAATTTATCAATTAAATCCATAACTAAACGTTGATTTATGAAAAGATTATGAAATTGCTAAATCAAGGAATCGAAAAATGCAAAAACACTTATATTTTCTTACTTTTTAAAGTTTTGTACAATATTTGATAATTAAGAACATAAGTTTATTACATCATCTACATTTCTAGAATGATCATTTAAAATATTATTAATTATCACATCAGTAACTTATTTTAAAAGCCTTTAGCAGATTTAATCTTAATATTATAAAATGATATCATAACTCTCTTTCATCTCAGCATTTAACTCCAAATTAAAACCAATTTTTGCTTGTTATTATTTCTATTCATTTTATAATTATCTGCATTAATCAAAAATTCTTGATTTAATTCCCTTTAGCAATTCATAGTTTATTTATGGCTTTTGAGTTGATTTATTATCAATTTATTCTTATAACTAAATTACTTATTAATTCAAAGAAATAAGCTGTTCTGAAATTCTATTATCTCTTAATAGTTAGGTAATTTAATCTTAAATTTTTTACTTTTCTTTGATTAAATTTTATATTTCTGTTTCATCAAAATATTTGGAGGCATTCAACAATTAAATATATCTCTCTTTATCAATTCTATTTTTAATTGCTTTTAAAAAATAACTGATATTATCATTAGAAATGTTTGCTTCGATTTCTTTATCCCAAATATTATTTATATACTTCATGGTATCGGATTCTAATCTGTTAAATACTGGTATAATAAAGTTTTCCAACTAAGATTCAAATAGTTTTTCTCCAAAGAATAAATTGATATGTTCAATAGTAGATTACAGGTTATTTTTATTTTCACACAATTTTGATCCATCAATCAAAATTAAAAAGATTATCTATGGAGATCTTTGTAATTATGAAAAGATTTTTATTTAATTTATCAACCTATTTTCCCTATCAGTATCCTCAAATCCAGGTGTGTCTGTGAATACAAAGTCATCAATTTCTTGATCAACTATGGATTTAGTTTCACTTTAACAAGTTTATGATATTTCAATACCATTTTATTTGTCAATTGTAGAGAAATGCATACGGTTACCATGGTCGATAATTGTAATATTTTCAGGATTAATCAGTATATTCAACAATGTACTTTTACCAGTTTTTGTCAAGCCTAATACACAGATATTCGTTTTTTAAATCGGTTTTTACTAATTCGAAATTGTATTTGATTTTTAAAATAATTTAAACCTGTATGGAAGATGAGTATCAAAGTACTGAACCTCTACTGCACATTAATTAGAAATCATTTCAAAATCCTATTTTAAAAAACTACTTAATGTTTCATCCTAAGTTTCATCTTGAAATATTTTTTATTTTTCTTGATATGCCTCAATAATCTACTCAAATTAAAATATAAAGATCTTTTCCTTGTTTGCATATGTACTAAAACTCAAGTTTTTTTATGCCAAATTTCTTAAACGGTTTAAAATGCGAGGCTCCCAATATTAAATAGCCCAGTGGATTTGTTTTATAATAATTGAAATAGATATATTCTTTTCATTAAGTATTTACCAGAATCTAATGATAAGGGAATTCAATAATTTTTGAAATTGATGAATATCCTCATCTTTCAAATTCTAACCTTTTAAACTATTAGGTAATTCAAGTAATTCATTTATATTATATTAAAACATTTGTACATTTTTCAGGATTTAGTATGAAAGTACTTCCAACTAATCTTGTATGTACAAATAACATTCAAAACCAACAGAACAAAAATCATTGTACTCAAATTAAAAATAACCATATGATGATTATAAATGACTTATGAATTAGGAGTTAAATTCCTTGCATTGAAAAATTTAACTAACCAGGTCTTAAAAAATTATATCTTTAAAATTCAAACTGTTAATTTGGATGATATCTTAATGAATTATTGGCTTTCTTAAATAACAAATGACTTTCTTCTATTTCAAATTACTTGAAACTAATATGACTTCCTATTATTCAGTTAAGAAGCCATCAAATAACTAATTAATATGTTTTTCGATTAAGTTTTGGTTATTTTAGATTATAATGTTATTGTATTGGATAACAACTTTAATATAGCATTTTCCAAACTGTTGTGCAAGTTTGAGTAAATTAATCCTTAATATTGTTAAATTAAATATATCGATTTCATCGATTTTATTTTCTTAAACTAGTTTTTAAAAGTAATAAAAATGTAGAGATTGCTGATAATGACATTCTGACTATACCTCGAATTCAGAATATATAGTATTTTAGCTAAGTAACTTTAGATCTTACAATTTCTCTAATTCTATTAAAGAATCAAAACAATCCGTAAGATTGAAGTACAAAATTATCCTTTTAAAAGATGGACTTAATTGCTAAGCGTTATAACTTTCTTTTTTAATATTCATACTCTTAAGCATAATCGAAATGAATATTTATAAAAAATTAATAAATAACAAATATTTTTCTCAAACAGATTAATGATACTACAATTAATAAACGAAATTAACAGATACAATATACATATAGTGATTTTAGTTAAAGTTTAAGAGACTCTGAGCTAATATTATTATAGAGATAAGTTTTCAATTATATTAAATAGCCAGAAAGAATTATCTACGTAAATATTATTATTATTTTCTTCATAATTAAATGTTTCATTATTAAACCTCTTAAATCTTAATAAAAATAAAAATTATTGATAATAGTACCTAATATAAGTTATAAATTAATAACAAATATAAGTGTACAATAATTTTTATTTTTAGAATCAACTTAAAACAAATCAGTTCCCATCTTACAGATTAAAAATAAAAATATAAATAAATGATTTAAGCTTATTATCAGATGAACTATAATTATTAATTAAATGTACTACACGTCTTCTTTATAAGAAGTATCAAGAAATAATAGACAATTATATCTCTCAAATTAACTAACTTTATAAACTTTATCTCGAAACAAATAAAAGTTAATAAAATAATAAATTTATGGGTGCTATATGTTCTTGTAGATGTTGTGGATGCTCAAAGGCCAAGCCGATTCCCCCTTAGTAAAAAGTTGAACAGCAACCACCTAAATTGATTATTGTACCTAAACCAGAACCTAAACCAGAACCAAAACCAGAACCAAAACCAGAACCAAAACCAGAAACAATAGTTGTGATGCCAGAAACTAAAGTTGAAGTAGCGGATTATTCACCACCTGAAGTCAAACCAACAGAGGATTAAGTTAGCAATTAATAAACAGATCAGGACGAATAAGAGTTTGATAAAGCATTAAAGGCCATTTAGGATAGCAGCATAGATTTTAAGGAAAATAAGAACGAAATAGAAAACCAATTAAATGCTAAGTTTAAACAAGATTAAAATTTATTAAGAGACAGTTCAGAAAATCCAGATTTTTATGGACCTGATGTAGCAAACAGAAATATTTGTGATATCAAAAACAAATATGATTTCTCCAAAATAAATGAATTTTAAGAATATTAAGGAAATATCACTATATTGAGATTAATCTAAAAATAAAAATCTGCAATTTGCACTTATCTTGGCAAAATAGAAGACAAATATTGTTGTGTAAAACTATTGCCAATGGCAAAGAAAGAGGATATTCAAAAGTGGATTGAAAGAGTTAAATAAGTTTAGAAAAAACCTGATGATGTGATGATAGAAACCTTCGGTTAAAAATATCACTATTACAAGATAGAAGATGTAAAGAACGTACAAGAATATTGCAACTGTTATATTATTAGTAACTTAGAATAATATAATGCTTATACTTTTAGGTATTTATTAATTATAATATCTAGCCATCATTTATCAATAACATTATTAGACAAAGTAAATTTGGCTTACTAAGCAATCCAGGTTATTTCGCTAGCACTAAAAGCTAAAATATAAGATGATAAATAAACTGTAAATCAAAAGCTGTCTGTATAGATATCTAAGAAATTGTGCACAGTGAAAAGAAATAATATATTGATTTCTAAATAAAAAGATTACAATGGAGAATTTAAATTACTCTTATCTGATTGGTAATTGTTACTTGATGAATTTGAAACTATTATTCCAAATCAGAAACTTCAAAATGAAGATAAGAATTATGAAAAATATGTTTGTTTACTTCAAAGTGTATCTGGTAATCTTAAGAACGCAGCTAAATCATAAGAGGATTAAGTATTCAAGAAAGATATGTTAGAATTGGATGAGTTTACAAAAAGAGTTTTGTTTTTAATATTTTTTAGGGTCAATTATGAGTAATATTATTTAATAACTTATTAGTATATTGAATGATGATGTTGAATTAATTGGATTTATAAACTAAAATAAACTGAAAAAGATTAAAGAAAATATAGAAAAAATTTAAAGTAGGGCAAAAGATGAACACCAATAATTAAAAAATGAAATAAAATTACGTTATACTTAGTCTGATAATTAAGATTAAAAAGATAAATTAGAGAAGAAAGTGGACAAAATAAATAATGGCTAAAAAAGTTAGCTTCCTCAACTCATATGTTAAGAATTTGGGTTTAATAACTCAGATGATAATAATTTACTATATAAAATTTACATATTGTTAGAAGTTTTAAGTACTGAAGCGATGCGAACACCACTTAAAGAAATACTAGAATAGAGTCAATTGAGATGATAAGTTTATTAAGAATATATATATTATAATATATCTAATTCTTTTAAATAATTTTTATTATATGAAGTGTTAAGAGTATATAAATCACTTTTGATTCACAGAATTTCTTCTATATCTATATTCTATCTAAAAGAAAGTGGAAGTAATTTTTAATGAAGAATCAATATTTAAGTTAAATTTATACCAAATTTACTTAATCATCTTTACGAGATACAATTTTTTGAGTTGTTATCCATTTTTAGATACTTGATTAACAACCCAAATATAGTTGTTGATATGAGTGAAAACATACTGATTTTAAGTTAAATTATGCATTACTAAGAAATAAAAATTGCATAAAATTAATCTGTTTCTAAATTAAAGATTAGATTATATTAATAAAATGCATAGAATAAACAAAATTTTATGATGATGGAAGACAAGGAGGTGTTATATTGAATACCTTGTAGAGAGTTCGAACGGTATGAAAAACAAATATCAGCATAGTTAGTAGTTATGATTTAGAACTTCATGTTTGTTAATTTTCGTAATATTAAACACGATGATTCAATCTAATTAATTATTTTTTAAATGGGTTGTTCATTGACATCTAAGAAAAAAACTGACCAATTTCAATCTCAATAGTTGCCTTCACAGATAACTTCGAAACAAATTGAGGGAAATGAGGTTGAAAGAGAGATTTTTAATCAATTTTGTTTAGAAAAATACAAAATTTAAAAGAATCCTATAGTTTAAAGAAGAGCTCACTCTGCTAAGCCAAGTTTAATAAATGATGAGAATCAAGTAGAGGCTTAGAATTCATTTGTATAAAGATAATTCTCTTGATCATTATTTTATTATTATCTCTTCATGTAAAATTACTTTAACTTTTATTCATCGATAAACAGAGTATTAGAGAACTTAATAAAAAGATAAGTTTAATCTAAGATGTGAATTCGGAATTAACATTATTCGTTTTTGAAATAATTAACAAAAGTAGAGTATCTTCACTAGTGTCATCTTGACTAAAGCAACACAAGTAGAGAAAAATTGGAGGTCTTTAAGATGATATGAAAAAACAAGACCAAAGCATTCAGATAATAATAAAATTTTGTCGACATTTCTTTATTAAACATCCTTGAAATAATAAACTATGATTAATTTTTTGATTTATATATGATTGGTTTATCGGTACAATATATTAGCGTAAACGATTAATTTAAAAGAATTGGATTGAAAGAATGTGAAAGTGCAAATTCATAGGAGATTGACAACATTGCCAATTTATGAACAAGTAGTATTGATTAAATAAAAATATACTTATACTGAGGCTATCTATTATAAATCATCATTATCAGAGTACAACTACTAACCTTTAAGATTTGCTTATCTTCGCTATTTGACTTTTATTTAAGCAATTTTTAAGGACAATATTTTGTTGATAGTCTAATTGAAATGGTAGTTGAACAATTGCAGGCTTTGCTTATAGATGAATAATTATTGAGAAATGGCTTAATGCTTTGTATTAACCATAATCATTGTATTATTTTTCAATTGAAAATTTACTATTTGATATTAATTAATATGATGTTGATATCAGTAAATTTAATAAATAACATTCTTTTACAATTCAAATATAACAATAAACTATCATATAAAAAATATCAAAAGCAATCTAACCTATGAAAAAAAGGCAACGTCTTGATTAGAATTAATGAAATTGTTTATTATGAAAACAATAATTGATTTAATAAGCCAACAGTGTAGAAAATAATAATTATAAATTAATATTATTCTTAAATTAGTAAAATTTTACAAGCAATTGGAAAATGCAATCATTCTCATTATGCATTTCTGGAAATATATTTTTATAATTAATATTTAGTTAATAAAATTAAATATATATCTGCATCACTAAATTAGCAGAGAGCATAATTCACACCCTCAATGATCAAATTAAGAATTAAAGCAGGAGAAGGATGCTATTTTGACTTGATCAATACTTCTTATTATAATTAATATAAAGTGATATATAATTTTGGATAAATAGTTGTGGTTCGATTCATAAGGTAGTTAAATCTAATGTATTAGTTTTAGAACTTAAATTCTAAAGCTCGAAAATATAGGAGTATTTTCTTTCTGACTTAAAATTTATTAGGAAGAAAGTTCTAGAATTGTGGAAGAAATTATAAATTATTTAAATTGAATATATTAATAGTTTCTCGACATTATCTTTCAATAGCGTCTGCAATTTTTTCAATTACATAACCAGTTCCAATTCCAACACCATCAGCCAGTATTTTAACAGTGATTCTTATTATTTTTCCAGACACAAGCATAATATCAACATACTTTGTATAAGGCATGTTTGATGCAACTACTCTAACTACTTCATAAACAATTTCTCCTGGATCTAATTTATCTAGATAATGCCTTGCAATCATTATGTGTTTCACTTTGTTCATATTTATTCCTAATACTTTAGCCCCAAAACATTTGATAACAGCAGGGACTAATTTACCAAAACAGGTAGATAATACTGTTTTTCCTCCTTATACCTCCATTACCAAGGTTGATAATACTAGGTAGATAACCAAATATCTTGAAAACATATGCTGAAATTATTAAAATATATGAGATTTTTTAGGAATAAAGTGGTTTTATTCCTTTATAATTCTATTAAATTTTAGTATTAATATTAATTCTATTAAAATTTATTAAATAAAGATTCCATATATATGTTTAATTAAAATAGTATTGTATTCATGGTTAATCAATAGAAATTAAATATTTCTTCCTTTTTCTTAAATGGAAATTATTTTCATTTGTTCTGATTGCATTTTAAAGGTGGAAAATAATTCCTAATGTATTAATAAGCTTGTGATGTAGTCTTAGAAATTAATAAAGACATTTTCTGTCCTTAAAAGTTGAATAATGTATACTTAAAGCAATTCAATTATATCCAAATTACTATGTTTTAAATAATAAATTATGTTTGATTTAACAAAATACAATTTTCTTTTATTCAAATAATCTTTTCTTATTTTACAAAATATATGATTATTAATCAAACTACATCCTAATAATACTTAGGTATCTATACAAATAGTCATCTCCAAACATCTTAATTCATTCATTTTATGCCAATTGGAATCCAAATAAGGAGATATTAGAAGTAATTTCATTCCTTCTCAAATTTCTTGATATATATGATATTGATCTGAAAAACCTCTTAAATATAGTCTCAACACTTAATCTTAACTTATATTTTTTCCCCACTAACTTAGTATTATTGTGTAACATTTTTATTTTATTCTCAATTTATTTAATATATGGATAAAATTCTCTTATTATTCATCATTATACCATTTAAAACTTAATATTTATTAATCTAACAATTATTAATCAATTAATTAAAATTCCAACCAGCCACCCTAAACATTGATTTTTCTAAAATTGTTAATTATAATATTATAAAATATAAATCAGTACTATAATAAAGGCGAATATATATCAGAATAAAAATCTATACATTGTGTTATATAACAATTAAATTAGGAGATAAACTTATGTAAAATTGTTTGAGATATTAATTCAACTTCTTCAAAATTTAATATATTATTTAAAAGAAATTATCTAAAATACATCATCAAGTCTTTCCATTATTAAATTTATGAACTAAATTTAATAAGGAGATGTAATTGATAATCAATATGAAATAATAAAAAAAATATCATAAGGTTCATTTGGAATAGTATATGTTGGAAAATCTTTGATTAGAAACAAAAATGTAGCAATAAAGGTGGAAAAACAAGAAATGGCAAGTTATAGTAGCCTAAATAGGGAAGTAAAATAATATGTAAAATTAGATCGAAATATTGAAACTACTTCAAGGTGCTTCCTAGATTCCTGAATTACATTGGTATGGTCAATTCAAGAAATGCAACGTCATGATAACCAATTTGCTTGGACACGACCTAATATATTTTTAAAAACAATTTTAGAAGTTTTCAACATAATGTATTTACAACATTGCCTTTCAAATGTTGTGGATTTTGGAACAAATACATTCAAGGTAATTAGGTAATTAATTTGTAGGAATGTAATACATAGGGATTTGAAGCCAGAAAACATTTTAAGTAAAACTGATTCCGAGAAGATCTATCTCATCGATTACGGAATTTCTCGAAATCTAAATTAAAAACCAAATAGGAAAAAGAAGATCTCCTTTATTGGTACGAGTAGATATGCAAGTTTGGCTGCTCATTAAGGTATAGAGCAGTCAGCAAAGGATGATTTAGAATCATTAGGCTATTTACTAATTTACTTAATTAAATAGAGTTTGCCTTGGATGAATATAGAAAAAACTGATTTATCAAGGTTGGACAAAATAGGAAAATTAAAATCGGAAACTACAATGGAAGAATTATGTTCTGATTGTCCAAATTCATTATTAAAGTGATTATTAAACAAAAATCTTAGGTATATGAAATATGTAAAGTCATTGACTTAATAAATATAACCACAATATGCGATGTTGAGAGGATTATTTCTAACAAAATTACATAATTTTCCAGATTAAGGACTTGATTGGACTTATCAAAAAAGCAGATCTTACAAGTAAAAAGTAAACAAAAGACGGAAGAGCAATTAAAATTCAAAATATTAAAGTTGTAGTACAATTAAAAGGTAGTTTAATTAAAATTAACTCTTAGAGGATTTTTGGGAGAGAGTTTAGCTCTTCAAAATGTAAAAACCTTTGCAGTTTAGGATGAATTAGCAGGATCTTCAGGACATGGAAGTAGTGCATTACAATTTAGTGCAGTTACCAATTAAGGAAGCATTATAAGCATAGGAGTTGGTTTTTCCTTAAGTGATATACAAGAAGACCTAAAAATACAGCCACACAATAATTAAATTGCTAGGATCTCTACTTTTGAAGGTATCATCGAACATGATCCAGGAATGACATTAAAAGCTGAATAGCAATTGATGGAAAGGGAGAATCAAGATCTAGAAATAAAATATAATTTACTACATTTCAAATCAGTCTACTTTAACTTCAAGAATCCAATATAAAAATATAATTTAAGATCAAATTATTTTAGAAAATGACATCAAAATAGTTTTCTTTGATTATAAATTTTCTTTAGTAATTATTTATTAGATTTATCTGATGACTAAGAGGAGTATATAGAGATTGCTTTAATGAATCCTAAAAATAATTTATTTTAAGTGATTAGTTATTGTGCTTTGATTAAATAAAAAGATTTAAAATAAATGTTCAATCGTATTACAAGGTTGGCTGCATTGTAACACAAAGTTGTTAAATGTTTCGATCTTCATGAATACCAAAGTAAAGACTTGATGAGAGGATTCAATGTCAGAGTGTAAAAAGGAGCAATCGCTTTGAATGCCGATGATGCTGCCAAAGTAGCAAAAACACTTGATCCAAGTGGTGGTTTGATTCTTAAGTCATAAGTCCATGCTGGTGGAAGAGGAAAGGGTATCAATATAGGTCTATTTAAGGAACATTATCAAGTGGTTTGAAAGGAGGAGTAAAGATCTGCAAAACTCCAGAAGAAGTAGCCAACTATACAAAATAAATGATTGGATATAAATTGGTAACACATTAGACACCAAAAGAAGTACAGACTAATATTTACTAAGTTAGGGTTTATAAGTGAATGCAGTACTTGTACATGAAGGTGTGGACATAGTGCGTCAATTATATTTAGCATTTATTCTGGATAGAAATTCTTAAAAGCCAGCTATTGTTGCATCAATCAATGGTGGAATGGAAATCGAAGAAGTAGCAAAGACAGATCCAAATAGCATTATTGTGTTACCAATTGATGTAAACACAGGATTGACTGATCAAATTGCCAATAAGGTTGTGGACACTCTTTAATTATAATCTGTTAGATAATAAGCAATAGAATAGTTGAGAAATCTGTATAAGATGTTTATTTCATTGGATGCTACTTAAGTAGAAATAAATCCATGGGCAACAGATCCAAAAAATCAATTATTCTGCATTGATGCTAAAATTAATGTTGATGACAACGCTAAATTTAGATAAAAGTAGTTGGTAGATTTGAGAAAAACATCAGTTGCATCAGAATAAGTAGATCCACATGAAGAATTGGCTTTGGCAGCAGGATTGAACTATGTTGCATTAGATGGAAATATTGGTTGTATGGTGAATGGAGCTGGTTTGGCAATGGCTACAATGGACATTATTAAATTATATGGTGGCGAACCTGCCAATTTCTTAGATGTCGGAGGTGGTGCTAATGTTGAATAAGTAAAGACAGCATTTGAAATCTTGAACTCTCATCCAAGGGTAGAAACAATTCTTATTAATATTTTTGGTGGTATTATGAAATGCAACATCATTGCTGAAGGTATTATCAAGGCAGCTTAATTGGTTGATTTAAAGACACCATTAGTTGTTAGATTAACAGGAACAAACTCATAATAAGGTAATAAATTGACAATAATTAAAAGGCGCCAAGATGTTGGATGAATTTGCCAAATCATAGACTAAAGTATCAATTACAACTGCAACAGATTTAGATGATGCAGCATAAAAGTCTGTTAAAATTGCACACACATCAAAGAAGAATTGATTTATCAATATTCAAGTTCATTTATTTATTTCTTTAATATATATTGGAGTCTAGAATTTATAAAAAATAAATTTGTATATGTTAATTGTAAAACAAATTAAACATTTCAAACTGCTTAACTTGGATCTTCCTTTGATGGGTATAATTATGGATGAATGCTTGGTAAAACACCACCGTCAGCGATTGTTGTGTTGGCCATTAATTTGTTTAATTCATCGTCGTTTCTGATGGCTAAAAGAATGTGTCTTGGATTGATTCTGTTTTTCTTGTTATCTTTAGCAGCATTTCCAGCAAGTTCTAAAACTTCAGCAGCCAAATATTCCAAAACAGCTGAAAGATAAACTGGAGCACCAGCACCAACTCTTTCTGTGTATCTTCCTTATTTCAAATATCTTGAAACTCTTCCGACTGGGAATTATAAACCAGCTTTGTGTGATCTGGAAACTGATTTGTGAGCACCTGCGGCTTTGCCTCCCTTTCCTGCTTTTCCTTTTCCTCCTGATGACATTTGATTTTTGATTTATTTATTAATGTTTCAAACCCGCCTTATTACAAATATAAATCCCAATTAATCTTTTTTCAATTCTAATCGGCCAATCAAAAATAAGAAAAAAAATACATAGCTTATATCAATTAATATCAATTAATCCCTTTATTATTGTGAGTTTTAAAGACTTAATGGTTTATTTCATGTAAAAAATGCAAAATAATTGATATGATATGTATATACTATAAATAATAAGTATTATTATAACAATAATTATATAAGTAAATGTAATAATAAGAACTTTTAGTTGACATTGAAATTAAACTTTGAAATCCTATTATATTTCATATGCGTATTGTGAATTATTAATAAATAATAAAAATAAAATGAATTAAAATACTTTAATGCCAATATTGTATTTAGGAATGATTGGTTTTGAATAACAACTGTTTAGTTTATATTTTGACTATTCAAAAACAGGGAAACAAATAAATGAGTAAATAAAAAATGAAATGAGAATCATAGGAAATAAGGAGATCAATATGTTAAATTCTGAAATAGATGCAAGAGACATAAAATAAAATGTTTAATTTAAAACACTCTATAAGTACATTTATAATAAGTATCAGATTGCAAGAGTTCAAACATTCATGTACAGTGCCAAATCTGTATTATTTGTACCCATTTGCATTACCATTTTCATTAATATTTCCTAGAATGGCTACAATTTGCTTTGGATTCTCGTTTGGATTATAGAGTTTCCTATTTTTTCATGACATCATAAAGTTTAAGTTGCAATCTTCCAATTTGAGATCAAATCGAAAAGTCAAGGAGTTGATGGATGGAAGTGTGACTTTATTGATGGTCTCTCTAGGTTTAGTTTGTGGCAGTGTGATTACAAAGAGAGGGTTTTCAAATTTGATTAAGATTTTGAAGGAAGAACAAATCCATTCAAAAGAGTTGGCTTTGGCAAAATAGAATGCTGGAAATCATATTAAATAATGATAAAGAGTATAAATTATTGTTATAAATTAATTGATTTTGAATAAATGCTATAATCTCTAAATAAATTGAAATTGTAGCTTAGAGCAGAAATTGAAATTCTTAAAATGTGTTTGGACAAGGGGAAGTCAACAACGATGGTATAAATGATTGATAAAAATAAATAACGATTGGAATAGGATGGAAAGTAATTGGAACTAATAATAAAGAGATTAGAGGAAGGAAATTAGTTAACCTTAAATGAGAAAGACAAATTGGACACCTTAAAATTGAATATCAGCAAGGTATTGATTCAAAATGAAAAAATTTACAATTCAGATGAGTAATTCAAAGAGTTAATTTCAAAAGTTCCCAGAATAAAAGATGATTAGAGTTAGAATCAATCATTCCAATAAGGCAAGAAGGAAGAGTCCTCTATCTAAATCAAATCTGCTATTAAAACAATATAATAAACAACATAAGAAGAATAACAACCATAAGAAGTTAATCAATAATATCAGATAGTTAGAAATAATGTGGATAATTTGATTTCTGAAATTTCTAATTTAAATTTACGAGTTGACAATCATAAACATACTGATTTGCAATAATAAATTGATAAATTGAAATTAGAAAATGCAAAGATGCAAGCCAATTTTAAATTACTCAAATAAGACAATACTGAATTGTTCTTTATAAATAACGACATCAAAAAAATGATTCTATAGATTGAGATGGATAATGAGGAGATCATTAAATCTATGAATCTCTTAAGAGAATAGAGCAAACCGATGAGTAATCCTTAATCCAGATTATCTAATTATTATATTCCCTATGATGAAACTAAAGCATAAGAGGCGGATGAAATTATGAATAGATTAAAGTAAAATTGATTACTTATTGATAATTTATAAAAGCACTTCACAAATTTTAAAAATTAAAAGTTGATTATCTTTGTAACCTATTAGTATTAATTTAAGGTAAAGTAGTTAATTTTCGATGACTCATAGGAGAATCAAACTTATTATGCCCAATTGCATTGAGTTGATTACCCAAAGACAATTTTTCTCTAAATCTTGATATCATATCTTATTTAAATAGATTTTAATACTTTAATATTTCTTTTGATTTAGTTATTTTTCTCTTAATGATACTAGATCTTTATAAGAACTCACTTTTTTTAGTGGAATTGCATGCAATTTAAAGGACTTTTATTTTTTATTTGTTAATTCAACACTTAACCTAGCATTTTCAGGAGAGACTCTCTCTTATTCCTTTTCTTCTCTTAAAGGAGAGTTTGTTGTTTTTATGTAACAGATCTCCTCTTCGCATGTTTATTGAAGAGTCTTTAAAAACATCAATGATTTAATTATCTAATTAATTAAAAATAAAAAAGACATGTTATAGCTGCTGTTAAATGTTATATCTTAACATGATCTCTCTTGTAGTCATAGGATGCGTTTTAACACATTTTCCTTTAATCCAAGGGTGTTCTAAACATTACTATGCCGTCATTCTATTTTCTGCCCTGAATTATACAGTATTTAGGACAAAATCTTTGGCCATTCTAAAAATATGAATATTATAAAATACTCAGGCATAGTTTTCGGAAAAGAAATTTAAAATTCATTGGATATTAATTAGTAGTAATGTCTTTTTCTCATCTATCCATCCCATAAAGGATGCTGTAAATTGTTAATCATCATATAAAAGATAATGCCTAAACTAAAAATATCAACAGCCTAAATTAGAATAACAACATTACATACCTGAGTTTGATCCTTTCCCAAAATGACTTCTGGAGCTATAAAATATGGAGTACCAACTGATTAATAAACACATCCTTTACAAACTATTTCTTGTCCTAAACCTAAATCTATTAATTTAACACATGAGTTTTCACAAATAAATATATTTTCTAAAATATGAGTTAGTTTTACCTGGCTTGAGATCTCGGTGTATGATATTCTTTCTATGAAGAAACACTAAAGCGTTTAAAATTTGAGTCATGTAATTTCTAATGTTTTATTCTGACAAGATAGATTGTTTCATCAGTTTGTCTAGTGTCAAACCAATAAGTCTCTCCATAATTAGATAAAGATGATTATTAGCTATTAGCACCTATTATAAAAAATAATTATTGTACTTTATAAAGCTTTACAATGTTCTAATGGCAACAAGCTTTAAGCAAATTGGCCTCATTCTCTTGATCAACATTTGATGTAATCTAATATATTCTAAAATCAAATTAACTTTTATTGCCACTACTCGATCTAGATTACTACAAAACGCAGCCACAACTACTCCAAAGCTCCCCTTCCCAATTACTTCTATAAACCTAAAATGATCTGCCAACAATATATCATTTAATTAATCTAACAATTGCTCTGGCTCCATTATTTTTCAAATAAAAAATAATATATATGCATATACAATATCATTACTTTTAATAAAGATTTATTCTAATTCATAATTTTATCCTAAGCATTTTTCAAGGATTCTTTATATTATTCCTATTTACATAAAATATGAAATTTACTAAAAATTCGATTTATAACTAAAATGTTCATTATTCATTCTCCAGTAATCACATGATTTATTTATATAGAAAAATCTATTGTTGCAAATGGAAAATATTTAATATTAAATATAAACTTAATAATTTATGCTTTAAGGCGAACATCAATTTTCTGATTTCATAGCTGTGATATTTGTTTATGGAATTATTTTCAGCGAGTATTATGCCTTTGTATTTATTTTTCTACCTGCATTTCTTATTAAAGTAATTCGTTTTTTTTAAATATTAGCATGGACTTACTTCTTATTTAATTGGAATTGAATTTTCAATAATATTCATTTTCTTGAACTTAGCTTACATCATGATTTAATATATTAAACCAGGATATCCTCCAAAAGATTTAGTATTTATTTTTCTATAGAAATAGGCCAAACATTATCATGAAAGAACTTTGGAAGAGATAAAATAAAGAACAAGAAAAATGACAGAGAAAATTAATAAACATAGATAAAGAAGAATGTAAAACCATATTGAATTGCACGATGAGAATGATGATGAAATTGTAATAAAATAATTTTATAATATGGTTCCAGCGATATTATCCAAGTATTATAATTAGTTTCATACTGCTTTAAATGTGATAACATCAAATTACCAAGGACTCATCATTGTAAAGAGTGCAATAAATGTGTGTTGAGAATGGTAATTTTTATTTGATCTTTTATAAATTAGGACCATCATTGTCCTTGGGTGAACAATTGTGTTGGCTTGAAAAACCATAGATATTTTTGTCAATTTAATTTCTATGCAATCTTGTGTATGATTCAGTGCACTTTATTTATTTCTTATGATATATTTATAAATGATAAGTTGGTATTGCAAGTAAATTTTTTTAACCTATTTTCTAGGAGCTAACAAAAAACCAACAATTTATTTTAACTATTTGCAATGTTACTTGTTTTGCTTTAGTAGTTGTAATGGGATTTCTATTGGGGTTTCATCTATATCATATTGCTTAAAATATTACTACAGTTGAATTCCACATTAATGAAATAAAAGCAAATGTATTCAAGCATTAAAAACTATTCTTAGAACCCTTTCAAAAAACCTAGGATTGTTGATAACTTTAAGGAGGTCTTTGGTCCTGAAATTAAATATTGGTTCCTTCCTATAAGAAATGCTGAAAAAAGCGCATTTCCCAGAACAGACCTTTTTGAAGTTTGAGAAGAAAACTTGAAAGAATAGTATGATTTTTCAAGAATAGTAAATATATTAAATGATCTCAAAATATCAATTATGTTTTTCATAGTACTATGCTCTGTTAACTTTTAGCATCTATTAGGAGTAAAATTTAAGATTTTTAATAAAATTCTCCTATAAATTTTTTCTGCTTTAATTAATTTTAACTTCAATACTTTTTAAAATTAGAATAAAATAATTAATCAGAATGTTAATTATCCACTCTAGTCACAAAATCAATTAAAATTCCAAATATATATGCTTAAATTCTTTAAGTGCGAGATGTTAATGTAAAAACTCATTTTTATTTTATATGAAAGCCTTCATTTATGTTTGAGTCTTATAAGGGATCAGATATATTTAATCAATTATATTTCGTTTTAATCTAATGAAAATAATAGAATAATTAAATTCGATTCAATTTCTTTTTTTTTTGCTTTAATTAACAACTTTGATAAGACAAAGACCAAGAGTTCCTGTGGCTATTCCTGCACTTCCCAAATAACAAATAATCATTATAGTTTGCATCATCAATCTTCTTGTCCTAGTGGAAATGTATGATTAAAATGCCAAAGCAGCCTTAAATTATTGAGATATAATTACTGCAGAAATTATGAAGGCCTTAATTAAAGCATTATTATTGATAGCCAAAATTTGCTTGCTTCTTTTCTCAAAATGAACTATGTTGTTAATTAGATTTGTAATTTTTAATATCATTTCTAATGGTCCTAATGATATTGTTTGGAAAATATACTTTTATGACTTCCTGGGACGGTATCTTTGACTTAATTGTAGAAATTATCAAGGTTATCCCATTTGATCTATTCTTAACTGGTTTATGGTTTAAGAATAAGCTCAATATTCTTGAATCCAATATTTTCTTAAAGGGAAGGTAGAGGCTTCATTTCTTCTACAATGGAAAAGTTCTATTTATTTGAAAAATCAATATCTGATTATGAAGACATAATAGAAGCTCTGTCCTCTTCATACGTCTTTACAATGGTCCAAGGCATCTTAAAGGTGGAAACAATTTTATCCTCTTTGAATACTCGTTTAGATTTTGTTCTATTATATTATTTTCTATCATATCTAGTTTTTTTTTGTTTAATTTTTGAAGGAGTATGAGGAGTCAAAGGAACTTCGCTGTCATTAATTTATTATTAGGTGGTGTCTACTGTGGTTTATAGTAACATAGGCAGTGTATTAATTATTCCTTTTTTGGTGATGATCTATCTGTCTTCTAATGGTAGTCCATCGAGGGCTTATTCAGCCTATAAATAATGTGACAAGAAGGTATTACATTTTCAGGATCGATGTTGGCTACAAAGGGCTTTAGGAATGCTTTAATATACAATGAGAATTTGGGCATAAACCAGATGTCACAAAGAAGATCAAAAATAGATCTCTTCATCAAAGCATCTCTAATGCCTTGAGGGAACATCTCCATAATTCCTTCCTTCAAGTGTTTATGAAAGTAAATCTCAAAGAACTTTTTTCCAGTTAAATAACTAATGATCAAACAAACACAAGCCTAAATAGATAAGAATAATACAAATGGTGGTAACTGTGATAAAAGGAGTAGAGCAAAAGAGTAGAATGAGATCTTGAATAATAGCTTAGGATTATCTTTGACTTGAATGTATGTATTATATGGATTTCTTAATTTTTCAATAATCATAATAATACTCAAATACCAAGCAACTTATGATCTATTTTTTCATATTGCTTGTAAAATTCAACGAAAAGCTTTTCCAAATAATATCCATCGACAACACCAGCAGTTTCTCTGATAGAGTGCATGCCCCATTATGCAGCTCCAATATCAATAGTTTTGATGCCTGTATTTGAAGCTAGAAGGATATAAACTATAAATACCTTATAAAGGTCCTATTGTTGAGCCACAAGGTGAGTCATTCTTCACAATGAAATCTTGAATTGGCACATTAGCAGATTAAGCAACAACTCTTAAAATAGCAGATGAAACACCATCAGTTGCATATCGTTAATTATGATTGACTTTGATAACAATTCCTTCATTCATCTTAACTCTATGGTTTTATTGATGCTTGTCTGAATAATTTGGATGAATAGAATGAGCCATGTCTGATGAGATTAAGAAACTTTTTTGTATTGCTTTATAAAAACTATCAGTAGAGGTATGGTTAGCATTGGATAGAATATCATAAATTCTCTTCATATTATTAGACAATAATGAAGAGTCAGCTCCTTGAGCACTTTAAGATCCAACTTCTTCGTGATCATAAAGACAAATCATATTAATAAATGTTTGGTCCTCTGTGAAACTCTCTGGATTTGTAATTGCTAAAAGGGCGAAGAAACTTGAAAATAAATTATCAATTCTTGCAGCAGAAATGAACTCTTGATTCAAACCAAAATAGGAAGGTGGTTAGCAATCTGAGAAGTATAGGTCAATATCTAAGATGTCAGATGTTGGAATGCCTGTCTATTCAGTGATCAAATTCAGAAAATATTTATAGTGCTTATTTTCGAAACTTGTTAGTCCCTCAGTATTTGGCTTTTGAATCCCAGTTAAAGTTTAATAGGCTTCTTAGGCAAAAACAGGCCTTAAATTTGATTCGTCTATGTTTCAAATAAATTAGTACTATTTGGAGCAAAGCTATTTCTATCTGTTGTTAAATGAATTGCCAAATTAGGAATCTTTAATAAAGGTTATTGATAATGGAATAATTGACTTTAAAAGACATTCTCTTTTTTAAAAATAATTCGGCCTCCTAAAGTCAATTCTCTGTCAAACCAAGTATGCCATAAACCGCCACCATAAGTAGAAACGCATGTCTATAGAAATCCATTGGAATCTAATTTAGAGACTGGAGCCAATCTTAAGCAAGGACTATCAGTGTGAGCACCAATAATTTTAAATCCGGTATTATTTGGGTCAAATTATTGACCAACTGTGAAGGCTACGATAGTGGTGAGATTTCTTGTGAAGAAATACTTGCCACCCTTTTCCAATTTCCAATTTTCTGTTTCATTCAATTCTGTAAATCCGGATTTGGCTAGTCTTTCTTTGCAAAGAGAAGTTACATGAAATGGACTCACTGCTTTTGCAACAAAGTCAAAAAACTCATTCACAAGAGTTCTTGCTTATTGTATTGGAAATTATTTCATAAAATTTGTATTTTATACAAAATATGCAATATAAGACATATTGTTTTACATTTTAATTTAATTGTAATAAAGTGTCGATATATATGAATCAATCTAAAATCTTAAATTATGTCTTTCCTAATGGAGTTTTACATTGAGGACATGAATGCAAAACATCCTTGCAATCATCAATAATACAAGGTAAACAAGAAACGCATACTAAACCAAAGGAGCAAAGCAAAAGAATACATGAGGCAAGATAGGTTTAAGTTCCTGGTTTTCTAATAATCACAGTATCAACCTAGTATATGAATTATGATACTTTTTATTTGCATTACGGACATTATACTCTTACTGATTTAACATGTCCATCACCACTTACTTGAGTGGATGAAACCAATTTTATTTAATCAAATGTCAATGGTCTTGGTTTTGTCGTCTATGATTCTATGACTTGGTCAGGGATCATATTTTAGTTTTAATTTTTTTCATCTGATGATTAAATGTTGTATTGATCTGCGTTATTTTAAATATGAATGAATATTTCATCTCCATCACTTTATTACATAGGTTTATTCATCTCTATATTCTAACTCAAGTTTGTTAACTAAATTTATAAATATAATTTATAAATATATCAATCATTTTCATATTATTTTATGTAATTTAATCCTCATCTAAGAAAGGTTCTCTTTTTCTTCAGATTGACTTACTTTTGAACTTTAATTCAGGAGATATAAGTAAAATTATTTTTTATCAATGATTGTAATCTGCCTTGCATTTGAGTGAATCTCTTACATAACCTTTATTCTTAAATTATGATTTTAACTACACGAGACTTCGTAAATTTCGAATATCCTAGATACCTATTTTCATTTGGCTAACTCTTAGCTATACACCTGTTTTACTTGCATAATCACTTAATTATTAAAATTTTCTTGTTCTTGCCAATATTGATTCCATTTAAAATGATCAATTTATGTTTTCTATGGATTGAAAATATTCCCTTTACACAAGTTTAAGCAATGTTCATTTACATGTTCTTGTAGGTTTTGGTAGCTTATTATATAATTGTTACATTTCCTAAAGGTTATCTATACTGCTAATCATATTATAATTTAAATTATCTAATTATATTAATCTTTGGAAATTGTTTTTCGTAGTTCTAAGATCAACGATATAAATCAACTCCTAGATTAAGCAGTAAGTTAGAATGCCTTTACTAAATTTACAGAATTTCCATTATGGAATACTATTCTGAGAAAATCATTAGAATTATTGCCAATAATAGAATAATTTGAGCAAAGCAAAAATATACCTAAGGCATTTTAAAGATAGAATCAAAATGCTCTATCATATAGAATGTATCATTCTGTGAGTCTATTTTCAATTTTGGCTATAATATAGGCTCTAGAATCTCAAAATGAGAGATTAATTACTTTTAACTCTCAGCTATTTGAACATAAAAGTCTAGAAGATTATATTATCTTTCTGTGAAGTTTATCAATTTCTTCATTTTCATACACTTTTTTCATTGTTCTATTGCTAAGCATAGTTCCTCAAAAGGTTAAATTCTTTTTTTTGAGTACATCTGCTTCGGCAATATCATCCATTTGTTGTATAATTTTTAACTATTAGACCCATGAATTTACTCTTTTTACTTGTTATAGGTTTATAATCATTTAGAATTAGAGAGAATCATTTTTGGAATACGCTTGCAATTATACTTAATTATTTCACTTACTACTTACATGGCTTAAAGCGAAAATTTTAAACTTCTAGATGTAATTTAGGAAAAAAAACACTATTATAGTTGAAAGATAAGAAAGTGTTTGATATTTTTGAAGGAAAATTCAAGAGTATNCTTTATTACATAGGTTTATTCATCTCTATATTCTAACTCAAGTTTGTTAACTAAATTTATAAATATAATTTATAAATATATCAATCATTTTCATATTATTTTATGTAATTTAATCCTCATCTAAGAAAGGTTCTCTTTTTCTTCAGATTGACTTACTTTTGAACTTTAATTCAGGAGATATAAGTAAAATTATTTTTTATCAATGATTGTAATCTGCCTTGCATTTGAGTGAATCTCTTACATAACCTTTATTCTTAAATTATGATTTTAACTACACGAGACTTCGTAAATTTCGAATATCCTAGATACCTATTTTCATTTGGCTAACTCTTAGCTATACACCTGTTTTACTTGCATAATCACTTAATTATTAAAATTTTCTTGTTCTTGCCAATATTGATTCCATTTAAAATGATCAATTTATGTTTTCTATGGATTGAAAATATTCCCTTTACACAAGTTTAAGCAATGTTCATTTACATGTTCTTGTAGGTTTTGGTAGCTTATTATATAATTGTTACATTTCCTAAAGGTTATCTATACTGCTAATCATATTATAATTTAAATTATCTAATTATATTAATCTTTGGAAATTGTTTTTCGTAGTTCTAAGATCAACGATATAAATCAACTCCTAGATTAAGCAGTAAGTTAGAATGCCTTTACTAAATTTACAGAATTTCCATTATGGAATACTATTCTGAGAAAATCATTAGAATTATTGCCAATAATAGAATAATTTGAGCAAAGCAAAAATATACCTAAGGCATTTTAAAGATAGAATCAAAATGCTCTATCATATAGAATGTATCATTCTGTGAGTCTATTTTCAATTTTGGCTATAATATAGGCTCTAGAATCTCAAAATGAGAGATTAATTACTTTTAACTCTCAGCTATTTGAACATAAAAGTCTAGAAGATTATATTATCTTTCTGTGAAGTTTATCAATTTCTTCATTTTCATACACTTTTTTCATTGTTCTATTGCTAAGCATAGTTCCTCAAAAGGTTAAATTCTTTTTTTTGAGTACATCTGCTTCGGCAATATCATCCATTTGTTGTATAATTTTTAACTATTAGACCCATGAATTTACTCTTTTTACTTGTTATAGGTTTATAATCATTTAGAATTAGAGAGAATCATTTTTGGAATACGCTTGCAATTATACTTAATTATTTCACTTACTACTTACATGGCTTAAAGCGAAAATTTTAAACTTCTAGATGTAATTTAGGAAAAAAAACACTATTATAGTTGAAAGATAAGAAAGTGTTTGATATTTTTGAAGGAAAATTCAAGAGTATGAAATGCTTCATATCTATGATTATAAAATATCACTTTTTAAATTTAAAATTAACGATAAATAAATTAAAAATTTGAATTCATAATGAATCGAAGTCATTCCCCAATACTGAGACCTCTTTCAAATATATCCAACAGAAAACTTACATCCATAAATGCATAAAACAAACAAAATTCAAATTAAAATTCCTCAAAATCATTTGCTCAAAACTCAGTTAGATATCCACAATAAATTGCTGCTACCAAATCAACTATTTAGGAAGTCAAAACTCTAAAAAACAATATCACAACCCCTAAGAGTAGTATTACTTCGTTCACTTCCACTCCCAGACTTAGTTTAAATAGCAATGAAGATAATAAATCAACAGAACTCAGGAAAACATTCAATGGTTAATAAAACTCTAAATTTTTACTTTTTAAAATAGTTGTCTTTTTAAGTTTGGTTGCTTTTGCCCTTTTGTTTTACTAAATACAAGCAAATTTGTCTCTGTCTTCAAAATCCAACACAATATCTGGTGAGGTCCAGTATGCTAAGGAGAAAATTATTGCTGATAGCATTTCGAATTCAATTATTTCTGCCGTTGTATTTGACCGCTAAAAAATCAATTTGTAGAAGGAAAAGAATGATGTAAAATCATTTTATTAGGAGGAGTTCTCATCTAATTTGTGGAAAATGGTATTTAAATTTAATTATTCTAATTAGGTTGTAGAAAATGTGAATAAGGATTTAAGAATAAGATTAGAAAAATAAGACAAAGAAGAATTCTGGACTATTTGATTAATTAGCTTTCATAACATTTCATATAAATATTAATCTAAAATACTTCAGTTTTAATTAATATTGAACAATATTATTTGAAAATAAATAAACACATGATGTTATTGTAGGAAAAATAAATAGATATAGATTAATTGAGCATAGCAGAACTTGAAATACAAGCAGTTATTAGCTTTACTAGTATATTGACAATATTATCATTTTTGGTAAAATTACTTAAGGGTTGACTTTGCATCCAGATAATGAGGTATATTTTAAGTAATCATTACAAGCACATAATATATCCTTTGGGTTCGACTATTGTTGTTAGACATATAATCAGCAGGACTCATACATTTTTAAGGTTATAATTCTGAGATTAATTTAGTTTAGAGGACAAGATAACTAAATTTCTGTGATAACAGTTTCCCGCTCTGGTGATTATGTAGCTTCTGGATAAAGGACTTATATGGGATTTTAAGCTGATATTATTATTTGGGATTTCAAGTAAAAGAAGCATGATTCACAGATTGAAACTACAAAAGTGTAAATTCAATCACTCAGTTTTTGCTTATTATGAATTAGACTAAGCCGCTTTAGGTGGAATCGATGATAAAAATATGCTGATAGTTTGGGACATTAAAGCAGGAAAAGCATTATATGGAACTCCAAATAGGGATCCAGTCAATAAAGTCTAATTTTACAATTAATCAGATGAAAAATTGAAAACAGTTTTAAATACTGGAGTTTAAATTTTAACAATTGATAAATAAAATAAAAAGGTCTTCAATTATTTCATAATAAAGATTTAATCAGTATTTGTAAATTTTGGCAACATTAAACGAACTTTCATTTTTGCAGCAATTGATAAAAATGATAAATATTGTTATTGCGATACAAAAACTGGAGATGTGTTTGAAATTTAAATGAATATGGCTATTTATAAACGATTAGCCCCTGTAAAAAAATTATTCAGTCAAGGAGTTAATTGCTTAGGTTCATTACCTAATGGCGATATTATTGTTGAGGCTGTGATGGTATGATAGCAAAAGTTTCATTTTAAACAATGCAAATAATTGCAAACAGTGAGCTTTTGGGAAGTAATATGTCAATAACATTTTCTAATGATTATACTCATTTTTTCACTGGAACAAATCAAAGCAACATTTATTGGTTGTTTACTGAAAAATTACTACGGAGCTTCGAAATACTTGCCATTATGAAAGAATTAATGATGTTGCTTTTCCTCATAACTATTCAAACGTTTTTGCGACTAGTTCATTAAATGAATTTCGAATAAGTTCCTAATTTAGAATGTTTGGGCAGTTGCGTTTATGAATGATGGAAAAAGTATAGTGAGTGGATGGAGTGATGGCAAAATCAGAGCATTTTTCCTTCAATCAGGGAGATTGATGTATGTAATCAACGACTCACATATTCATGGATGCACATCTTTAACTTGTACATCTGATTGCTAAAGAATAATCTCAGGAGGATCAGAAGGAGAAGTGAGAAATAGACAAACAAACTTAAGTTATGAAGTCATCCATGAAAGGACTCAGAGGAAGAGTCTGGTCAATCCAAGTTAGAAGCAATAATCAATAAGCTGTTAGTGCAAGTGCTGATGGATCTTGTACATTTGGAGTTTAAAATCATTCGCCAGAGTTATGTGTCTATTCGAAAGTACTTTATTTAAAATGGTTCTTTACCATCATGAAGAAGGTTAATTGCTAACAACAGGAAGTGATAGAAAAGTAGAATTTTGATTAATCTTGAGATTTCTTCTTGGGAAACCTTTTATGTTCAGGCAATAAGAATGCTTGATGGTTCAGATGAAGGAGAGGTCAATGCACTTGCCATTACTAAAGAACGAGAGCATTTTGTCTCTGGAGGAGAAGACAAAGAAGTTAAGCTTTGGGGTTATGATGAAGGTATCTGCTACACTAAAGGATAAGGCCATTCTGGCTAATAGCAAGAGTATTATTTTTTTATCTTGCGATTACTATAAGCCTTGACTAAAAATCAATCATCTCTGTTGGAGCTGGAGGAGCCGTATTATTTGGAAAATGCCAAAGCATAACTAGAGTTACCTAATATGTAAAATATCAAAAAATAAAATTTAACCAACTACGATGGATTCTCAGTCGTAGAAATCAAATCCTGTTGCTAAATCTTTTAGGTCTGGAACGAAATAATCTAAAAATGATAGGTTCATTTCAATACAAATTCATTAATTTTTACAATTTTGAACTTCTTAAGCAATCCTTCAAAAATATCCTAAGACTCTCTTCCAACATCAAATGCAAATGGTGTTTTAATTTAGTTAAAAAATATTTTGATAAAAATTTATTTTAAAAATATTTGTTGTGATGTCATTATTTGCTTGTTTTGAGGATTTTCCTCCTGGGCCTGTTCTGGTATCTGAGGGACAGAGATAGGCCTAGAATGAAGACGATGATATGAGAAAAGTTAACGACAAACCTAAGGGGACAGTTGTGAGATTTTGGGATGAAGCCCCCATTAATCTTGTCGAGCCTAGTTGCTCGGAGGAGGATGTTGAATTGAATTGTGAATATTTTGATAAAAAATTCTTTTCAAATATTTCAGTGTAAATGGTGAGCATCATTTTTATATACCTTCTATAGTACCAAATGATGCTATTTATTTTAGGACATATTATTATTAAAAGGTAGTATGATGAATAATGCTTAAATTTAACTTCTGTTAATTAATATTAACTTTGAATTTTTCCAGATTACTTAGTTAAATCTAAAGCATTTTGACGAAAGGAAATTATTTATGATGATTTGTTTATTAGATTATTAAAGTAGACTCTAAGTCTTCTTTCATCTGAAAACTGAGGAAGAATATAATTCATAATTTAGCTAGTGATCAAAATATCAAGGTCAATAAATAACAATGGTTTATACTTCCTTATCATCCTAAGAGGTTTAGGATTAAATTTTACTCAATTGATTTTCTTTGATTATTTTTGCAAATTACTTTGATTTAGTTTTTATTAGATATTTCTTTTTTAAATATTTTTATATTTTTTTATACTTTTTTTACTTTTTCTTAAATTACCATATTTAAAATAAATATATAATTATCAGTTGATTTTATTCAATACAGAAATATTCTAAGTAACTAAGTGAATAAAAGTGGGTACAAAAAAAATTGACCCTAACTATTTGAAAATTATAAAGAAATTTTTGAATAAAAAAGTCTGAAATAAAAGCCAAAGAACTAAAATAATTAAAATTAAAATTTTTCGCTGATGATGTCATAATTGACATGTTCTGAAGAACCTCCCCCTGGGCCTACCCTGCTTGCTGAGGTAGACCTAGAATGGACATGATGACATCAGAGAAGTCAGTGATTCAATGAGAAGAGTGAGATTTTGAATGGGAGCTCCTAACAACCCGGTCGAGCCTAGCTGCTCGGAGGAGGATGTTGAAATGAATTGTAAGCCAAAGAATTAAAATTGTGAAAAATAATTTATAATACTCAATAATCAATTTTATTTAATTCTATTTAATTATCTAAAATACAACTCCCTTTAGATTTAAATAATGGTAGAAGGTCTAAACCCAAATAATTAGAAAATTATCCTTGTAGAATCAAAGCATTTCGGACTTGAAATGTTAGAGTTTGAGAAATCAATAGAATAGGTACATTAGTATTAACTAACAAATAAATAAAATAAATACCATTTTCTAGGTAATGATTGTATTAAAAAAATGGAGTTTTCATATATCCTTCAATTTCTTTATATTTATCAGAAGATTTTATTTCGCTTTTTGTTTGAACATCCCATAAACGGATCGATTTATCATCACTACAAGATGCTATTGTAGTACCGTTTGGAGAGAAGCATACTGTATTGATACAATCACAATGACCTTTTAATTATGATTGTTATTGTCCTGTCTGAGCATTCCATAAAACAATTGAATTATCTGAACTACCAGATACTAATGTAGTACCATCAGGTGAAAAGCATAGTGAATTAATTTACTTACTATGACCATTCAAAATTTATTTTTGTTGTCCTGTTCTCACATTCCATAAACGGATAGAATTATCCGCACTACCAGATGCTAATGTAATACCATCATGAGAGAAACATACTGAATTTACACAATTACTATGGCCGTTTAATTTGAATTTTTATTATCCTGTCTTAACATTCCATAATCGGATAGACTTATCTTTGCTACTAGATGCTATTGTAGTACCATCTGGAGAGAAGCAAACTTACCATACTGAGTCAGTATGACCATCCAATTTGAATTTTAATTGTCGTACTTTAAGATTCCATAAACGGATAGAGTTGTCTACACTACCAGATGCTAATGCGGTTCCATCAGGAGAAAAGCATACTGACCATACTGAATTAGTATGGCCATCCAGTTTGTACTTTAATTGTTGTGTTTTAACATCCCATAAACAGATCGACATATCTCTACCACCGGAAGCTAGTGCATTACCGTTAGGAGAAAAGCATAAAGATAAGACTCCTCTACTATGACCATCAAACTTTAATTTTTATTATCCTGTCTTAACATCCCATAACCGTATAGACTTATCATCACTGCCAGATGCTAATGTGGCACTATCGGATGAAAAGCATATTGATAATATTCCACTACTATGACCATGGAAGTTTTGTTTTTTTAGCACTGTCTCAACATCATATAACTGGATTGACTTATCATGGCTACCTGATGCTAAAGTACTACCATCAGGCGAAAAGCATAATGAATAGACAGTACTTTTATGATATTCTAATTTGGATATTTACTCCCCTGTCTTAACATCCCATAATAAGATAAAGTTATCTTAACCACCAGATGCCAATAAAGTACCATAAGGAGAGAAGCATACTGATAGGATTCCTCGATTATGACCATTCAAATCGTATATTAATTGCTCAGTTTTCACATCCCATAAAAGGATAGCTTTATCATTACCACCAGATGCTAGAGAAGCATATAGTTTAGACAAAGCTAGTATGACCATATAATTTGGATTTTTATCTTCCAGTCTTTGCATTCCATAAACGAATGGATTTATCTCCACTACAAGATGCTAATGTAGTACCATCAGGAGAATAGCATATTGTTTGAACCCACTATTAATGTCCGTATAATATAGAATATTATTATCCTGTCTTAACATCCCATAAACGGATAGAGAAATCATTACTACTTGATGCTAATGTAGTACCGTCAGGGGAGAAGCGCACTGATTAAACCCATTCACTATGACCATCTAATCTAGTTATTTATTATCCACTCTTAACATCCCATAAACGAATGGAGTTATCACCACCACCAGATGCTAAAGTATAGCCATCAGGAGAAAAGCATACTGACATTACAACATTAGTATGGCCATTCAGTTTTAATTTTTATCGTCCTGTTTTAGCATCCCATAAATGAATAGAACTATCTTAGCATCCAGATGCTAATGTAGTACCATCAGGAGAGAAGCATATTTCTAGAACTGCTTCACGAGGACCACCTAAAAAAATTTGTTTTTATAATCCTATCTTAACATCCCATAATAAAATAGAATTATCATAACTACCAGATGCTAATATAGTACCATTAGGAGAAAAACATGCTGAACTTACACAACTACCATGACCGACTAATTTTGATTTTTACTCTCCTGTTTAGACATCCCATAAAAAGATTAACCTATCATCGCTACCAGATGCTAATATACTACCATCAGGAGAAAAGCAAACCGTGCTGACAATACGATCATGACCATTCAATTTGAATTTTTATTGTCCTGTCTTAACATCCCATAAACAGATCGAACAATCTTAACTACCAGAAGCTAATGTAGTGCCATCAGGAGAGAAGCATACTGAATAGACAGCATAATCATGACCTATTAATATTGACTTTTATTGTCCTGTCCTAACTTCCCATAAACATATGGAGAAATCTCCACTACCAGTTGCTAAAATAGTACTATCAGGAGAAAAGCATACTGCTAGTATACCATCACTATGTCCTTCTAATATTAATTTTTTTTTTCTAGTTTTAACATCCCATAAAAAGACAGTTCTATCATGACTACTAGATGCTATTGTGAGACCATCAGAAGAAAAACATATTGAAATGACAGCATTACTATGACCGTGCAATCTGAATATTAATTGCCCTGACTTAATATCCCATAAGCGGATGGATTAATCATCACTTCCTGAGGATAATATACTACCATCAGGAGAGAAACATACTGTATTAACAATATTAGTATGGCCATCCAATTAAGATTTTTATTCTCCTGTCTTAACATTCCATAATCGAATTGAATTATCTTAACTACCAGAAACCAAAGTATTCCCATCAGGTGAAAAACATACTGATAAGACTTATTGACTATGACCGTCTAATTTATTTAATTCATGTATTTTTATGCTTTTCCATTTACAATTATATAATAATGCTCCATTTAAATTCATTCCACTTATATCTACATTCTCAAATTCAGATTCACTCAAATTGCATCTGACGAAGCTTCCTCCAATTAGTGATGTATTCTTAATTCTTATTTTTTCAAGTGATTATTTAGTCAGGTCAACTTTCATTTCAACTAATAAGTTTAGTGAATTTGATCCACATTATATTAACTTTTCATCTTTTGCTGTGAGTTGAACTAAAAGCTTCAAAAATTCTATGATTTATTTATCATCATTTATTTTTTTAATTATATTTTATCTTTATTCAGAATTTTCTTAAGTGGAGTAGTCATTTTTATTAAAGTCATGACTTTTTATTTTTTATATCACATTAAGAATTTTTTGAAAGCTATATATGAAATCGTTCAACTATTATTCTCTTTAGATTTAAGTTAAATTCTATCCATAGTAAAAATATTAATCGCAATGATTTTTCTGTTGATCATCTGAAAAATACCCTGAAATATTTTCTAGTCTAAACATTTCAATTAGGGCACTGAAGATTTTTTCATCTACATTTTAAACTTAGTAGAATAGCTCTGCAAGATCTTCTTTCCATTCACAAGAGCTATCCATTTTTATTCAATAATTAATTTCTATTATTTTATAGCCCTTTTTTTTCATTAAATCAAACCATAACTTAGTTATTTTATTAGTAAAGCAGACTTGTATAGATTTGGAGTAGTTTTCTATATGTATTTTAATAAATGAATAATGATCTATTATTTTATTGATCATTTACTTTTTGTTAATTCAAGTATAAAATTCATAATGAAACCTAAAATTGTTTTTATTGATTAAATAATTAATTAGATTCCTTCTTTATTGATTTATAATAATACTAATAGAGAATATTATATTAATAAAAGGGATTCAAAAATTAACCTATATAGTATATTATGAAAGTACATATAAATTGATTTGAATGATTTGATCAATTACCGTTAATAGAAAGAATATGATTTCGTCAGAATCATGAATAGCAAGCAAAGTGAACCTAAAGTATTTAGAAAATACAACCTGAATGTTATTCATTAACAAATTTACTATTGAAAAAACACTTCATTATTGCCTAAAAATTGTAATTTCCCTTATGAACTTAATGAGAAAAGGCAGAAGAATAATTTGACTTTATTTTAACTTTTGTTAATAAGAAAAGAATTGAATATGCTAGAATCTCCTTTTTATATTTAGAAAAATTAAATGAAATAACTTGCAAGAAGAAGAAATTAACTTCTCCGTTGCCACATTAAGATCAAGTTATTAGTACATTAAAACAGAGATTATTACTATAAACAAAGATTTAAATTATTCTAAATGTGGTTTATTCAATCCAATAATATTATTTTAATTTTAAATTGAAGATTTGTAAACAATTTTATCATTACTGTAGAAAAACTCTCCATATATCGTAAATGTTAGGTTATTAACATTATGTTTAGCTTAGATTCTTTACAAAATTAATTAATAAACTATGAAATATACCATATTTCCTGGACTCATTTAGGTTTTTTTAGTATCTTTCATATTTAACAGGGATTTGAATTTCTTGAAATGCATCTTATAAGATCTTCTACTTAATAATTTAACTTCAGGTTAAGTTGGCTTTTCATTTTTTCACATAAATTCCTACATGTTTAAAATTAATATGGGTAGAGTGTTTTTTTTTAATCTTTTCATATTGATGCCATTTACAAATAATTTGCTTCTAATCCAATTTAAAATTCCCGGTTATTCTTTACTTGAAGAAAATTAAAAATAGTTAGAGACGAGAACCATTTATAAATATTTGATGAAATGAAACTTACCTTATTATCATATTGTCTTACTTTCTAAGGATTTGAAATGGAAGTGCAACCCATTTAATTTACTGTATTTTGACAATCCATCGTATTAGGATCCTTAAACTGACCCCCACATGTATAATTAACAATCTCTTCATTAGCAAAAATTTTGGAAATTTATCAGATAACCTTTAGGAATCGTAATGATTATATAATAAGCTACCAAAATGTAAATGAACATTGCTTAAACTTGTACACATTGTTTTACTCATACCTATGTTGAAGCAATCCCCCATACTATTTATATTAGGCTGAGTATCAATACAATTACAGGTGAATGAATTTTAGTCACAAGAATCACTTGAATACTAAAAGAATTCATATCTATTTACACTAATTAGCGAAGCACATAATTTACTTTCTAAAGGGGGCTTTTGTAATCATAAGCCTCACATTTCGAAGTATCTTCATTGAATTAACAAAATTGAGTTGGATTTTATTGAAACACAAGCCAATTTATTAATCAAGAATGCATATTAAATATTAGTTAAGTCATTTATTGATTACTACATGCAACCTTAAACAAGCTTATTTATTGAATGATAAACCAAGACATCATTGCATTGCATTACAACTCCAGTAGAACATTTTTTGTAATTTAATTATAAAAGCAAACCTAATTGGTTGCTCTTCTACAAGTGATTTGATTAGTTTGAGCATCAGGTTCTAAGCATAAACCAGTGAGTAGATTAATCGAAATTTCTAAGAATTCTCCACTATCTCCATGCATAATAAATTAGCAATACTAACTTTCATTTATATAATTACATTTCTGCAGTTTTAATAAATTGGCATTTTGCCTAGTTGTTAAACCACTTTTAGAAACTTTCGTCTCTAAGCAAGGAAGCAAGGTATTAAATTATCATTAGTGGAAGTGCATTTAAAATTAGCAGCATCAAAAATGCAGAAAGATGAAAGTGTATAAGTTAAACAAGCGGATTTACTTAACCCAAGAGCAGAGCATACCTCTGTTTATAGAGTAACGACTAAACAAGAGTATGTTAATGTGTTATTGTTGTATGGTGTTGGAAATTGTGCACAAATTTATGGACCTACAATTGCATAATATATTAAGGTAAGTACAGATAATACTCACTCGTTTAAAATCCTAATCTTTGATCAATTTTTCATCTGCGTCAGTTATTGCAATAGGAACAAATTTTCCTCCTTGAAATTTACATAAGGCATTGATTGAAATACAGGTTTCCAATTGTAAGCCTAATTTAACTTTGTTTGCAGTTTGATAGTCTCTAAACTCATTGATTCGCAAGAGTTATTATCATAACAACCTAAGCAATATAAGAATAAATTTACAATATTCCATTGCCTTCTCAAGGCATCCTTATTGACTAATCGAAATTGATCTACATAAAGCAAAATATTTAGATGGACTTGGTTTATAGATATTAATAATTACAGTCTTACTGCGTCATAAATAAATATGCTCCCAAAAATATTTCTGTTAAAGTAATCCATCACATTAGGAGATAGATGATATTTTTCTGGTACCAGCGAACTACCATTAGCAACATCAATAGCCTTTTTATCCAAGATGAAGAAATTTTACTTATAGAATTTGCAGTATACATTAGGCATTGACAAACAAGCAACCTGATTCAAAATATCAAAACAACATTTTCCTGTATTCGCCAAGTCAGAACACTGTTGATCTTAGGTGGGAGTAGAGATACATTTCATATTTGCTGTATCAAATTTACAACAATCCTTTGTGCTTGTAAGGCAAGCCAGTTTGTTACTACCTTTATTTTTACTACAGTAAATATCTTTAGTATCAACAGAGGTACATTTGTGAGACTTAGAGTCTAATTAACAAGTTCCAACTAATTATTAAGCGCATATATAAGCAACCACCTCCAATTTCAAGAAAAACAGCAGCAGAATAAATATGTTAAAATTTAATCTAAATGAGAGAAAATGAACATTATGGGTTCGTTTATTAGCCTTAACCTGAGTCTTATTATGCCTTACTTTTGGCTGCAAAATGCAACCATATGTCTTATCATCCCAAGAACAGTATTTATGATACAAGCATTATTAAGCCTTATCTACATCACCTTCTTCATAGCAATTCAAAGTTATCGAATCCCATCTGCAATTAGCAGTAGGATGGTTGAATTGTATTTTTTTAAATTTATCACATTTCTTTTAATAACATAAAAAAAGAATAACGCCAACTGTAATAATAGCATCCAATTGAATTAATATCAGGTAAATATAACTTATGCTATTGAATTTTATTAACAGTTTGACATTTGTTGTATCAGGTATAAATTCACAAATTTATCCACTTATAGTGACATTTTAACAGCCTATTTTAATTCACAAATCCCTCATAGGGTTAACCTAAGTTAAAATCTGAACAATTTATATCTTGAGGGCTAGTTATGCATTTATCAGTTGAAATAAGGAAGACACACAGGGCATAAGGATTTGCTAATACAATCTTTTTAATTTGATATTCATTGCAAGTGTATATTGATAAATCATCAATAGTGACACATTATAAATTAATTTTGTGTCAATTACAATAAAGAGTAAGGGATTATCCCAAACAACACTAGACTTAATTCCTTCAGTTTAACAAGAAGTCAATTCAACTGCATATGGAATGCAAATATTACCTATAACAAATTTATAGTATTTAGTAACAAATGTTTTTATTTTGTCCCCTTCAATTGCTTAGCATCTATATTAATTCATTATTTTAATTCCATCCCCCACAGTAAATTTAGAATAATCGCTAAGATTAATCTATGTACAGCCATAGATAATGTTATAAAATCAAATTTAGAATTGCAGATACTCATTCATATTTAATTAGTTAATAATGCTTATAAACCAATATGTAATAGGTCACATTCAATTCATCAATCTAAAACTTCATAATTTATGGATGCTAAATGTTCTTATAGATCAATTTTGTATGCACTTTAATCCTTGAACGGTATTACAGTGTCCAATTATAGAAGATGAAAATACTTATATCGATGTGCTCGTCTAAATATTTAATAAATATTTAGAGAATTACTTAGATGATTCTTAAAAATTATAAAAGAATAAAAGCAGAATTCCATTTAGTTTCAAAAATTGATAACGCCAATCAAACCATGTTATATCGTCTTTAGGAGTTTTGTTCTTTGAGCCATCATTCACAAGGCCAGTATACAGCTAAGTGAGTAGAAACGCATAATAATTCTAATACCTGCTTTAGTAAATATCTTATTTTATTAAAGGTAGAAAAAGGGAGATCTTAATTATGACGTTTGCATAACCAATCAGCATCAATATCACAATGGTGATGAATGATCTAACTTTAAGGTTTAGATTTAATCATAAAATTTGGAGAGAAATGAGAATTAATGGTTTTATAAACAAATAAATTTGAGTACATTTGCCAAATTTAAGATAAAAGGTCATTGAAGACCTTGTAGAGGTGCCCTCTGAAGGATCTGTTGTGTAACCTATTAGAAATGTATTATTGTATCTAATCATAAATTGTCATTTAATTGCTTAATAATCTTGAAAATTAATTAAAGAGTAGACTGATAATAAATTTATGTGACTCAATGCCATATATTTTTGTCTTTTGTCTTTACATAAGTAAAGTTGTTTTCCTTATGAGTTTTTATTATTTCAACTTCTATGTAATCCAATTAATTGAGGGTGAATAAAAATATCGCAGATTGGCTTTGTAAAACACCCTTGCTGAGTAGGAAGTCAGGAATCTTAATAGATTTTAGATTGTATTTCCAAGATCACAAATTTATTAAGAAGAAGACAGAAAAAAATGGGCAAACTTCACGCACAAGTTGGCGAGATTAAATATATATTTATTCCAGAAAATTAATGTAGACTGCTCCATTTTCGCTACATCATAAACTATTTAATAAAATCAAATCAATTAATTAAAATTTTCTATTAATTCATAATTCATTAAACATCTATATAATCTGTAAGTGATAGTTGTATCAAATTATTATTATATTTGTATTTTATTCTTAAATGTTATCGGACTCATTCCTCGAAAAGTAATCAAGGCATGTACGTGTACAAGTACAGGAAGAATATGAATATCCTGAACAAGATGTCAATTTTAAAGGTATCAATGAAATATTATTTTAGGTCAATATTTGTCTACAGAATTGAAAAATGGACCTATTGAAATAAGAGAATTCAAAAACATAAATTGTATTATACTATTTTTCTTAATATGGGTCTTGATGATTTATTGTGCAATAACCGCATGGGGGAAAGGAAATATTTATGACATATATATGCCCTACGATTGTGTATATTAAAACAATAATTTTAGATGTAACGATAATGTGGAAGGGGTATTACCAAAGACTATCCAAATGTTTATATATTAAGTGAATTGGAGTATTATTGTGTTTCTCATTGTCCTAAGATAAGCGAAGTTGGCTTAGAGCTTCCTTGCTATCAATGTTCTGCAAAACTAGCACCCTATTCCGCCAAATTATTTTTTACTTTGTGTGTCCCTCCTAAAAATGAAGACCCAATATATCAATTTTTGGTGAATAAAATTAACAATGTCGGGGATACTTAAGAATATTATGCAATTATTCAAGAGACTTGGCCTATAATTTTGGCTTGTGCTGGAATCGGATTTATTATTTCTGTCATAGTTCTACTTTTGGTTAGTTTTGAAGCAGGATGTGTGGTTTGGGGAATGGTTGCTTTAATTATCTCGCTCGTATTTGGGTTGGCAGGAACGTTTTATTTATCAGCTTTAGGCTACATTGGAGGGGTTAAAGATGAGGATACTGCTAAATTTCTCAAAATATGTGCTTACGTGACTATAATTGTTGGAATAGCAGTAATTATTTTAGTGATCTGTTTGGCTAAAAAAGTCAAACAAGCCATCATTATACTGAAAGCAGCTGGTGATTTTATAAGATCGGAGTATTAGGTTATTTTTGTTCCATTGTTTATGTAATTTATAATAATTGGAGTAATGGCCTACTGGGTAATATTCTCTGCTCTCATATTTTCAACTACCAGTAATGAAATCACAACCAAAAATAATCCTTATGTTATATTAAATATGGATCGTATAACCTTTTGCGAAATACTTTTATATTTATTTGGTATGGGTTGGAGTGTTTGTTTTTTAAATGCACTAACTCAATTTGTTATCTGTACCTGTTGCTGCTATTGGTATTACAGCCATTAAGGTTGTTCAAGAAAAGGTACAATTAAAAAAGGTTTTCGTAATGGGCTCACAAAAAATTTAGGTAGTCTTTTATATGGTGGAGCCATTTTATCTTTTGTATGGGTGATTAAATATATCTTGTAATAATTTAGTGTAATTAAAAATTTTAGTAAATTAGCGCTTTTATAAGTGGATATTTAAAATTTAGAAACACATCCCTTATATTTGTTATTGTTGTTTATACACGAAATTATGCGCTCGTTTTTTTGATCAGTTTCTTAAGTTTTTGGATGAAAATGCTTATACACTTATTGCATTAACAGGTGATGACTTTTGCCGTTCTGCAGTTGATGCCTTCTATCTTGATTTTAGAAATTCTACTCGTGTGATGATCTCTCAAGGATGTATTAACTATTTAAATTTTAATATTAGTGGGCGTGATTTTTCAATATTTGGGTATTATTGTTATTGGAGTTGCTTCAGCCTCATTGTGTTACTTTACTGTTTAGCATTAAACCAATGTTTTGGATCCACTTATTCCCTCTTTAGTAATTCTAATAATAGTCAATTTTTAGTTGGTCTTGTTTATATCCGGTTTTATTGGTTCGATTTTCATGAGTGTATATGGATATGGAGTTGATACTATAATGTTCTGTTTGATTGTTGATATTGAATAAAATTAAAACGAAGGAGGTCCAAAATCAGTCCCACCAGTCCTTAAAAAATATATCATAGAAGAAAAATGAATTTCATAAATAATATAGATCTACAAATTCAATATTTATATTTTTTATCATAGTTTTCTTATTTCTCAAACCATTCAGTTTTAATGTATTAATAAAATCAATTATTCCCTAATAAATTAAAATTTTTTCAAAAATACCCTCTTTTTCAATTAATTCTGTTCTTTTTATAATTTAATAAAAGCTTACAAAAACAATACCAAAAATATATCATTCTTTTTATTCCTATTCAATCTTCTTGGGTAGTTGTGGTACGGCATCGTCTCTCAGTTCAATTTCATCTTACAAAAATTTTACTTATTATGTATGTGTGTCTTGATTTGGATTCATTACAAATTTGTCTTAAACTACAATACAGACACAGTAGTAGTTAAAAAGATTGATGATTAAATATAGTTGGCCCACTTGCTCACCTGAAAATACTTTCACTTGGGCACTATGCTATGATGGCTATGCTCGAGAATATTGTTCATTTTTTTTTCTCCTGAACAATCCTTAAACCATAACTTCAAGAGAAGGCAACGAGTCCCTGTCCCTACAGGAAGACTTCCTACAGGAAGACCTTCTACGAGAAGGCAACGAGTCCCGGTCCCTACAGGAAGACCTTACACTTTTACCT